TAAAATCAGTAATAAATACACCACAATTACATAGATATTTTAAACATACAAAACATCTTAAAAAATTACCAATCTTCTTCTGCTCACAACAATCTTGGTTGCTCATCTTCCTTGTTAAATTGTTGAAAAAATAAAGTGGTGTGGAACCCTTATGAGTCTATCCACATGTTTTTTTTCTTGGAGACGATCTCTTGTACTTTTTTTTCCCAACATTACAGGCAGACAGTCACCACTCAGACACACCACTTTCATTTTTCTTTCATTGCTAGAATCTTATTTCGAATATGATTTCATATTCCATCTACAAGCATTTACAACATTACTTTCTTCTTCACAAGAGTAAACTAGTTGGGCCTGTAAAGTCATAGTAAATGTACATGTACATGTACCTGTATTTTGCTTTCACACAGGGGACCCTTATGAGTACCGGTACCGAAAAATTAAAGTGGTGTGTCTGAGACTATGAGTGGTGACTGTTTGCATACATTTGTAAATTATATGTTGAAGAAAAAAGTACTTGAGATTGTCTCCAAGAAAAACCACAAATGTACATAGACAATCTAAAAATGGAAAAAGATATTTTCAAACTGGACTTTATAGGACAGAGTACTTGACAAAAATAGACCATTTTTTGAAATACATGTATGAGAACTTGAGAAGTAATAAATTCAAGATACTACTGCATGAGTGTAATTGCATGTACATGAATGAATGATTAAAGGAAACCTAAACCCAAAGAATAAGTGTAGGTATTTTGAAAAATGAGATGTATTCCTGCCCTTTGATGTACAATATTCCTTACGAAAATGTACAAGATATATATAAATGAAGATATGCCTGGCATGATGTGATGCCTTTCAGCATTATGGGCGCAGCCATTTTCTTGAAAATGTGACGTACCTGTTGAAGTTGTACATGTATCATGCACCAAGTTTTAGTTGGAAAGGATTTTTAAATCAATAATGAAACCGTTACTTTTCAATCTAAAAAAATAATAACTGAGTTGGTAGAAATTATACTAGGTGAAAAATAAATAATAAGGGTACAATTGTAACAAAATTAATTCATAAATACTACACTATAGCAGTTGACAAATCTATTTCATTTATGAGAAACCTTCACCCCAGAAGAGAACTAACCTATTTATGCAATTTGCGTTCTGGCAATTATAGTACAAACGATACTAGCAGGTGAATGAAATGCTTCATCACCACACACGTCTGGGAAAGAAGCATCCATAAATTTGAATACATTACTTGATAAACGACTTCGCATAGTACGTCACATTATCAAGAAAATGGCGATGCCCATGTCGTGTTGAGAAACTGTACTTTATTTTTGCTTTATTCCTCTCTCATAAACTTTAGTGGGGAATCTTGTAGATGTATGGGCAATAATATAATAAATCTCTCTGAATAAGTGAAGTTATTACTTGGGGTTCGGTTTCCTTTAAACAACAAGTCACTGACTACATTGTAAGAAGTAAATCTCTTCATTCCAATGTATGGCATGCTCAGGACTAAGAATCTAATTTCAATCTCAAGTTCTCAACCCTGATTGTGAAGATGTGTTTGTTGCCTTACTGTCGTCTGTAGTAGCTGAGTGAGCAAGATGGAAACTTACTACATGTAGCATGACTCACACACCTACAGTACTCACACATAGTGATTCATGCTCAGTCATACCAAAGATGATTTTACTCTCACTCTCAGGAGTATGGCATGTACATGTAACAGCAACAGCAGCAACATTTTAAATTAAAAAGAAAGAAAAGGTAAAGAGAACTAAACAAATGAGGGAGGTCCTTGTGACCTGTGACTAAATGTAATAGCATCAAATGGCCTCTGGAATGCTAAGTAAGAAAAATAACAAATGAGCACATTTATATTTATGGATAAACTGCCCAGAAAGAAAACAAATCTCTCTTTTATTGACTGTATTCAACAATAGGTGAAGGGATGAGAAAAGTGAACTTAGAAAAAGGGGAATTCATGCTCTTTTTTTTGGGGGGGGGGGGGGGAGTCCTCGTAACTACATTGTATTTCAGAATGTACTTAAAATCCTTGATGTTTTTGAAAGAGAAATATTTTGTATTCAAAGTTTGAACTCAACCCATTGCCTACTGGAACCTTGTGGTCCCTGTATTAGACCTATAGGAATGAGAGAATTCAGTAGTCAAGGGATTAATTTTGATCATATATCCACAATCAATTTGAGCTATTAAACCCCTGTCCACACACAACATTTTCCGTGATTAGCTATACCGTTTCGCGATAGTGATACCGTTTCACGATAGTTTTACGATGAAATTGTGTGTGTGTACGCTCACTAACGATACGTCGTATAACGAAACTAGTCTAACGAAACGCAGGTTTGGGCATCGCTTCGAACTGAAACTCAATAAAGAATCACGCCTAATCACGAAAATGTTGTGTGAGGACAGGGGGAGTGTAACTAGTGTAACTAACTGGGCGGGGCTTAACGTGACCTCGAGCGAAAGGAGACCAGAATGTAGAGTTTCAGGATTACTTTCTTCTGTTTATGGACATCCTTGAATTTATACGATGATTATTTATATGACGTTTCTTGTGTGTGGACACTTCAAAATTTATACTATGATTCTTTATACGACGTTTCGTTATAGAGTTTTGGGATAAATTGTTTTGTGTGTGGACACGCTGAAAGACACTGACATATCGTGATATTCAGAACAGGGTAATGAATCGATCCCTCCCCCCTCAACTGGTATGGGTTAATGAGACTTGCTGGGGTATTAAAGCTTCAGCTGTACATGTACCATGCCTACAGTGGTCAAAGGGAAGATCATTTAGCCGGATGTATATTAAAATGAATGATCTAGACTAGGAAAATGATAGTTTAAAATTGTCTGCAAAGCTCATTATACTTACAGTCTGTACTTCATTATCCTTACTTCCTTGTGTTATTTGAATTGTATTTTGCATGTACGTGTACATACATGTATCTTGGTCAGTTACAGTGTACCTGTTACGATGCTTTAGAACAAAACAGAATATCTTTGATAAATTGATGGAGACACAGTGCACTCGGATGTAATTCTTAAATGGCAGACAAATTAAAGAATATGAGTTATATTACATGTATATAACTCATATACATGTATCTCTTAATTGTGAAAGTATATATGGATGAAAGGGTTGGTAATTTCCCGGGAAACATCCGGGAACTACCTTGGAAGTACCGGTACTCATCCCTGTGCCATTGAAGTTGTATAATGTGGAATGGCAATAGCAATCTGACTAAATTCCTTCAGTTACACTTAATACATGTAGATGTTCATTTTCAATGGGCCATATAATAGTAGCAATTTGTTTAAATGCATTCCGGTAATCTTTTGCTTCCCTTAATAAAGCAATTGCTAAATGGTTTCAATATCAGCGACGTCACACCCGTCCGTCTAAGGAGCAATTTCTTCTCAATTTATTGTACTCCTGTGCAACTTTGTTTTTTTCTTGTACAAGCATGAACATGATGCTAAACATGAACAACCTGATTCGGCAAGGGCTCAAGCTGGTATGATGGACCTTGAAAAAAACATTTAAATTCTTATAAGTAACGGGCAAATGGTTTGTTTTATGCATAAGTTTACAAGCAATTTCTTGATCTTGAAGCAAATACTTGCGGGCAGCAACCAATTGCTCATTTGTATGCATACGGATTCAAGCAAAAGGTTAGCTCAAGCAATTGCTACTTTTTATGCATACGGCCATTTCGAGGGTGGCATTTTTCTATAGCCTGAAAGCCATAGCATACCTACATGTATTCATCATGTCAAGCATTTCTATGGCCCCCCTACCTGGCATTAAAGGAAACCTCACCCTAAAGAATAAATGAAGGTATGCTGAAAGATAAGATGTATTCCTGCCTTTCCAATAACATTATTCCCTACGAAAGTGTACAAGAGATATTAAATGAAGATATTCTTCGCATGATGTTGGTCATGCATTTTAGCATGACATAGGCGCAGCCATTTTGTTAACCATGTGACGTACCAGGCGAGCTTGTACATGTTTCATGCATCAAGTTTTAGTTGGAAATACTTTTTAATTCACCAACGAAAACTTTACTTTTTAATGAGGAAAATCATAGCTGAGAAAGTAAAAAGTACATTTGGGTAAAATGTATTACAGGGGAACAATTGGAAAGTTCTCGTTTATTTAAAAATGCTAAAACATAGCAGTTGACAAATCTATTTCATTTATACGAAACCTTCACCCCTGAAGAGCACCAACTTATTTGTGTAGTTTGCATTCTGACAATTATAGTACAAAGGATAATAGGCGTGGGGAATAATATACTTCATCACCACACACACCTGGGAAGGAAGCATCCATAAATTTCAACACATTTACTTGATAAATGACTTTGCATCTACTTCACGTTCTCAAGAAAATGTTGATGCCCATGTCGTGCTGAGTAACTGTACATTATATGCTATATCTTGCTTAATACCTCTCTCATAAACTTTGGTATTAAAGGAATCTTGTAAATTAATGGGCAAGATTACAATAAATATCTCGGAATAAGTAAAGTTACTTTAAGTCACTTTTTTTTCATTGCCTTTTGTGTTTGATAATGATTCTTGCTCAATAATCTAAACATCATAAAGGTTTTCATTGTTTAAAATTTATTTTTTGGAGTATTTACCAGTATAAACCAGTATTTACCAACACCTGTATTTCCTGCCCCGGTATTTACCGAACAAGTCTGATGGATGTACATTATATATTTGATTTATTTATTTTCTGTTTGATTTTCTTTTTCTTTTGCATTTTTACAAATATATTTATCACAAACAAAACATTGCAAATTTTACACATTTTAAAACACTAATTGATTTCACTTTTTCTTTTGAAAGTGTTGGATTTACATAACAAGTTCTCAATTATGAATGCACTGTAAAAATTGGTCTACATTCTACAGTTTCCATTATCCTTTATACCCATTTTTTCTCTTTTCAGAACCAACTCAAATCTACCGTTTTCTAGCTGCGAGACACAAGATATCAGTAAGTTATGACTGCAAATTTAAAGGGGAAGTCTACCTATGATTTGTGAAAGTGTGAGGAAAATCTGATACATGATTAGAAAGTTATGAAGTTTTACACTTGTATAATTGATCAAATGCAAATAAGTAATACTTTGATTTACCTTTCAAGCGCTTGCCCCATTTATTTTGTTCTAAAAATTTAATAGGTTTCCATTTTCCATGTCGTGTATTAAAGAAGGAATGTATTGCATAGAGGGAGTTTTTATTAGCTAAATCTGATTGATCACAACTTCATAACTTTCTAATTTCCTTTATCAGATTTTCAACAACATTCACTTTTTAAAAATCATATTTTTCGCTTTTACTGAAACCAACTTAATTTGGCTGTGGACTTCGCTTTCAGTGTGAAATTTTAAAAGTCTCCTTAGCTTCTCTCTCAGGTCTTAGATTACAAGTTGTTTTTGAAAAAGGTGGAAACAAATCTCAGAGATTTAGCATACCGTACATTATATAGCCAGTATTGCAGCCCAGTAACCTGTTTTTAAAAAGTCTAACCAGAATAGTGTCGTATCAGTAACTGCTGGTTTCTGAAATGTTTTCCTCTACTCTTCGACATTGAGGCAAGTGTTTTCTTGCAGGTTCTTATTTAGGAAGTATTTTAGAACATTAACATGAAATATGGATATTGTTTAATAAAGTTTACCTGTCATGATATTACTGTTCTCTTGTTCTCTTGAACATTTTCTAGCAATTTTGTAAACCTGTACTTTCATTTATAAATGTCCCTTTCCAAAAGAAACCATTTTCAGGCCGAGTATTTAAAGTACTATGATCATAAAGTTGTTAAATTATTCTAGTATAATTTTGAGATGTCTGGCAGTTCTTCAGCCTTCCATAAGATGTTCATTACAACCTGATACAGAATCTTTGATAAAAGTTAACTAACTGCCTTTTTGTTTGTACTAGTTTTTATGCCTCCGTTACGAAGTAGCCGGAGGCATTATGTTTTCGGGTTGTCCGTCCGTCCGTCTGTACGTACGTACGTCTGTACGTACGTACGTACGTCCCGTTCTCGTGATCGCGTTATCTGAAGAACCGATTGATGGATTCCTGCCAAACTTTGGTCATGTATGTATCTTGCAGAGCCGATGAACTGATTAGATTTTGGGGTTACGATGTCAAAGGTCAAAGGTCACAGGGCTCATTATGTATGCAAAAACAGCTCGTGATCGCGTTATCTGAAGAACCGATTGATGGATTCCTGCCAAACTTTGGTCATGTATGTATCTTGCAGAGTCAAAGAACTGATTAGATTTTGGGGTCATGAGGTTAAAGGTCAAAGGTCACAGGGCTCATTATGTATGCAAAAACAGCTCGTGATCGCGTTATCTCAAGAACCGAGTAATGGATTGCTGCCAAACTTAGGTCATGTATGTTACTTGCAGAACCGATGAAGTGATTAGATTTTGGGGTCACGAGGTCAAAGGTCAAAGGCTACAGCGCACATTATGTATGCAAAAACAGCTCGTGATTGCGTTATCTCAAGAACCGATTGATGGATTGCTGCTAAACTTAGGTCATGTATGTTACTTGCAGAGCAGATGAACTGATTAGATTTTGGGGTCATGAGGTCAAAGGTCAAAGGCCACAACGCACATTATGTATGCAAAAACAGCTCGTGATCGCGTTCTCAAGAACCGATTGATGGATTCCTGCCAAAATTAGGTCATGTATGTTACTTGCAGAGCCAATGAACTGAGTAGATTTTTGGTTCATAAGATCAAAGGTCAAAGGTCATGGGCTCATTATGTATGCAAAAATAGCTTGTGAACACATTCTCATTAGAACTGACAGATGGATTACTATTTAACTCAGGACATCTTGCAGAGCCAATGAACTGAGTAGATTTTAGGGTCATGAGGTCAAAGATCAAAGGGTCATATATGTATATGAGAAATTGCTTGTAATCACGATATTCTGAGAACCTGTTAATGGATTACAATTGAACTTGAATTCGAAAAATGTCTTCTGTTTTGGTTTGTAAAATTGCTCTATGACGGAGGCATCATTTTCGACTGCGCGCAGTCGAATTCCATCTAGTTTTTTGTTTTTTTGTGTGGTTATCTTTCATTTTGTGTAAGATCCTCCTTCTATATAACATACTTTTTTTTCTAGTACCAAGCTCAACAAAACCCACAATTTCCTCATGGAAACATAAGTTTGTTACATGATATAATAAATAAGATTGAAATTAAATGCTAAATTTCATCAACTACTTCTTAAGTTATATAAAAAACATGTCAGGGGAAACTTGATATTTTAGTTGAGTAGATTATGTTCCCTCTACAGCCCAGAGTGTCATTACCTACATGCTAAGCTATTATCCTTCTTTGATCAATTCTGTTCATACAGCCTGTATTCCTGAGACGTTCCTTAACGTACATGCTGAAGAAGAAGCCATCAAAGAAAAGTTTTTCAGTGGATAGTCTATTAGAGATGAAGGAGAATAAGATGAAAGCAGGCAACAAACAAGTAGCAAGGTTTGTACTCATTTTGGATATGATTGCATTGGGAATCATCACAATGAGTGAAAAGTATTTTTAAAGTCATTTTCCAAAGCTTTCAGGTTTCTTTGATTCAGAAGATAGTGGGCTTTTAATAATTGTATGGTGTTGAGTATCCTTGTAGTACTTCAAATGAAGATGGAATCAATATTAACAGTTTGACATGGTTTGACTTGTGCCCGATGTTTATACATAGTACCAACACAGATAGGTTATTATCTTTCTGGCTTTGAGGAGACAATCAAACTTGTTTGATTAGAATGAATTATGTCAATTCTTAATCAATTACATGAATGCATTTTTAGATTCAGTAGTTTACCTGTTCTTGAAATTTTGGGTAATTTTAAATTTGTGTATCCTTTAAAATTTGTTGTTTGCACAGTGCTCATTTAAGAAATAACAATGACAATAAAATGTAATTTTGTGGCTTAGACTATGGTGTGTGGGAATCAAATAACTTATATTGTTCTACCCTTCCACAAAACATGTACGGTACATGTCTATGTATTACATACACGTAAGAGGCTACTTTTGGTCTGATAATTTCACATTTATAATCTATTTCTTTCTAATTCTGTACAGCCATAGCGGAAAATACCTGAAATTAACATTCAACCATTTAAGCTGGAAGGGTGAGTATTCTGTCTTCAGTGGCCAACTGTTTTTAAATATCTTTTTTAAATTCAATTTTATGAAGAGTGTATTAAACAAAATTGTAATTACCGTAAATCTCTGTGTATAAGGCGCACCCCTATTTTGGGGGCAAATTTTTTTTTTTTAAATTGTTGTTTTGTTTTGTATTGTTGTCGAAAACCTACGCGGGGAAGGACCTTTATTTAACATTGAGGTGCAGTTGAAGGCACTGATTTGTGCTTGTGAACTTGTCACAAATAATAGTAACAATGTCGTTTTTTTAGAAGAATGAGTAAGATCATTAATGTAAATTAAAAACAGTAGAGTACCTAGGATAGAACCTTGTGGTACACCATTTGTTATAGAAATTTTTTTTGAGGAATTATTATTTTAAACTACATATTGAGATCTATTAGAAAGATTACTTTCAAGACAAGATGACAGACAAATTTGAGTGTTGTTCTAGTTTCTGAAGGTGAGTCAACACACTGATTACTGAGCTGGGAGACATTGCCAGGAATAGGGCCATAAATAGAAACTATAAAAAAAATAAAAAAAATTCTGTACCTGTGTATAAGACGCACCCCCGACTTTCATTTTTTTTTGGCAGCAAAAAAGTGTGCCTTATACACGGAGATTTACAGTAAATAATCAATTTATTAAGCCTTTACTGTTTCTTAAATTTAGAATACTTATTTTGTATGGATGATCTCATTCAATTGACATCTTAGTATTATACTGTAGTTGTACACAGGCTCATCTCATGGTGAAAGATTGATTGAACTGATTTCAATGCTTCATTATACAGCCCACCTTTTCTTGCATTAGTCATGTAATGAGTCATAGAGTTTCAAGCTAATGTCATCAAAATGTAGAAAGGATCGCTGGCGCATTTATCATGTCGATGTACATTTAATTTGCATATATTGTAGAAGCAACTTGAAGAAATGGAGCTCTTATGGTATCTTCTTGTGTATCGTGTTTAGATGAATTTCTATGTAAAATCTAAACAGCGTGAATATTTCATACATGTACATGTATTTCTTTTTGGAGAGGGGAAGAAACAGCTGTAAACTTTAAAATATACACAATTTATTGTAAAGGGAAAGCATTAGTATAAACAATGATGAGTTAATTTGACATGTAATTATATCTTCATATTCACTGCTATTTGCTAAAGATTATTGAGTCCTGACTTAGTCTGGAGTGTTAATAACCCACTCTGTCCTGTCATTAGAATAACACTGCCTTTTATGGGTGCATTGTTTCCATGGTTGTGACTGTGGCATGCTTCTACATGTATCCCATGCTGTCTGATTTTAACCTGCGATCTCGTTGTAAAACATGAAACAAACGATCTGCCTTGAGAAGTACGGCTACTGTCCATATTGCGAATATATGAAAATTTACTTCCATAGCAGGTACATGTAGAGATGTTGCAACAAGTGTAGAAGGAACGGATGCTGAAACTGTTCATATTAGAATTAGGTCTGGACTAAGTCTGGACTTGAAGTTCATCTTCATGTACCCCTATAAATGTGATAGAAGTATAATGTTTTACATTGAGTATTCCATTTCGACATCTCTTTTAAGATATTAAGGCTAAACTAGATGATTTCCCAATTTTTTCCCCTTGACATACGACAGGAGAAACGTCTCATATGGAAGATAGCAAAGCCACTGTTGAACTGATTCTACTCAAAGTATGTCACAAAAGAAGAAAGGTGAGATTAGATCACTGATGTTATTATGAAGATTTGAAATCAAGCTTCATGCACATGTTATTAGAAAAAGATAATGGTGGTTATTTTACCTGACTGCTAAGAAAGCATAAAATTAGAACTAAGGTTATGTCCTATTGTATTTGTGGATACAAATAACTTAATAACATGGAAATTAAAAATGTTGAATGATTTCACTTTTCTACCATCATGCGTCATAGCATACTTTTGAAACAGTCAATGATATGTTTCCAACATAAACCTAACAAGATTGATAGGTATGTCTTTTTCCCAATCAGTGATGTAATAGTCAACCATTTGCTTTCAGTAACAGTACATGTGTATCTTGGGAGATTTTGAGATTGTGAGATAGAATGCTAATAAAGTGTTGTCTTTGAATCTCTTGCAGGACATCTGTCTGCCCATTATGAAGGTATCCCTTGGTCAATGTGAGATAGAATGCTAATAAAGTGTTGTCTTTGAATCTCTTGCAGGACATCTGTCTGCCCGTTATGAAGGTATCCCTTGGTCAATGTGAGATAGAATGCTAAGTGTTGTCTTTGAATCTCTTGCAGGACATCTGGCTGCCCATTATGAAGGTATCCCTTGGACAATGTGAGATAGAATGCTAATAAAGTGTTGTCTTTGAATCTCTTGCAGGACATCTGTCTGCCCATTATGAAGGTATCCCTTGGACAATGTGAGATAGAATGCTAAGTGTTGTCTTTGAATCTCTTGCAGGACATCTGTCTGCCCATTATGAAGGTATCCCTTGGACAATGTGAGATAGAATGCTAAGTGTTGTCTTTGAATCTCTTGCAGGACATCTGTCTGCCCATTATGAAGGTATCCCTTGGTCAATGTGAGATAGAATGCTAAGTGTTGTCTTTGAATCTCTTGCAGGATATCTGTCTGCCCATTATGAAGGTATCCCTTGGTCAATGTGAGATAGAATGCTAAGTGTGTCTTTGAATCTCTTGCAGGATATCTGTCTGCCCATTATGAAGGTATCCCTTGGTCAATGTGAGATAGAATGCTAAGTGTGTCTTTGAATATCTTGCAGGACATCTGTCTGCCCATTATGAAGGTATCCCTTGGACAATGTGAGATAGAATGCTAAGTGTTGTCTTTGAATCTCTTGCAGGACATCTGTCTGCCCATTATGAAGGTATCCCTTGGACAATGTGAGATAGAATGCTAATAAAGTGTTGTCTTTGAATCTCTTGCAGGATATCTGTCTGCCCATTATGAAGGTATCCCTTGGTCAATGTGAGATAGAATGCTAAGTGTTGTCTTTGAATCTCTTGCAGGATATCTGTCTGCCCATTATGAAGGTATCCCTTGGACAATGTGATATAGAATGCTAAGTGTTGTCTTTGAATCTCTTGCAGGATATCTGTCTGCCCATTATGAAGGTATCCCTTGGACAATGTGATATAGAATGCTAAGTGTTGTCTTTGAATCTCTTGCAGGATATCTGTCTGCCCATTATGAAGGTATCCCTTGGACAATGTGAGATAGAATGCTAAGTGTTGTCTTTGAATCTCTTGCAGGACATCTGTCTGCCCATTATGAAGGTATCCCTTGGACAATGTGAGATACCTGTCAATCCCACCGCTGCCACCATTATTTCATCTTCTTCCGAATCCCAAGAGCTGACAATACCAAGCAGTTACTTCAGTCACTCCAATGGTCACACTGTCCGCTCCTACCGACTTCTGATACAGGTCTCCTATCCGACAGTCCAAGGCTTGACCAATGGAAGCCTTTGTAATGGGGATGTAGATTCAGATTCAGGTAAGAAACCGTGATGATGTTTTGTAAGATTAAAAACAAGACTTTCATGTGCATCACAGATTTATTTGTCTGACAGAAACTCAATGATCTCTTGTAGTTCATTCATGTATTTTGCAAATTGATGAATCAAGACGCTAAATGAGAATTTAAACAATTCTTTCTCAAAATGTATTTTCTAATTAATGTAAATTTAATGTCATTGAATGCATGCTGATAAAAGCCTGTTTGAACCTGAGATTAGTAAAAATGGAAGGCCTTTAATAGGAAGAAAAAAAATTCTGAGATGAATTCATTACAGGATTTTTGCAAGTTATATACACTGTAGATAGTATTAGGGTAATAGATGGTTCTTGGGTAATATTGGTGATAAAGGAATATTTTTCTAACAAGGAAAAACATTTACATGACTGAAAATTTGTAGCTCTATATTGACTTGACTGAGTCATACATACATTGATATGTTCAATTGTTTCAATAGACATCCCATTTGTCTGAACTTGAGTCCTTAACCCTACGTTAACTGGGGGGGGGGGGGGGTCAATTTGACCCCCCCCCCTGTAGAAATTTCGCGACTACTCCGAAACCGCGGCAGATATAAAATTTTCCTTTCATGACTTTTTACTTTCGAGTCTTACGCATCTTTTAAAACAATTTTTTTGAAAATCGGACCTACGGTTACAAGGTCACGTGACCTTTTGTCTTTGCATGTCAGCCCGAAAATCGCTCATTTTCGTGATTTGTGTACAAAACATATGTAAAAGTCATTTTCCCTAAAAATAGATAAAACATTGGTTATTTAGTCTTGTTTAAAGTTTGGATGTTTGTTTTGGGGTCAAAATAGTTGAATTGTAGTTATAAATGAAATAAAACAACAAAAACAATAAAATACATAAGTTAAAAAAACAATGAAATACATAAGAAATTATAAAAACAAGAGATAACATAAGGAATAACCTGGCTCTTCCAATTTTTTGTGTTGTATTATTATTCCAAATGGTCTAATAAATATATGTGGTGAAAAAGAATACGTAAACATGAATAATCTATGATTTATGGGCAGAAATGTGAATTTGATGACCTTATTTGCATAAATTACCATAAATATGCAAATGAGTGAATTTTTCAAAAATTTGAAATTACCGTAGTATTCTATACACTTCACTTGACATGCATGCAAATTTTCGCGGCGATCGGCGGTGAAACGGCCGAGATCTTAGGGGGGGGGTCAAATTGACCCCCCCCCCCCCCAGTAAAAACCTGGTCTGAAATAGCCCAGTTAAAATAGGGTTAAATCAGTGCTTTCTTTGCGTGAAATAAAGTGAATTTTGAGGGCTAGGTGTTTCTATATCGAAACAAATGAATACTTATCTTCCTAACTGATCTCTTTCAGATGGACAGCAAGCCAAGAGGAGGAAAGTGATGACAAGATTAAAAGACAAAGACACGACGACTTCACCACCTCAAGCATCACAGCTCCATGAAGATGATTACACGGCTAGTTTTAGCTCTGAGTTGGTGGTGGTTGATAAACAGAACCGTTGTCAGCTCCTGGATGGGAGCTATGAACTCACATTACAAGAGCAAGTCCACACCAAGATCAAGTATCAAACTGCATCATGGGAAGCATTGTCAGATGGAAAGGTTAGTTCAGGCTAGGTCAAGGGTTATAGCTCCCTTATCCCTTTTGTAGGGTCAATTATTTTTTAGGGCTAAATTGATCATTATTTTGTCAAATTGGCAACAATATTTTCAAAACCAAGATCAAGTATCAAACTGCATCATGGGAAGCATTATCAGATGGAAAGGTTAGTGCAGGCTAGGTCAAGGGTCATAACTCCCTTATCCCTTTAGGAACAAGGATTTGTTAGGGCTAAATTGATTAAGTATTGTTTTTCAAATTGGCAACAATATTTTTCTTCTAATGCAATCTAGTTATAATAAAATGCAATGTCTCTGAAACCAATATACATGGGTACAAAGGTTGTTGAAAAGTGGCCAATTTAGATTGAAAAACAATGATTTTAAACTAGCCAATGTGTTGCCAATTTAAGGATTTTAATGTTTGTTTGTTTCCTTTTTGAAATTGAGGCGTCAAATGTAATGTGGTTATGCAATACAATTTGACACATTTTGTGCAGGAATTCTTTACCTTTTCTGGTGAATTTATAAGGGCCCTGACACTATGAACATGACGGACAAAGAAAGAGGACAGAATATACAGTTCCTCATTCTACCCTCATCAATTGCTGTAGTAGACAAAGGAACATCCCTTCACTGCTATTATGTAAAAATGTGTAGAACAGGTGAATATGCATGTGACACCTGTTCTACACATTTTTAGATAATAGCAGTGAAGGGATGTTCCTTTGTCTACCACAGCAATTGTTGAGGGTAGAATGAGGAACTGTATATTTTGTCCTCTTTCTTTGTCCATCATGTTCATAGTGTGAATCAAGCTACTGAGCCATATCACGAAATGTTGGAATGATTGTCCCAATAAGAGTACAAATGCTAATAGTAACTCTCATAGTTTAAGACCTAGATGTTCAGCGTGTATGAATTCATGTATATCTTTGTGCATACATTTGGATGTCTTTGTATGTTGTTGCAGCCAATAGATCCATTTGAAGTACCAGACCTGAGTCCGAGGCTGAACTTCAATCTTTCATGGAACACGACGACAGCAGAAGGGGATTCCCCGGTAGAGAACCCTAGTAGGTCACCTGAGAGGTCAACTCGATCAGCAACCAATCCTACCTCATCACCAGACCATTCCAATCGTACCACTACCACTAATGCACCGGATGCAGCAAAGCACAGTGCCTTGATCAATGGACAAGAACCAGGTCAGACTACGCCCCTTAATGCCCCACTGTCCTACTTGTAGCTACTTGCTCCCCCTATATAGAAAACTTCCCCAATCGGTGCCTGTTGGTCCCCCATGATCCTCTATTTCTTATGTTATTTGAGAGCTGAGTTGATGAGATAGCCACCTGTCAGTGACCTCGCTATGTGGTCTAATCCCTCCTAACCACACTAGTGTTGATAAGCTTTAAATACTTACAAAATACAAAGTGCAAAATCTCTGGTCTACTTGTTTGCAAATACAAACCCTAATAAACCATTTTTGTAAATGTTTGTTTGTTTGATTGATTTTATATCTGCGTTCAAAAAGATACAAATTCAAATTCAAAGTACAAACTTTTGAACAATAACAAATACAATGAATATAATGTTCACAAAAGTAATTAAATAGAAATAAAATGTAATAAAATGTAATGCATAAGTCTTTGTTAAGTGCCTCATTAGAAATTATTTAATTCACCTGTTACAAATAGTTGTATTTTAATAGCCAGAATGCGAATTGCATACGTTACATTTTATTTTATGTTTGTCTTGAAGCGGTTTTGTTTTTAAATTAATGTATTAAATATATCAAGACTTGTAGCATGAGTGATATCAAATATGATTAACTCTCTCTCAAAAGAAGCCATATTATGTGGTGTGTGCGTCATGATAGCTAAAATCAGAAAGAGACATCTGCAAAACAAAGTAATAACAAGTCTTAATTGTGGTAGAAAAGACTGATTTTGATGAATCATCTAGGTTCATCTTTTATTCTTTTGATGGATTTGAAGCATGAAGTTTTATTACTAAGCTCTCTGTCCGATGATATCTCTCATCGCTCTGATTCTGTATTGAATTTCATTATTGAACAACTTTTCCCAAGGACTGAAGAAGATCGATGATGCCCAGGTATAAACATTGAAATGTCAAATTCCTTTTCTTATTCACAGCTTTTCTCATCTCCTTTTTATAAACACTTATTGAACTGCATCTATTGCAAGAGCACCTTCAGAGTTCTATTGGAGCACATTTTGTTTATACACTGTTTTCTTAGCTTTTGAGGGTTACATATTAGTCTGTTCTCCTGTCTTTTTTTTTGGGGGGGGGGATGCATAATTTGTTCATATTTTTCTTCATTTTAGCAGAATTTGAGACTTCTAAATTATAAGTTGAACATGTTTATTTTTGTTACATTTGTGAAGGGGATGATGGAATACATTTGAACTGAACCTCAAGATTGTTTTAATTAAGATATGTGAAAATGATTTTGTTTGTCCAACTCTTATTTGTTTTAATGACAGTACTAGATAAATCTCCAGCCAGAAGAATCCACCCATCATCATCTAACACAGGCTCACCGTCTAGATCCCCTGCTTCCAAGCCCTTAGACCCAGACACTGTCGAGCATGTCTTCTATCAATTCCTCTATAACAACAATACTAGACAACAAACGGAAGCTAGGGATAACCTACGCTGCCCTTGGTGCGCTCTCAATTGTCAACGACTGTACTCGCTGCTCAAACACCTTTCCACCTGTCACAGCAGATTCAATTTCACCTATGTGGTAGGTTCACAACAACCTCAAGAGCTTCATTTCATTTTTAGTTGATTTTAATAAAACTTTATTAAAGTTATTTACACAGGTTTTAAAATTTGTTTTGAACAGGTCCATGATTGGCACACTTAACTTGAGAAACGGTCCATTTGACGTGATTGGTGCGAATAATTTGAAAGCTATTACTAACTAGGCCTGAGTCAAACCGTTTAACCGACGGTTATCCGACTGCATTCATCAAAACCGTTTAGCATTTCTCGCTCCGGTTAACCGTTATTTGCATACATTTTGGAATGTGCTGATAGCCGATGATAAAGATAATCAAAGAAACCGCAGTGTAATGTTACACCCTGGCCGCTGCGTGCTAGCTTTCTGGCAGCAGTAATCCCCATGAATGAATTTGTAAACAATAAAACAACCAGCCCCCTTCTCTCTTTTCTCACCCTCTTTATTCCCTTCTCTCTGCAATGTGTTCATCGCTCATGTACCTTTTCTTATTACTGCACTCTCAGCTCACAACTTTCTAAATGTTTACACATTCGATGGTCAGTTCCTCTCACATCCCTTCTCCCCCGAGTCTCTCTCTCTCTCTCTCTCTCTCTCTCAATATTAATATCCATCCCTTGCCGACTCGCCCCCTAAAATAATGTTCATATATAAATAAAATACAAAAATATTGATAACAATAATAATTGAAGTTATCAATCAACAAAATCTTGGATATTGTGAGTAATTTAAGTTTTTGATCATTCTTCAATTCAGCCGATTAACACAGCCACCCTTTCTATCTAGTCTCACTTCTTACTTCTTCACTCATGTCCCTGCCTCGTCCATGCAGGGACATGCAGGGACATGCAGGGACATGCTAGCCCATATGCTCTCTCAGTCACACACACATGTACACACAAACCTCCGGCGCCCAAATACACTGTACATACACACAGATGGAGAGCTCATGCTTGTCACATGCACACATGTGGGCGTGGCTTCTTGACCTCCCACTGAACTGGGTACGGTGAAAGCACGCGCGGTCACCAACCTGTAATTTATGCTGGTATCAAACTTCACCCACATACATTGTAGCTAGAGAACCTTCCTGATTGGTCACTAACTTGGATCAGCTCAAAAAATATAAGAATAAAAAAGAAGTTTTAAGGATAGTAATAAATTGGTAACAATTGGATGTTGATATTCTCTTTCCCTGGAGCAAAATTATGTCTGTGACTTCCTTGAAATCATTGGTTTAGTGTTCGGCTTTTTGTATGTAGCAGAAGACAACATGTGGATAAGTGGGCAAATATGTATCTGACATAACATTATTTATCTTTCTTAGCTTATAGTTTTAAGGAGAACTATAGCGCTTGGAGAGGATGAGTGGCTCGAAGTTTCGAACAGAAGAATAGAAACTTATAAGCTAATAAAGATAACAAACAGTCCTTTTCAGGACTACACACCCCCAAGAAAGATCACCGAGTCAGAATTCCTTTTGAGGACTCCGCAATCCTCTCTCTCTCACTCACATGGTGCACCCGCAAGCCTACTGTATAACATTATTCATCGATCATTCCTTTCTTTCTTTCACCCAGCCTCATCACAAGAATGCGAGGATAGACGTAGCAATCAATGAACACTATGATGGTTCTTACTCCGGTAATCCTCAGAATCTAATCACATCACATATGGGCTATGCCTTCCAGAGGAATGGACCTTGTAGAAGAACACCTGTCACACAGGTTATAGTCATGAAGTGAGTAGAAACAATTGTATAGGATTAACATTGCGTAATGAGATTCTGCAACTTAACTCTTTATAGAGTACCGAAGCTGTGACATCATCAAAATCTGTTTTTAGAATTTCTCAATTTGAACTTCAATTTCTATGAACCAGAGCAAAATAACACTGAGTTCCCGTAGGAAATCTATATAGTCAGATGGTCACATCTCGGCCAATACTTCACGCATTGAATTGGTTTTCAACATTTGGACAGATGCTCTTTCAGAAAATCAAATGCAAATTGAGAAATTCTGAAAATATTTGTTTGATGATGTCACACTTCACCACCCTATACCCCCACACTAATACTCTTCCTGTGCCACATTTTATTTATCATGCGATAGATATACCAGAGGCTTCAAGATTATTCAACTGTTACAGTCAAACCTGCTTTAGTGACCACCTGTCTACAAAGACCACATTTTTGTTTCCCTTGAAAATGGTTTCTCATTGAAACATGAACTAAAGGAACCTGTCTACAAAGACCACTTTTTGTGTTTCCCTTGGGTGGTCGCTATAGACAGGTTTGACTGTACCAGTTCAAGATCAATATACATCAGTAATTTTGCAAAGCCATTGTGTTACACAAATCAGTCCTTGAGTCATTTGGTGCCTATTGTTTTGTGCAAAATAATACATGTGGCAAACAAGGGGCTGTGCAGAGAGGCGCAGAAAGCAGGTAAAGTGTTAAAAGATTTCATTACCCTAGAACCGTTGTCGATTGCTCATATCAATATCATTGTTACATGTGGTGAAGTAGTACACTGCCTAGTATGCTTTTCGTACTTGTTGTTTCTACTACAGCTGGATTCAATTCAGGTTGTGGGTACAAATTGTCTCAGTACTTAGGACCAAGACCTTGGCTTGAGGCACTTTACCTAGTACATCAAGGTCTCTTTGGTCCTTGCCCCTCTTCCCCCATCCCCCTTTCTCTGTTTCTCTGTATCTCTCTCTGTATAAGACTATGGACAACATCACAAGTTGTACCCACTCCCCCTAAAGACCACTACCCCCTAGACTGATCCTCCACCCCAATTGTCTGTGGGTAAAAAAAACTAGGGGTGAGGGTAAATCTATACCCAGGTTTAGTAAAATTGTACCTGGAATTCCTAGAATGAATTTAGCTATATGTGTGGTATGGGGTAGCTAGGCTTAAGTTATATATTGCTAGGGGAATGTTTCACAGGTAGTGCCTTTTAACCATTTTTGCATTTCGGAGCTATGTTGTAAAACAATAAAGGGGCACAAGGATCATTGTTGGCATTTTGAGTTACATCCCTATGGATTTTTTTTGCCAGTGAAACAAAGTGAGGGGACGTGACATTTTCCATTCACTTAAGTACATCTTCATTCTTTCTTCGTAATACAAAAACAAACTGATGATATCTTCTTATGATGTGCTTATAAGTTACACACAATTTAACAATTATTGGCTCCAAAAATGATTGAGCTAGCTATAAAACTTTGGAAATGATGCCAATCAGAATAAGTTTTCACATTTTTCTTTTAAAAATCCAAGCATTATTCAACAAAGCCTGTATCTTTTATAGAAAATGTTGTTTCACTAAGTTATATTTCATTTTCCATGCAATCGATGAAGCTTTCTAATGATTCAATTTTTTTTGGAATATTATCTTCAAACGCATTTGTAGTGTCAGTTTTCATTTTTCTTTTCATACCTGTCATGTCCCACCAAGTCTATCACTTCCACTACAACTTTGTCTTATATCTTTAAGAATAATGAAGTTTACCTGTATATCTATTGTTATCAAATTGGTAAGGAAACTAAACTTTTGTTTATATACTTAGTAAATTAGTTTTTGTTTAATGGCAATATCACTGATATTTGTGGGGTTGGACATGACATAACCGATGTGAACAGAAATATTTACAAATTTGTGGAAACTTAACAAATTTTTCTTTTGCATTACTCATTTTTCTAAAGTTTATTACTGCCCTAAACTTTCTGATACTACAAGTATGTATTTTGAAAGGGTTCTAAAAGAAATTTTGAATTACTCATATTATATCCATGTAAGTAGTCTGCTTGTACTCCTTGATACTCCTTGGGTACTCCTTGATGAGAGTACCATTTTTTCAATAACAAATCGTATTATCAGTGTAATTTTGTATTTTTAGTATTTTTGTAGAACAAGAAAAAAAAACAGATAATTGCGTATACATAGCTTGAATGGAAATGGAAAATATGTGAGGAAGTGACAAAATAGATGTGAACAGAAATTTTGCTTTATGTCTAGTTCTTAACTAAAAAAAGGGTAACGTACAATTATAGTCTATATGCGACAAAAAACAGACATTCTCATAAGCATGTTTCATCCATTTTGCCATCAATTAAAATTTAGAGCATGAGGACCAGTCATGATGTCGAAGGAAAATTGTAGATATTGCCACTCTGACAAAAGGGACCAAAATGCATTAAAAAACAGCTCTTTAAAGACAGACTGTATATTAAATATGCTCATATGACCTAATTAACAACCATTTTAATGATTATAACGCAATTTCCTGCCCCCCACCAAAAAAAGAAAGAAAAAAAGAGAAGAATATTAACATGTACCTGTTCAATATATTTATATACATGTACGATAGCTCTCATTTCTAGCTATTGTTGTCATGTTGATGAAATGCAGTATGACTATTGTTCTTCTATCTTTGACAGAAAAATACATGAATGTCTATTTTGCATTGATTATGTATGATAATTAACCTGTGGTCCCTGGACATTGTATATACACCCTGTACCAGACAAACTTGCTGAGTATGAAATGGCTCTGATTACTTTTATCTTTATTCTATACATGAACATCTATCTGTCACTCCGAGGGTTGAGTCAGAAAAGTGGCAGAACGTAGAGCTATCATCCTGTACATCCATCAAGAAGGATGTTTGGCAGGGATTCAACCTGACACATTTGAGGATTTGTTCTTGAATAGACATTACACATCCTGTTTGGTGAGCAAGCAGTCAATTGCAGTTAATATTGACTGCAGAAGCTGTCTATTAATTGTGCTGCTGCTAATCATGCTGCAGACAGACTTACAGAGAGGGCCTACCAACAAGGAGGCGCGATAGCTCAGTCGGTAGAGCAGTGGTCTCGTAATCTGGTGATCCGGGTTCGAAACCAAGGCGATGCGCTAGTGCCCTTTGGTGAGGCATTAATCCTTATTACCAGGTCCCTCAGAAAGGACCTAAAGCCGTCGGCCGTCTGGTTGCTTACTTACAAGCATTTATGCTTTCTTAGCAGTCAGGTTAAATAACCACCACCACCATTAATTAATATTAATTGATATTATCAAAACAAGGCTCTTCAATATGTCCTCAAGACTCCTCATTGGTACCTCCTCTTGGTATAGAGAGGAAGCTAGGCTTCGTGTAAGCCATCTAAATATCCAAATTATGCCAGTCTTTCAATGTTTGCATCGATATCTTAAGGGTCATAGACATTAAGATTGAGCACCAAGTGAGCTCTTATGATGAAACGGCCTTCCACAAGGATCCGTCTTGGCCCCTGTAATGCTTTTTGTAACTTAAAGGGAGATGGTAGTCAGTTTCCATGTGTAGAATGCCATAATTCGCTAACATTAGGCTTGGTGTAAATACCATTAATGGGTGTACAAGTCTGCACACAGGAAACCTGTAGTCCTTTCAATAAATACCCCTAGTCTCTTGGATATTCTTTGGGTGAGGGAAACCTCACACATCTCAGCAGCATTCAAAGAGCTCTTCAGGTGCTATGCCGGGGCTGTATAAACGCGTTTTGTAATTGATAATAATCATTACTTTGAATGTTTCCAAGCATTGAATTTTGATAAAATATGAAAATGAAAATAAATTTAGTTTTTAAAAATCTTCGCACAGCTACTTTAAAGATGTCAAATTTAAAAGAGGATGAATGGTACATTACATGTCTTAAACACTCATTCATAGTCTAGGCTAGAACATAAAAATATGTTAATTTCATGGTAAGGTCAAAATGGCAAGAATGACTATCTCTACGATCCCTTAGAATAGTACCCAAATTCCTTTAAAAGGGTGAATTCTGTAAGAGTAAAATTGTCCACAGTCCATTCGCTTGCTGCCATTAATTAGGCTCAGCGATGGTAGACACTAGCTAGCCATGTCTCTGCTATCACACTGATCACAGTTTTCGGCATGCTATTCTAGTCTGTTCTTAATGCAAAGCACTACGCCTGCGTCTTTGTAGCCTCATGTCAATAAGTGAATCTGTACTTGCAGTTCCAATCTGACCATCTACGTGAAAAAAACATTCCCAGCTGCTTATCAAGGAAAATAAGATGGAAAGACTTTAGATGGACATATATACATTTACTTTGATGCCATGTGAATGATGTGATCATGAATGAATGAAGGACCAATTTCAAGTAGATGTTCCCCTCATCATGGTTTTTTACATTATTTGATCTTGTTAGGATTTAGGAAACCTGCCTTATCTTATAGTTCCTTGTCTAGATACTACTGAGGCCCTGGTGAGTTATTTTCAGACAAAAGTTTAGGCTCTTTTGTGTACAAAATAGCTCATTCTAGGTGATTTTCAGGCTCTCTGACCAATTCTAACTGGCATCCCGGACTACTAGGTGCCCTTTCCTATTCTTTGTTGCCATGGTAAAAACATGTGGGATAAATGTAACTTACATGTAGATCATAGACTTGGACCTTAGGTGAAGCACTGCCCCTTTATTTGCAAAAAGGCCAGTTGAGATTTGTTAACGAAATATATATTAAATTAAATAATTTACTGTACCAAATTGTACAATATAGATTAGGCCAGCCCTTTATAATCAAACTCATTCAATGAATAAAACAAGTTTTCAAACCTGTAGCTCAATTATATTTGTGTTTAAAAAATAACTCTTTGTATGCTTATACAGTACATACTGTATGCTGTACTTCTATTTGATGAATAAACATTGCTAAAATGACTAGTTAAATTAGGAATTAAATGTCATTAAATGATATCTACATTTTATACATCCAGAAGAAGACAGAATCAAAGAGAATGAGCAAACTCAATTTCAAGGATAAAGTAAAGTGGATTTTAAAAGAAAATATTGGAATTTGAATAGTCAGTAACATGTGTAAAATTTCTGTTCACATTCACGTCCTGTTAATGATAAAAGTAATTAAGCACACAAAAACTGCATGAATCTGACAAATAGAGGTTGCTAAACTCTGCATTAAGTTCAAATATATTAGGAATAATCATAGTTGAAGGCTTGTTGCGTCTTGTATGAAGTGCAACAGGGTGTTTACACCTAATACCGTAGTCATTAAACCAGCTTAATATGTAACTGCTTAAAGAAAGTGATTGACCAGTAAAAATTTCCGTTCACATCTATGTGTCACATCCACCACATACCAGTGCCCATAAGCAATTTTTTTTGTTTTCAAGTGGATGAATTCTGTGCATGTTTTGCAGAAGTAATACTAGAACAAACAGTCCAATGATGAATTATATTCTGCTCTTAAAGTTTTGTGCAGAAAACAACAGCTTTTCAATGTCAACTTCCCAAGATTTGGTTTAAAAATCTGTAAAATGGTTATAACTTGTGAAAATGTCATAGAATAGCCAATTTTGGACTGCAATTTGCAAACATTCTGTCTTCAAGACACCAAAATAGGTCCTGAACAAATCTCACTTAGCTTTTGAGTAATTGGTTTAGGAATTCATACCTTTTGACAAAAATGTTCTTAAATCTGAGAGGAATGAATTAAAATATGATATGAAGGAGAAAAAATTAAGGTCTGCAAACAACTTAAGAGAAAGATATTATTTTTAACCCTTTTTTTCCAAGGACAGACATATCACCAATTTTTTTTTTATTGGGATTGATACTTTGACCCCTAGGTTGACGAAATGTGGACACTACCTGTGAAGCATACCTACTATACTTGGATGGTCGTTATGAAATCAGCTACTAATTTCAGAAACTTTAATTTCATCTCCATTTAATAAGCAGAATTGTGTGCCCTCCAAATCACATTGAACAAATGGGGCATCATTTGAAAGGGAAATATACATGCTCACAAAGGTTTAATAACAGATAGAATAATTCAGTCGAATGAAAGATATTCATTGTCCATACTTGTGCTTGAAATTTATTTTTACCACTTTGGTATTATTTTGCTTGATTTACAGACCACTGAGACAGAAGGAATCTCTACAAGAATTTCAAGAAGGTGAAAAAGCAGACTACCTCACACAAAGACCATACATCTCAGGACATAATAGGTATGACCTTTGACCTTTTACTTTCATTTTATTCTGTCTATTTGGACTTACATGTATTAATCAGTAAGATACATGTATATACTAGGAGTAACATTTAGAGACGAGAGGAGAAACAGGAAATAAGATATGATATGACACTCACTTTAATAAGTTACCATCCATTTTTAATCCAGTATTAGTCCATACAGAGAGAAATCCCTGTTATATTACGCGAAAATGGTACAAAATGTATTGAGCTGCCACAACTTTCGAAGCGAGTTACCATACATTTGCTGTATAGTGTCAGGAATTAATTTAGTGTTCTATGTTTTTGTTTATATTCAAACTTCATTTTTGATATTTGATATGTTTCTTTTTTACAGAACGTATTTCCGCACCCACTCGCTGCAACCAATCCGACCTCAGGAGATGGATGAAGATAGCGAAGATGAGATCGATCCTGATTGGATCAAAGAAAGAACAAGAATGGTACGATGATAACATGTTATATAACACCTTAGTAGGTCCTTGTCATTTGATTGGAGGATTGTTGGTCACATGATATTCAATAAATAATCTATTGAACGACTACGTCATTGAGAGTGCATTTTTGTTTTGAATTTGTTTACTACAGGGCAAATAGGAAGAGACCTCACTCACAAGATACATCACAGAGTTGGCAATTTTGTGTTTGATTGATTTCAACTTGAAAAAAATAAGAACTCTCTTATTTGTAATCAGTTGTTGCTCAAACTTTCGCTGACCTGTTTCTCTTTAGTTTTTCTGCTTCTATTAAAACCAACTTAAAGGTAAAGACCAGTATTGGAAACGCCCCAATTTCAAAAAATGAAATGGAAGCTCTTATTACCAATCATGTGAAAGAATATGTTTTGACTAACACATGATGATAAACATTTGCCGGGAAACCGCCCACTAATTGATATATTTAGTAAATTAGTTTGTCTATCGGTATGTGAGAGATAAACGCACGTGTCGCGCACGTGTGCCTAGTCCTATATACATCTTTCTGTGTACAGCGCTTGTAACTTTACCAAGACTGGGCCAAATTTCTTATCATTTTGATGATTCCAGAACCTTGCAGTACACACCAATACTTATATATGCTAGATGAGCAACCTTTTCTGATCGATTCCACAACGTTTCTTTCACAATGCAATCGCATGACCATAACTGGTCTTTATCTTTAATATCAGGGTGGACTTCCCCTTTAAATTTGGTAAATTTATGCTGGGGTAACACTACACATATACCATATTGTTCATCTTACTTTTCTTCATGTGTTTTGGGTTGCAAGACAGATAAATGAGCAAAGAAGCATTTAAGTCTAGACATGAGCTTTTGTATTTACATTCCTTGCTTATTCACTTGTGCAGAGAAAGGGGGCATATCAGAAGGCATGAGAGCAAAGCATAGCAGAAATTGCCACCAAGTGAAAGAACGGGCCTATTGACTAACAGTAATGCCGTTGTCAAGACCAAAGAGTTAAAGAACAAATTATAATGATTCAGACTTGTTTGCTTTTTTTTTCCTTGACAGATGATTGATGAGTTCACTGATGTAAATGAAGGAGAAAAGGAACTCATGAAATTATGGAATAACCACTGCATGAAACACAAGTAAGTCATTAGTTGATACAAAATGCTTTGTGTATGGTATAAATTCTTATCTTGTAAATTTTTTGAATCGCATTTGTCTATAATCTTATTATGAATAATTCTCTATCTGTGATTTGTTTTCTGATCTGATATTCTGTGACATTTCCCACACATCATTTCCCCCTTTTTGTTCACATTCTTTTGCGTGTAGTGTGCCGTCTGTCAAATCTTTCCCTTTTCCCCCTTTTTATTTCTTAGCTCCAGTCTATAACCCTTCTGACTCAGGACCTCTCTTACTGGTATTCCTTTTGTTTGTCCCCCTCCCTAGTTTCATCGCTGACTCCCAGATCCCATGGGCATGCTCCATGTTCCTTGAGGTCCATGGTGAGGACATCCTGAGAGAGAACCTGACGAGTAACTTCCTCCTTCATCTCATCAACCTGTATGACTTCAGTCTCCTCCACCCACAGCTCATCCCTCGCTTCATGCATCAGCTCCTGAAGTCCGGCCAGCAGCGTGATGTCACAAAGGGCGATGTCAGTCAGGAGGAGGAGGAGCGGATCAGTAACCAAGGTGATGAGATGATGACGGAGGATGGAGATATAGGACCGCCCATTCTCTACCCTCAGGAGGAGCTTGCTGTACAGAGGGATGAGGTTACCATGGCGATCAATGGAGGAGGAGGAGAAGGGGAGATGAGTACAGATGGGACGATAGAAGAAAGTCCTTCATCGAACAGAAGCCTTGATGAGAAACCCGAGCTTGAAATGGCAACGGCAGAGATACCATGCGACTCAAGTCCAAAGCTTGAAAAAACGATTGATGAAGAAGACACAATGATATAAAGACATGCCTTCAGAACTGAATGTTCAGGTGTTCATGTTTTGTATTTCTGGATTCAATCAAGCACCTTGATCTTACAGGGTTGTATCAACCAGAATTATCAGTTAACACACAACATTACATGGTGCTATGTACTACACAAGTTGCATCAACCAGGCTGTTTGGATATTACACACGAGCACTGATTGTGCTTTGTACTGCATTGGATGTAATCTCTTTCAGGGGTCTATCCTAAATACATGTATAAATCTACAACATGACAATGGTGATATGTAATGAGCAAGGCAATTCACTCTCCATTTTTATCATGTCATCTTTCCACTAATTATGCAATTTTTGTAGAAGGATCATAGTTTGAAATGTGAGGTTTATACAAGCAAAGAGGCAAGTAGATTTTGTTTGTTTTTGTGTTACTTTCTGGTAGGAAATGAGTCAAATTATCTCCATGAGCAAGAAATTTCCTTAGAAATATTTTCACTTATTGTGAAAGGCAAGCGAATGTACATTGAATTTCTCTCCTAAATTGCCATGGTTGTAATGTGAATAACCAAGCACAATGTTAAATTGAATTAAAAATGTCAGTTCATTTTGAGAAGAGGATTCAGGCTGTTTTGTAATACAGGTATGATTCTCTGTCCTCTTTGACATTAAGCACTAAACATTGGGATACTTACAGCTCTTGTGGCATGAGGAGGGGATTCCCCCGAGCAAGACTTTAATTACAGCAGTTGTTAATATGCAGTGATATTGTCTATGGGCTTCACGCACAGTGCACTTAAGGTCATGAAATGGGGCCCTTTTTTCATGTGATCAATGGACAATAAGAAAATACATTGAGATGTATTAAAGCTCATCTGTACTAGTTTACAGGAGGGATTAGACCTCCCTGCAAGGTCACTGGACAGGTGGTCATCTCATCAACTCGGCTCTCAATTAACATAAGAAAAAGAGGATCATGGGGGACCAATGGTCACCAGTTAGGCATTGTTTTCTATATAGAGGGAGCAAGTAGCTACAAGTAGAACAGTGTGGATTTAACATTCTCCCATACATGTTGTCACATTTCTCCAACCAATAAGGGACAGAAAAGGACAGGTTTCTACAAGTATTGATAAAAGTCATTCAGACAAAGTTACTTGTGCATTATTCGGTCGTTCTGTCATACTTGTAAGCATGTTTTTGAAAAAATGAAAATGTACCTGGGTTACTTCACTTGATCAACAGGTGATATTCTGCTGCTGGTAGTGCAGTAAAACCCAGTCTTAGATCACATTTAACATAAGGCAAACTTAGACCTCAGACTATCTTCCTTTGTTAAATCAGATTTTGGTCAATAGCCTAAACCAGAGCTCGATACTAATAAGTGCCCGGAACACATTGGCACCTAACATCTTAGTCTGGACCCGCAAGAACTTAGTGATTAACACAGGGCCCATGCACACAGACTATGAAAAGTTCAATCTGGGCCCCGTTTCATAAAACTTGTCATCAATAACAAATGCTAAATTTCTAAGACAAATTTGCTCTCGACCAATAAAATGCCACGATTTCAGTAGTTTACAACAGATATTGCAACTTTTTATTGATAACAAGTTTTTATAAAACGGGGCCTTGGACCCCTTCCAAAAAAGTTAGTGTGGAGACCTACCTAAACCAAGGGTTGGGTTTAAATGATAGTAGCTGCAGAATATTCATTATCAGGTGCATCATTTCTGTATGCTACTCCATAATATATCACGATATACAGTCTCTCTCATGGGTCTGAGAAATCAGATTCATCCTCTCTCAATGCTGCTCTTTAAGATGACATCATTTCATCTTATTTACTATCCAGGGAGAAATCATCACATCCTCACTTTTACATGACGACCAAATCTTAGTCATCACAAAAATGCAAACGGTTTATGCTGCATTTTGAAGACTTTGTTTAAGAATTGGTCTGTGTTTTGATATCAATTAGATTACTTGAATGTCAAGCTGATCTACCTCCTTTATGTGTACTGTTATGTCATCGTCTTTTCATCATCTCAATATATTCAGTTAGTGCCGTTGTCTACACCCATTTTCTCTGTGAATATACCAATACATACAATTTGTTGATGTAACAGTAAACCTATCATTTCTGGTTGTAGCATGTGCATCATTCAACCAGAATGTGTCATTGAAAAATTCATCTGTAAAGTTATTACTCAAATTTTTGGAGTGAGTGATAAAATGCTCCTGGTAAAACATTAAAAAGGCTATATATTTTGTAATTAAAATATGAAATTTCCTGAATAAATTTGCAGAATACAAAATAAACAATAATTTTGTTGCTAGATCTACTTTGATTCAAGCATCCTGGTAAAGATAGAATGTTGTAAAATTTGTGTTTATAAGATAAAGCTGTGATGTATAACTTTAAGACTCGATCTTCTGTTGACTGTTGACCAAGTTTTTCCTGATGACATGAAAATATGAGACCTGTCAAGTAGAACATAGTCACTTTCCTCACTGAGGAGGCACGTTGGCTCAGTGTTAGAGCAGTGGTTTGGAACCAAGTCAGAGCGCTAGCGCCCTTTGGTAAGGCATTAATTCGCATTACCAAGGCCCTCGGAGAGGAGTTAAAGCTGTCTGTCCCTTGGTTGTTTACTTACATGCATACAAATGCTTCATTAGCATTGGGGTAAAAAAAAAAAAAAAATTAAAACAGATGACATCAAAACTGTGCCTATTCCTTATGTCCTAATGCATGTACCGGTATGTATTTTATACATGTATTATACCCAGTACTGAGCAATTCAATACATAGATCTTATTATCAGCCTCTCATGTTTTGCATGGTTTGCTGCAATAATGGTCATACCTCATACAAGGTCTTTGTTCAGCATGAGCAAGCTTCTGGTAAGTTGGAACATTCGTTTGTATTACATTCTAAATGAGATTCAGAGGGTCTGAATATGCAGACTATGCTGAGACTATGTGAGATATACAAGTAATAGATCTTGCAAATAAGAAAAAGTCTGGGTAATTTGGATATTCTTCCTCTAACTTTATGAAACAAAACACTCCAGAAAAAAAAAAAATCAAAGAGATGATTGTTCTCTGAACATCAAACAATCATCTTTTTGTACGAGACTTTGTGTGTCTTGAAATCTGGATACGTACACATATTTGCAATGTGTGTTGTGTTCATGTACGATGAGCCATTGATTGGACTAGTCTCATTCTTCAGACTGTGTCTATGTTAAAAGCAAGGTGTGTAAATAAAATGATGTATGTACAGTCTTATGATGGTTTGTAGTAACGATGTATGAAAAAGTTTATTGTAAACAAGATGTTTGTTCACGTGAATGATACTAAATCTGAAGGTCCGACGTTGGTATGTTGTCATACAACATTCCTTAAGTCCTGATGGTATGGCATCTAATTTGTCTTTTTCTATTGCCTTTTTCAATTCTGTAAATTTGCTGTAAATTCTGGCATTGATACTATGCACTGGATTCAGATTAAAATGTGGAAAAACTGTTTTGTCAAATAATAACTGTTTATATTAGTGAATGATTCAGAATTATACACAAGCTCCACGAGTGTGAAAAGATACATGTGCATGTCTTTGTCTAAATCAATAAAATATTTGTTAATATTATAAAATTATTCATTAATAAGCCTGTTCCATTTGTAAATCCCATGCATGCAGGGGTTATATTCTCCACCCCCCCCCCCCCCAATATCCAGCATACTTTTATCAGGGTCCAAGTGGATTGGAACTGTTACAGTATTGTACTGGAGAGGTGTATATGTACCACACATAATCTTGGGAGAGCGCCAGTATATATATCACAACACCACAATGCTCCATTATGAAATCTCATTGTGTTAAATATTTTATGTATATCTTTAAAACTCTCATGTAAAGAATGATTTTAAGAACCAGGGAACACTGGATAATAGAAGATGGCAATCAGCAACTGCAACACCCCAATATATTTCACTTTTCAATATTATTTGAAAACATCACACCTTAAAGGCAGGCTTTACTACTTCAGCTAGAAGGGATTAGACCACCCAGCGAGCCAGCAAGGTCACTGTGACAGGTGGCTATCTCATTAACTCGGCTCTCATTTAACATAAGAAAAACAGGATCATGGGGGACCAACAGGCACCGATTGGGGAAGTTTTCTATATAGAGGGAGCAAGCAGCTACAAGTAGGACAGTGTGCCTTTAACAGAAACCATTTACAAAACCACACATGCACATACCATACAAAGTTACAATCCAAATGAAACAAAGATTCTGTGTAAAATAACATTGTTTTTATTCAAATTCCAAGGTGTACAGAAGACCATTTCCAAAGAGAGAGAGAGAGAGAGGGGGAGAGGGGCCGGGAGGGGAAATAAAGGAAGTTCTTCAACGCTAGCATGAGCTTGTTCAAATAGTCAGAGGTTTCACATGGATTGCACTCCAAACACAGTCACCACCATCACAACAAAAATCTGAATTCATTCATTATTAAAAAAAGGAAGGTTGGATGCTGCTTATAAGTATCAGCTTGCATGGTGATGTAGATATACAGTAGGCTTACCGCCAGTCCTTTTCCGGACTCCTCAATCCCCCCCCCCCCCCCCCTCTCACATGGTACAACCTTAGGCCTACTGTATATAAAAGGAAGGTTGGTATTAAAACTGGATGTTTCCTGCCAAGAATTCTCATGAATCTAAAAATACACCTGTTTGCAAGATGGTGATGAGCTCGTCCAAGTTCTTGCTTTTAGACGAGTCTTCCCTGTGTATCTGTAAAGTGCTTAGAGACGTCCAAGATGTATTAAGCGCAATATAAAGCTGAATATTATTATTAGCTTTTCACCGACACTTCAAGAGCCTCAAGAGTATCACAGTCATCCATAGTGGACATAGCATGACATGTCCTGTAGTAGTATGAGGTAGATACAGGTCCATGTTTAGTGAAGTCCCTATAGTAAACATTGGTTTCCTTTGCCAGTTTGATACTATGTTCTCTTATCACCTGGCTGAGTATCAGATTGGACTGGGCTACAGAGAAATGCTTTGGATTTCCCACAGCTCCTGAGAGAGAGAGAGAGAGAGAGAGAGAGAGAGAGAGACAAAAAAGGGGGAAATAGAGAGAGCAAGGTGGAGGGAGGGGTGAAGAGAGATGAGACAGAAATCAGTCATTCATCTTTTCTTATTTCATTTACCTCAATATTATTTTATAGTAAGTATCAGAATAGAAAATAAATCATTACCAAATATTTTGTTTACCTCATGTAATTGCATCGAGTTGTAATTGGAAAGTTTAAGTATAGCAATTTTGTTTTTCTCTTTTCATATTTGTGTTTAAACTCTCATCCTTATTTTTTTTTTAAATACAGCCTGTACTCCTTCATTGGAGTAAACATGCATAGTACAATCAAACGTCTGCAAAAGCGTTAAATGAAGGAAAATTTGTCTGGATGGCAAACTGTAGGCTCTGTCACATATGTTGGCTTCTTACAATTTGATCGCTGCAATCTACTAATGATAAAACCCAAATTGAACAATTTCACAAATATGAAACATGATAATAAAACTGTTTTCGATGCGATGAAGTAAATCTTACCAAATATCTTGATTGAGGACAGTGTATGAAGTGTGGTATCTCTGAGTCTAGCTGTTTGATAAGATAGTCTGAAGTGGCTTCTAATCTCTGCAACCATTCCCTGAAGTGATCGTACTCTTTACATGTGACCTCTAGGTCAGACAAGGTGAAGTTCAACCTGTATGGTAATAGTAGAGGTAGTGGTGGTTATTTTACCTGACTGCTAAGAATTAAAGTATAAATGCTTGTTAGTAAGCAAACAGTCAGCCGACGGCTTAAGGTCCTCTCCGAGAGACCTGGTAATGAGGATTAATGCCTTTCCAAAGGGCACTAGTGCATCGCCTTGATTACGAGACAACTGCTAGACCGACTGTATTAAACACAAGCAAAGACAGCAATTCAATTAGATTTCAGGTTGCAGTCAATGACGGGAGAACATGAAAGAAAGTACATGTATTTGATACCAAATGGGTTACAGAAAGATTAATGAAAATAGTACATTTTCTTTCATTTCATTTTGTCAGATTGAAATATTCATATATTCATAAAGATCTTAAGCTTGTGAAGCCTGTTTTTCAGGGCCTGGGGTGAAATACATGTGGACACGCATTGAATTTCACATTATCATGAATGGTATGTAGTTTACTTTATGGCCAGTGCAATGTATATAATGGGAGGGGGCGGAGGGAGGACAATTTATTTAATGATTACACATAAATTATAAAAAAATCTACATGGATTCATACAAAAACAGTTGCTACAGAACTGATCTTCATAGGCCTACCTTCTCTCTGTGGCAAAGAAGCAGGTCTTCTGTTTTCCTGTTTTCATTAAATCTTGAAGTTTCATAAAAAAGGCATCCGTCAGATCATTACTGTAGATAACTGTAAACAAGAATCGGACAACAGAACAGAGGTACTTATTGAATGCTGGTTTGAGTCAAGAGGTTGATTCAATACAGATTTAGGGAATTATTAAAAAAATATCCAAGGAAAGTAAAAGAAAGAGAACAAAATAAGAAATGAATAGTATTTGTTGGTAAGGCCCCACCCAAGATTCAATTTGCACAAAATAGCTAATGACATGGTTGCAACCGTCAGGTTTCAAATCTTAAAAAGGTTGATCAACGGTTGAAAGGATTTGAACATGTTTCAGCAAGAGAGAAAGCCTAGCAAACTAAGGGTCATTTGTGACAACCTATTTTCTTTCAAAATAAAATTTGATAGAAATGAAAGGACATTATAACTAATAGTTGGTAATAAAACAATACATATTGGAAATACATGTACAACTCTTTGGTAGCAGGACACAGCTAGGTAGCAAATACTGCTATTTACAATGTAATATCAGAATAATTGTCTCACCATCTGCAGCGATAATCACGTCTACATCAGCTAAATGTTTCAAGTCATTCTGACTCCAAGAGAATGGAATAGACTCATCTGAAAGTATAGGAATATAAGATTACATGATAAATACTGTATCACATTCATCAATCAAACCTAATCCAAGTGCAAGACAATTAATGGAGTCAAATTAAACTAATCAGAAATGTGTAAAGTATGGGTACACTATATGGCGTGTCTCAAATACAATCTCACAAGAATTAAAAGACACTGCAAAAGTATTACCTTCGAAATGTCAATGAGGATTTTTAGGTGCTTTTTAAGATATTGCCAAATGCTAATTAAAATCACCGTAACATAATTCTCATTGATTGCTCTTTCGAAATTTCGTTTGGTGTACATGTATGATATGGTGCGGGCCGCGCCCAACCGTATCTAAATTGCCATAGCTACGCGTGCACGTACAAAGACATAATTCTATGCCCGGTCAATATTTTTTACTATACCGCCCAGCAGTCCATAGTGAATTTCATGCCCGCAAATTTGACCAATCAGAGGCCTAGAATCTAAACATGCGGTATATAAAACAGATTAATATAAATTATAATCAACCTACCTGTTTTAAGCACTGAATCAGTCCAATCTAATTCTCTCACTATAACATGTTTGTCTGGTTCAGCTTCATGGCATCTTCTATTGTAAATATGTGTATTGGCTTGGATGTTGCTCTGACACATTTCTAGTACATCCTTTCCAATATCTGCATGGTAAATAAAGAGGGAAATAAATAGTATTACCAGTATATACTATATAATAATGATTTTTATGTTTTCACCATCTGTCTGGTATATCTCTTGGGAAATATTTAAAATATAAAATGCTTTGTTGTACCGGTAGTTCAAATTATGGTACATGAATTACTCACCTTTTGACGATAGTACTGACATCCTGTCTTTTCTGGTAGACTATTGGGACTACTGTACCACAAGTGAAATAAGATATACTGATTCTTAGTAAGGCATAGCTAGGATCGTTGTCTTTCCTGTCTTTCCATAGACAGATTTTCATCTGAACACACACAGTGGGTTTTGAAGAAGTTTATCCCTTTATGATTTGTTTTCTAGTAGGCCTACATTAGATAAAATAATATGTGAAGATCAAATTTGACATTTGAATGCTCCTTAACACTGCCTTGAATATAATCAATGGCACTGAAACAGTCACACATTCACACAGATCTTGTATAACATCCTACAGTGTATACAGCATTTTTTCTTCTTCAAAAATAACAAGTAGGTAATAAGCTGCTCAGATGATACACACCTGTACAAATAACAAATCTTGCAGTGGTTGCCATGACAATACTTGCTAATCCTGTTCCTCCTCCCAGCTCTAAGACGGTAGAACTCTCAAATCTTTGATGATTGGACAAGATGAAATTGCAAAGTAAAAGACAACCCATCCATACCTGTGAAATAAATAAACAAATGTATTTTTGTCAAATCTCATGAGGATTGAAATGCTGGTCTTAGCTTTCATTTGTAAATTGACTTGTTTCATAAAATTATTTCAATTGAGTGATAACTTTTGCATGTTTAAATCGCTCGGATACAGCTGATAATTAAATTTTGAAACTGTCTTTTCTAAATAATGAACCATATAACCTTTTAAAGTCACCTCAAGTGCATGCAATGTACTTAAATATCGGTACTTAACATATTCTATACAGTAAAATAAAATGTTGCAATCTTGAGTAGTTAGAAGTTACCTGCATTCCTACGTCTTGTAGACTGGTCTGCATTGCATGGGCTGTTACCAGGTAATCAAGAGAAGAAAATACATTTTACTTCAGAACAATTAATTTAAATTTATAACAAAATAAAATAAAACAAGAAAAGATAATTCAAAATATATGTGTGACTCATAATACTAGGCTCTTGTTTTTCCCCCTCTTCTTTTCATGTGCATGTATGAGCTATAGCCAGTCAATTCAATGTCCTCATTTCGAAAAACAGTTTATTTAAATTATCACTCACTCATTAGATTTTTAAAGCTATTCTAACAAAGGTATATTCAGAATAATTATCATCCCTAGCTGTTGAAAACTGGCATAATAACCAATCAAGGGTGACTTTTTTTAACATTCTACAACAAACATACAAGTAATTCAACAACATTAACGACAATGTAAAAAGTGTACCTTCTAAGACACAGGAGTAGGCTTATGATTGTTTACCTATTGTAATGACATTCTTTGTTTTTTGTTTCCTGGTCAATATCAAATCTCCATCTTCATCAGTCATCACATCTGTTAGTGTTACATCAATGTCTGTCTGTCTGTCCTTCTCTCTGACCTTGTTTCCTTCTGGCCTGCTCTCATCAGCTTGGTAATTCACCACAAATCTTGTAAATGATCCTGGCATATATAATTTCAGATAATACTAAATTGTAAATCATGAGTAATTATCCAGGTTCAAATCTATAATATTTTATATAGAGAATGATTGCCCCACTAGAAACCAGCATCCAGGTAGACTGTATCATGCTACAATATGATATTATCATTGCCACAGCTATAGTCTACTGACTGCATCTATTTGATCACTTGATGAACTGATGAAAATACCCATCTCCTTTATGTAGAAACAGCTAAATTTGGCATATTTGTGCTAGATCTAAATTACCAGTAAAGTTACTAATACTATACCTAGACTACATGCATATATATATATAACTTAACGAATTTGATGAATAGACCTCTACTATATACTCTATAGACAGCATGTGGTTGTTGCCAGCTCAATTTGGAAATTCATATTAGTACTATCTACACTTTTGTACTTGAGACAAGATATAAAAATGAAATCACATGTCGAATGTGTTTAGATCTAGGCTATTACCTCTTTCCTGTCTATTCCCTTCTGTGATTCCTGTCACATGTACATCAGATAAAACTCTTCCTTTGTCCACCTCGGTTGCCATGTTAATTGTGGTGACTGGATCTGGTGTAAAAACTTCTTGATCTGGTTGGGAAATTACGCTTTCACACACAATTACAACGCAGCTAGCAACGGCGCAGGTAGTGGTACAGGGGATTTCCCCTATTTTCGGGTCAGCTTTGCGCAGTGTACACGTACACGTGCTAATCTATTTTTCTTCCGGTTCATAGGTTGTTGAAATGTTGGCCCTGCGCTGTCACAGCCACACGCCCACGGATTATATCACAAATTGGTAGTCGTCTAATTCTATATTGCAATTGATTTGATGATTCTTTTGAATGTCTCCGTCCTGAGGAACTACGAATTTGCAATCAAACTCTCTCTCATAATAATATATTGCTAGTTTGATTTGAAATACCGCTGTCGACGTGTGACTAGTGACGTGTCGGAACAGCAGGATATCGAGACGTGGACGGGCAAACAGGGGACAGTCTCCCGGCGGGTTAGGAACGGCAGGGATTGTGGGTCGTGCGCGCTGGGACCGGCCGTGCACTGCACAGATAGTAAAATTGCCGTGTTGACTGTTGTGAATGTGATCGTAGCAAAATGGATGGAGTAAAAGTAGCTGAAGAAAAACTAAGAGAATCTGCCAGTATTGGAGATCAAGATGGAATCGAGGAATCCTTGTGCCAAGGAGCAGACATTAATTCGCAAAATCATATGAATGGATGGTAAGTCGACCTACCCATGCAGCTCTATACTGTTAACTCTGCCTCTGGCTTTCTATTTCTATTTCTATTCTGCTACTTGTCAAAGCCTGTTCAGCATCTAGACAAGGGTGATCTTCTGCCTACGGTGGACGGCTTGTGTGAATTTGTGCCTAAATATGTACATGTTTATGGCGCAAGTAAACAATTGAACGCCAAGTCAGTGCACATGCAGGGAAAGTGTTTTTTCCCCTTTCAGTTTTACCATTATATTTGTAGTGTCATTTGCTTGTAATTGTATGGGGAGGTGAGAAACATTGGCAATGCCAAAGTAAAATTAAAACGAACAAATTAGATCAAAGTGAAATATATTTGTGGACCTGAAAGTTTTTAATGAAAATGTCGAGGTAGAGGAGATTGATCCTTTGTTTGTTTCTTTGTTTGTGTGCTGTTTCAATATTTCATTTTGCCATATATTTTGTGATAAAAATAAAAAATAAAAATAAAGATAGGATGATGAACAGTAGCTCAGTGAGTCGCTTTAGATCCTCTACTAACAAATTATTGTTTTGCTGTAGAAAATAACTTTTATCTCATCATAATTATATTTTCTCCTCCTTTCAACTTAAAAAGTATAACACGAAAGGAGTGTCAGGGAACATATTCCTATATAGGCCTATATGTTCCAAGAGTAGAAATTAACATAGACTGAAAGCTGGTTATATATTATATATATATATATACATGTATATAACCAGCTTATATACAGGTATCAACATTTTTTTACCGCTGAGACTACATGTATGTCTCAGTATGGGGAAGATTGACAGATCTATCTATACCAGTGCTAAATACCAAATTGTTATTTTTGTCTATAAAAAAAAACATGTCATTGATGGACTGTATTCATCTTGGCTGTATTTGTTTGGCTCTATATACTTATTTCTTTGTCTCTCATTTGACTGTCATTTGACTAACTATAAATTCTTCATGTCTGTCTCCCTATAGGACTGCTCTTCACTGGGCCACCAAGCGAGGGCATCCTACCGTCATAAAGTACCTCTTAGGGCGGGGTGCAGACCCGTCAGTAAGCAACCACAAGGGGGAACTCCCTGTTCAGATGACAGATAATGATCAGTTGAAGAAGATGATTGGAAACATAACAGGGAATGGTAAGATTGGGTAGGGCATGCATTTATAACGGGCTGATGTATTAGTGAAATGTTTTGTCTGTATGCATCCACTGCAAACCTTACTAATGACTACTGATAAGAATTTATCCAGATATGTTAACAAACAATGTATTGTTCATCATATTTTTATTTCAATAGTTCATCACAAGTGTTAGAAGTAGAAACACTAATGATGATGATGATCGATGATGAAGATTCACAGCATTTGTGTGACGTCATATATCTGTTTAAAAAAAATATTAAAAGGCGCGAGCTCCTCCAATAAAGTTAGCATTTAAATTTCTGAAGAAAGATGTGAGTTTTGAGCGAAGCTTTGAAGTCGTCCAGATTGTCAATTTCTTGAAGAAATGATGGGAGGGAGTTCCACAGGCGAGGAGCAATAGAGGAAAATGCCCGGTCTCCATATCCCTTTTAGATGAGTAATGGGTATCTGGAGAGTAAGGCTAGATGCTGAAGACCAGGGCGAAGATGACGCCGCTCACTTAAAGATGAAAGCAATTTGACAGTATTTGTAGCAGTGGGTATAGGATTCATTCACATACATTGTATACAACTATACATGTATTTATACTGCATGTAGAAGGATGTACATGAATATTTCCTTTAAATGTTTGTCTTGAACCAAATAATAAAGTAGTAATTAATCTCCCTCAAAGTTCATGATACTAAAGAGATGATGGAAAGCTGAACGTGGTAAAATTGGATGCTGGAATAATGGTAATTGTGTTTTCTTCATTGGTAGCATGCATACTTGTGCTATGATTAAAGTTTGGCCTCGATCAATTTGCTTTGAATTGGACTCTAAATTCAAAATTACCAAACTGATGTAAATTGTAATTGTGAGTTGAAGTTTTGAAAGTGATTTATGAGAAGTTAAAATATAGACTGTAGGCTCTAGGTACTGCTTCAGAGATGAAGTCATTTTAAATCTTGTAAATCTTTGCAGGAACTTCTGTTACCGTAGAGAAACAGGCCCTTCCCATCACACCTAATTACCTGAAGAACCCTCCTTTTCCACATGGAAGATCAAGAGGTCAAAGGTCAATGGGTAACCAAGGAAACAACAATGGGCACCCAGCTCTCCAGCAGGTAGCAAGCAGTGATGGTAAGTCCCCGTCTGTGGACAAAACCTCTGTGACACCCCCACCTTTTTTGTTTAAAGAGTGGTATTGTTTTGGCTTGGCAGAATCAGTACATTATGCAGAATAATTTTTTTGGAATAAAATCATGTTATGACTCTATTTATTATTGATGGTAGATGTTTGCTGCTTGAAATTTCTCCCATCTTCCTGCTCTCACAACATGCAGTATAATATACAAGAAACAAGATACAAGATATCTTATTTGGTCTTTACAAACAAGTTACATAGAAATTTGGTTTCCACTGGCGTTACAGTAATATTCAAGAAAAATACATAAATTACAAAAACTAAATACATAAAATTTATAGAAATAGATGAAATGAGGAACAAATATATGCAAAAGATAATGGAGCGACAAAAATGGTCATTGGTAACTCAAATCATGAGTTTCAAAATTAAGCCTTGGTCATTGAAGCATTTGTGTTCAGCTGTAGTGCTAAGAATGCTCTCCTAAACAATCTACCATTTACCGGTTCTCGACATAAAGTTTGGAAAGCCTAATCCCATTAACAGGTGCCTGGGATACATGGGCCAAAATAGCCCCCAAATCAAAGTCTGGACTCCCACAAATTTTGAAATGTATCCATAGGGCTCATGTTTTGAATGTAAAAAGTTTGATCCGGACCCCCTTCCAAGGTTTGTGAGGAGCCCTGCCATTAGTGTAAACAAATCGTGAATGCTCTATTTTCTATGGTGTATTGATTTTTCTATGGATTCACTGCACATGGTTGTTCATTAATATCATGATCCCTTACCCCATCAGCAGTCATGGGACAGTTTTTTTTCTCAAAAATACATGAAAGTCATAATTCTTAAAACCTGTTGGTCCAAGCAACCATTTTACCACATAATAAAACAGTTTTGAGTAATTTCACCATGTGTTTTACTACAAGTACAACTCCAGATTACTCCATTAAAATCATTGTCACGTTTAATTATTCAATTTTTAGATACACGTAGTAATTTATTTGTGTCTGTTATTATTATTTATCATTTATTACTGTTGTATCCAATACATATTTGCAGAGCTTGTACTGAAAGTCAGAGAAGCAGAATCGGCAGAGCGTGACTTCATCGAGGTAGAACTTTCAAAGAGCGCCCTCACCCTTGAGAATCTGGTTGAACTGCTCTGCGAGGAACTCCAGGTGGAGCCCTCCGATGTAGTGAAGATCAGAAAGCTACCCAACACCATCGTTCGGAAAGACAAGGATGTGCTGAGGTTACAGGAGTATCAGGAACTAGAGCTGGTCATGAAGAAGAAAGCACCCTTTGGATCTACATCATACGCAGTGCCTCTACAGAATCTACTCTATTAAAATAATTGCAGGAGGAACAGGCTAGAAGTGTCTAGTCGAGTGAATTAAGCACTTGACTTGAAATTCAAAGGTCGTGATTCGATCCCCGACATGGCACTAATGTCCTTTGGCAAGGCATTAATTTACATTTGCCACTTAATACCCAATAGAGAAATGGGGACCTGGTAGGATGACGAAAGCATGTGTGTTTAATTGCCTATGCCTTCATGGTGACCATATGGTAGGAATACTCCTCAGGGAGTGGAGATGGTGCACACTATGCATGAATGAATCCGTTTACCGGGGTAATTGTATCTGTGAAGTGCTTAGAGATGGTATTCCATATGAAGGGCTATATAAATGCAGATTATTATTCTTATTATTATTGGGCAATGGAAATCCTGTCAGTCTTTTGTATTTCATAGACTTTCAAAATGAGTGCCAAATATTCTGTTAATCACAAGGTTAATGCATAATGATTGCATTTTCAGATCAGTGACTGACTAGCAAGCATTATTCGAGAATGAAAAGGGGTCTGGTTGAATACTTTTAGATGTAAGCTTTAATATGTCACATTCTCAAGAAATATAAATTCGGGACTAATCTATTTTTCACTTACTTTCAAAACTTGGAAAGGGTATGAATAATTTGTTGTCAATTGTACATTTGATTGACTCAGTGACTCAAAGAAGTAAGAAAATGCTTGTATCAATTAAGCAAAGTGAGTTTTTTTTCATACAGATGTAAGTGTTACGATTTGTTTTCCTTTAAAGGGATCCGGTAACTTTGTCTCAGATTCTGAAACAAAATCTGGGATTTACCTCATGCTGCTATGATGATTATAAACCTTTATGTCAGTCAGGAACTCCATGACTTTTACAAGCCGATTGCCTGTCTGATTATCAAGATATTTATGATTGAAATTACAAATTTTGAAAACCGTTCGCCGGACGGTTTTCATAACACTACAGTCTATAAGGGAAAACGAGTATGGTAAAACCGGTCACTCAAAGATTCTTACTCTTTTGAGGCACTTCTTGATCATTTTGAAGCGCGATTTTTTTTTAGGGCTTCAATATTACACCATATCACAGACACTGATCACACGTAGGGCCGTGTATCTCAGACTTAACATTGTTGAACGATGCCTTTAAAGGCAATATAAAGTTTTGGTATGGGGTCATGAATTTGTTTCAAAACTTCAAATGAACATATTGGAAGCATATGCGATTGTACAATATTCAATGATCGTTGTTGCAGTTGAAATTGTAAATAATAAACTTAATGTTGTGTAGCTCCCTCTCAAGACTGATATTACTTTAGCTTTAAACCAATGTTTCTTGACTAAAATCGACCAATTTGCTATTCCCGTTTGGAAATTGTATATCAGAACTACATACGGTATACATGTACTAAGATTTTCACACCGCTACCATGGAATGGCCTTAGGCGCTATTTGAAATATTTGAAATTTAACGGTAAATTTGATTATTCAATTTCTCGAAAGCAGAAGTGTTTTAGGGGCTATTTTTTTCTAGTGCTTATAAAACATCCACAGGGGCATTCAAATATATCAAAATTTTAAAGAATTACTACAATATCCATCCAATTTTCAAAATTTCCCCCAAATTTGCATTACCTTTAATTGTTGTGTATCATTTGTGCATGTCATTATGATTGATGACATACATGTATGTAAATGTCGTGGGACTATCAGATTGCTATACCAGTAAAAATGGTGAAATGGTGTTTCATGATGGAAATAAACATTTCAAGATAAATTTTTCATTTTTAGAATCAATGATATCTTCTGAACAATCTTAGACGTTGTGATTGCACACTTTGCTTTCCAATACCTTATATTTTATCATTCACATGAACAATAGTCTGGAACTGTTGTTCTGTGGTTTAACCCTATTTTCACTGGGCTATTTCAGACCAGGTTTTTACTGGGGGGGGGGGATCAATTTGACCCCCCCCCTAAGATCTCGGCCGTTTCACCGTCGATCGCCGCGAAAATTTGCATGCATGTCAAGTGAAGTGTATAGAATACTATGGTAATTTCAAATTTTTGAAAAAATTAACTCATTTGCATATTTATGGTAATTTATGCAAATAAGGCCATCAAATTCACATTTCTGCCCATAATTCATAGATTATTCATGTTTACGTATTCTTTTTCACTACATACATTTATTAGACCATTTGGAATAATAATACAACACAAAAAATTGGAAGAGCCAGGTTATTCCTTATGTTATCTCTTGTTTTTATAATTTCTTATGTATTTCATTGTTTTTTTAACTTATGTATTATATTGTTTTTGTTGTTTTATTTCATTTATAACTACAATTCAACTATTTTGACCCCAAAACAAACATCTAAACTTTAAACAAGACTGAATAACCAATGTTTTATCTATTCTTAGGAAAAATGACTTTTACATATGTTTTGTACACAAATCACGAAAATGAGCGATTTTCGGGCTGACATGCAAAGACAAAAGGTCACGTGACCTTGTAACCGTAGGTTCGATTTTCAAAAAAAATTGTTTTAAAAGATGCGTAAGACTCAAAAGTAAAAAGTCATGAAAGGAAAATTTGATATCTGCCGCGATTTCGGAGTAGTCGCGAAATTTCTACAGGGGGGGGGGGTGTCAAATTGACCCCCCCAGTTAACATAGGGTTAATGATGTATTCAACTGTACTGAAGTGTTTTTAAACAGCATATTAGGAATTATTTTCAGGTAAAAATGATTGGATCTTGTAGTTAAAGAAGACAATTAAGCCTATAAAACTGATACATGTACTATACAGATCCATTTTTGGGGGGTGGCGTTTATTGCATTCTTTATGTACATATATTTTGATATCTTGCTGTTTTTTGTTGTTGATTTTTCACTTTAGTATGTTTAACAGTATAATTTTTATGGGTGAAAATTGAGAGCAGTTATTGAATATTGACATAGAATGGGATACATGTAACATGCAATGACCAATGTTCTCAGTCTTCCTTTCTTTCCCTTCTATCCATGTCTGATTACCAAAATGAATCATCCTTCATCAATAGTAATGCTGCTTAAACACATTCAGGTCTTTAATGAGAATGCTACATCACAGTGAGGAGACATTAGCCTGCATCTTCAGCCCATCATAGTTAAAAGCACAAGATAATCAGGTTAACCTTAAAAGTAAGGACAATTGATCTTCATTTAAAATGTCTTTTAGGTGCGTTACTTGTACATTCTGCTTGAAAACGGGAGGTGTAGGTACAGAGAACGTTGATGGCCTTTTCATAGTTTTATATCTTGATTTCATGTTGAAGATCATACTATAAGTGACCTTTCCGTCTGTAATGTACAGTAGAGCAGCCTTTTTTATGTAGATTAGTGAAATATAGTGGTCTGTAAAACCACAACATTGGACGTTGGACCACATCTGGGCAATCAGCAATCGTCTTTATATCTCTAGAATCAACATTGTAGCAAATGTTATACTTCATTTGATTGTAGATGAATGCACAATTCAACATTATATTGCTATACATAATTCCTTTTTTTTCCCTCATAAATAATCAGCATTTTGAATCGAAAAACTGGACAGGAATTTTCTCTATAATCCAGACTTGCTGTAAGTTGATGCCTATATCTATTGGAAGATGATTCTTTAATTGGCCAGATGCATTTCCATACCCTATCTGGCGTAAAACCAAAAGTTGCATTTGTTCAGGCTATATTCATGTCAACAAGCAGATGTTAAAAAGTAGAATAATCGAGTGTATATATGTAAATTTACTTTGTATGCTTTGCCTTTTATTAGGTTGATATTGATGTGGTGCCATAAATCTGTAAAGTTGTATTACATTCTTGTACTAAGTATATCTTTATATGACATCATATATATTCCTTCCTTTTTTACTTCTTCTTTTTACTTTTTACAGAGTTCATCAAACTTTTATATATTAGTGCATGTATGCAAATGGTTTTCTTCCCATCGATGTGCTAAAGAGCCTACTGATATTGGACAATTATACAGTAGAATTCTAAAGTTGCATTGGCTTTTAGATCATTTTGATGAAATAGTCATATTTTATGCAAAGTTTAATTTGAATTGTAGTGTTTGAAGAGTGAAACGATACTTTTGAAGTAAAGTTGATGGGCAGTAAGGAAGATACTCCTACCCATTACTATGCTATGAAGTGTATTAAAATCTTTCAAAGAAAAGTAATAAAACACATGTTCATGTATGTCTCCTGATTCCTTCGAGTGTGTTGATGGGTGATCATTTATAAGGTCGTTTTTTCCTTTCCTACCGTGATCCAGTCTCTTCAGTATTTTTATGATACATTGATCCATGAAATAAAAAATACATCATAACATGAACTAGAAATGTCATTCATGTACATTTTTCTCTCATATTGGCAGTATATAAGGACTTCTTCTTCTTTGGTTTTGCATGTACATTACATATTTGACAATTGGTCAGAATTGATTATTTTTGCCATAAAGTTTCCTTTTATTTACATCAAAATATAAAATAAAGGATAACTATTATTTTGTCACATTATATTTGTATTCACTATTTTTTCCTTCTTACTGCAAATACATGAATATGTGTATAGACGAGTGACAAGTATAATTTACGCACTATAGCTCCAAATATCGCCCCTATCGACACATGCTCACTGACATTTACCTCCAACCTTTTTTAAATGCGATCCTACCAGTCTATGAAGTGCATCTCAAAGACTTCTGGTTCTAAAACCTTGTACTGGGAACGTGGGCTCTAAGAAAACTTCATATTTTTTTAATGGAATGTACCGTACATGTGGGTACTACACACAAAAAGCAACGATGGATAAAGCAGCTCACTTTTTGCATTGAAAATGCCTCACTTGATCTTTATTACGTCATGTTTTGTACATTTATAAGCTGTATGTAAACAAACACGAGGCTGGTCTATCAATTGGATTGGAATTAAAATGCATTCACATGATATGTTCTATAACAAAAATGCATGATATCACATAAAGAACTATGCAATATAGAAAATCATGTCTAAAGCCTCGGTCACAAATGCCATTACGAACTGCTACGAACGCCGTACAAACGATTTTCAGACAATGGAAAACGGAGATTCGTACGAAATCATCGTTATTACGAACCTTTGTGACCGTAGCTTTAATTAACGAATGTGATCTAATCATGATTTACAGTGAAGAGTCGAATAATAGAGGTGAATTTAGTTCAATTTACAAAGCATATCGAGCTAAAAAAAATTGACAATTATGTATAGTTTATACATACATCTCTTTTGATTTTTTTGTAGAATATAAATGATTAGCCACTGTCCAAAAAGCCAAATGTGATGTTGGACAAGCGGCCATTGTGTTCTATAATACTATGTTTCTCTTGTGAAGAAGCATCCATGATGACCTGAGCAGCTTAGCAGCTTAATTATTAACATTTTTAAAACTTCTTTTAATTATTAATATTCTTTTGAACTTTATTCAAGTGAGAACGTACAATAGACCCATTTACTACTTAAACTTTGTGCATGCTTCTTAAAAGTTTTATCTTGATAACTCAACGGCTTGTCAGAGGCTTGCTAGACATAGCAACAGCCATTGTTTGCAAAGAGAGATTTCATCTACAGAGATGGCATCATGCATAGTGGGTAAAGTTGACAGTTAGAAACCAGAGGTTCTGAAGAGAAACATGTATAACTGAAATAAGTTTTATTTAGTAGACAGGTATATTGTATGTTGCATTTGTTTAAAGGTAAAGACCAGTTCTGGTCATGCCATTGCATTGTGAAAGCAACGTGGAATCGATCAGAAAAGGTTGATCATCTAGCATATAAGTATTTGTGTGTACTGCAAGGTTCTGGAATCATCAAAATAATAAGAAATTTGGCCCAGTCTTGGTAAAGTTACAAGCACTATACACATAAAGATATATATGGGACTACTTGATATCTAAATATGATAATTTACCAAATATATCAATTAGTAGGTGGTTTCCTGGCAAAATTTGTATCATCACGTATTAGTCAGAACATATTCTTTCACATGATTGGTAATAAGAGCTTCCATTTCATTTTTTGAGAGGGGGGCGTTTCCAAAACTGGTCTATACCTTTAAAACTACATCGTACAGGACCTACTTTTGCAAAACTATTCTATTATTGCATTAGACAATGAAAGAACATCCATTCTGAATGCAGTAACCTTGTTTGTGTATGAAGTGGATCCCACGGTGGGTGGTGTTAAACCTTGAGAGAAAGAGGTGAGGAGTGTTCCATCAATATTATCTCCAGTACTAATCATCTTGCATTCTGTCCTAATCAGAGTTCATTTCTTTTTCTTTCCCCCAACCTTGGGTGTTGGTTTTCTAAGACTAGCTCGTCCAATGCTTCCTTGTTTTGCTTTCTTGACTAGCTTTGCTGGAGTTACCGTCTCTTCTTTTGTTCTCTTCAGCGTCTTCTTAGGCGTCTCATCTTCATCTTCTTCATCTTGCGGATCTTTCTTGGCTGCTTCCTTCGCTTCAAACCTCATCTGTTTTTGCACTGCAACAGAACAAGAGAAGACAGACAAAATATGACAAGGTTGATCATATGACCTGAATCTATCACAAAAGTCAAGCTAGGCTGACCAACTTGTCTTGTACATCATAAAAGCCACACCGTACTACTTGTAGCTACTTGCTAACTCTATATAGAAAACTTCCCAATAGGTGCCTGTTGGTCCCCCATGATCCTCTTTTTCCTATGTTAATTGAGAGCTGAGTTGATGAGATAGCCACCTGTCACAGTGACCTCGCTGGCTAGCTGGGTGGTCTAATCCCTTCTGGCTGAACTAGTACAGCCGGCCTTTAAAACATTCAATACACAAGAGTTTGCATCTCTGAGATCTTAGAATTTGAACATTAATCTACCCTCCACATTTGCTCTAAGGGTGTATGAACTGTATAGACCACATCATCTTCTCACAATAAAAACACCTACAGTATTCATTTCAGAATTCCTTACTCTTATATTAGATTTACAGCCATCAAAGTTGCATTTCTTGTTGCTATGTTGGGTAACACCTATGGGTGGCACATATCTAGAATACCAACAGCCAAGTTTACAATACCCTAGCTCATAACAAACTTGATTCTTTTCAAAGAAACCAGAAGACAGGACTTTCACTTTTTAAATCTTAATTCTTTTTATCAATGACCAATAAAGTCTAGTAGACATAACAGAATATGAAAGGAGCTTACTTTTCTTAATGTCTGAATTATCTATCACAATCTCTGTCTCCTCACTCTGCTCCCATTCTTCATGTACTAAAGAGGTATAGATTGGTAGCGAGACAGACTTCTCTGTCCTGACGAAGATAGATTTGACATTGGACCAGCCTCCGGGGACGATCGTCTTCAGGGAGGCGATGGCAGACAGGATGTTATCAGTGATGTCTTTGGCGGACATACCGATATTAGCCACAGCAACAGTGCTGAAAACCAAGCAAATGATAACATATTAAATACATGTGCAACTTGTCTTAGGGATGTAATATATTGGAATTATGATCACTTGTTTTCAAAAACAATTAATCTACATTGTAATAATAATAATAATACATGAGATTTATATAGCGCCATTATCCATTTTAATTAAATGCTCAAGGCGCTTCAAAATATTAAGGAACACATTACATCATGACAAAGAATCGTGTACATTTACATTGTAGGAGCAAATCAAACTTTGAGTGCAGCTGCACAACAGGAAATCCATCATTTCTTTTATTTACTCAAGACGTATTAGAAATATAAGTATCTGCACATTCTAATTAATTCATTCTAATTGAGGATTTCATCTTACAAAGTTTCCCCATTAATGCATAATATTTGTACCAAAACAAATGTTTAATTTTGCTGGAAAAATGGGCATAAACTACGATCATTGTTTAGTTGGAACAGCAATTAACGTTTAAATTCATTCCCATTATGTAAAGTCAAGGGTATGTTTACAATTAGAGCCACCTATACACAGAGGTTGGCCAACTTGGTTTTCAGTTGGTCATAACATGGTATATATCGTTTTGTCATGTGCTTGCCCAACACAGCAGTATGCACCATATTGTAATCAACTAGGACTGGGTTGGCCAAACTCTCCTAATCAATGGCTCTGTACAGAACATACCTACAGCTCCCTCTGTGGGTAAGAATGAGATAGGCTGCTTCTATAGTTTCTGTAATCTCTTTCTTCAAGTCTGCCTTTTCAACATTCACTGTGACTGGATACCTGGGAACAGAACATATGTATATTGATTTCATCAATGCTGTTAAAGTGACAATATTATCCAATCATGTTGCAGGCCAATGTTACAGACTTAAAGGTAATACAAAGTTTTGGTATGGGGTCAAACAATTAAGCTATAAAACAATGTTTTTGACTAAAATCAACCCATAAGTTGTTCCCGTTTGGGAATTATATATCACAACTACATGTTCTGAGAGTTTCATGTACAGCCGTAGGCGCTATTTGAAATATATCAACATTTACCAGGAGCACCGGTAAATTATTATAATCAATTTTTCTCAAAAGCAGAAGTGTTTTAGGGGCTAAATTTTCTAGTGCTTATAATACATCCACAGGGGCATCCAAATATATCAAAATTGTAAGAATCACGATCCACTTAATTTTCAAAAGTTCCCAAAACTTTGTATTACCTTTAAAGGAAAATCTGGACAACAACTACACCCTTACTTTTGAAAAATTACTACTTTTTTATAGAAATAAACTGCAAACTAGGAACTTACATTTCTGAAGAAGCACTAAGAATTATGTGGCTAAAATCAGCCAATTTGATTTGATGATTCACAACAGTACAAATAGTTTACACAAAACATTATTTAATACTGGTTGAATTTTTAATAACAGAATAAAGAGTTTATGACAAATCATTTTCTCCTTTGATTTCTACCTACCTATTACGTTTGTAGAATTCTTTGCCGAGACTAGAGTGGAGTAACCTGAAGATTCTCTCGTCTGCTAGGAACAGATCATAGGACTTGGCCATCTTTCTGCGAGCCTCAAATGGGATGTACTCTTTCTTGAACATTTTCAGAGGAATGACCTTCATAGACAGATAAATGATTCATATATAATGACCTTCATAGACAGATAAATGATCTATAATGACCTTCATAGATAGATAAATGATTTATATATAATTGTCTCCAATTCAAATGAACATTACACATTTCAAGATTAAAAATGGTCATTTAATAATTCACATCAAATTCAAAGAAGAACATTGTGTTAAAATTGAACTAGGTATATAAGACAAAGAATGGCCAATTAATATTTTTCTTTCATGAGAAGGAAAAAGGTAGAAGATTTGACATTTAAGTGCCTAATTAAACAATGAAATATATCTCATGTTTGACTCATGATAACATATTCATGATGATCCTCCCCTAATATAGAGACAAGATGTTTTTTCTCCCATGAAGCATTACATTTATGTAAAAGATTTTTTTGAAGAGCCTATCCATGTATCCCACAATGACAATAATTTCCCAGTTTTTGTTTGTGATTATTATCTCACCTCGTTAACATTAGTGACACCCTTGCTGCTTATTTTATCTTTGTAGTGCACCTGGCATCTGTCAGAGTCCATCTTGGGTTCATCCTTGACAAACAGACACACACTAAGGCTTCCAGCATGAGGCCTGTGAGGAAGCTTCCTGTACAGATGAAATGTCCAACAAAAACATGCATTCTACATCAGTTCTACATCAGGGGCCAGTTTCACAAAGCCTTTTTTCAATGACAAAATGACAAAAATCAGAGACAAATCTGCTGATAACCAATCAGATGCAAGGATTTCAGTAGCTTATAACAAAAACTGTCATTTGTCACTGATGACAAGTTTTTTGAATCGCCCCCCAGTTCTACTGTTCTGAGAAATCATCATATGACAAATGTATGTAATAGATAGATTTGTGCATACTTTTGCAAGTACAAAACCGGTCTTTTTATAATGTATTGTGTGACGGGATGGAAATATGTTTGATGTGGAATTCTGGATACAAGACTATTTTGAGACTCAACATGGCTTCTACTAGCTAACCAAAAGTTTGTATTGTCCTCTGTTACTTGTAGGTGAACCTGGGAATATGGGCCAGGATTAGGTCTGTAAAACTTGGCAAGACACTAACAAGTATTCACTCACAAAGGACAGGCCTGAATGGTAATTTGCGCTTTCAAAATACATGTACGAGTCTGACCCTCTACTTTCTCTGATAGCCTTGAGAAGTATTGTTACCACCCGACTGATTTACTCATACTTACAGTTTATGTGTGGTACTTTTCTTAGTTGTAATCTTCCAGACTGAGATTTGTAGCTGAACCTTGAGAGGTTCTCCAAAAAGCATCTCATTAGCATCTTTCTTTGTCTTGTGATACGCGATCAGAGCAGTCGCTGCTTCTTTCACCTGAAATATAAAAATGCAAACATTTTAAGGTCAGCATTACTGAAATAATTCATGTTCAATGTCAATTTACATCAATTTAAATTCAAAAGCTCATTCAATCATTTTGGCATGTCTACTTGTTTGGCATAAATTTGAGGGGGGGGGGGGGGGAGAGGACACATCCCTCCCTCAATTTTTTTTTAGGGGGGATCGTCCCCTCTTAGTCTTAGGCTCTGGATGGCCCAAGAGTGCAGCGTTTAGACTAATAATAAATATTTGTTATTAAAATGCAAAAATCTTCTTGCTCCCTCGTGTAATAAATATTGTAGAAAATCTGTATTCCCTTTCTTAATCAGTTAATATACCATAGTTTCTCTAAGGAATGTAATTTTTTAATACAACAAAACTTAAAAATCTTGAGAGGGAGTAGTGACTTCTGTCACTTTCGCCCCTCTCGTCCTTAATATTAATAATAACCGACTAGATCTATGCTCCCCATCCCTCGCATTTCGTCCCCCCGCCCCCCGTGTCATCATGGTCATGAAAAGAAATCTCCGCCCCTGCAATTAAGGCATGGTGATATCGATTTGTGTTTCAAGAATCACCAAACCCGCAAGGCTAGCTAGGAGTCTATTTTACTTGTGTTGTTATCTAGATGTCTATGCTTTTTCGCTAGGAGAATCTACGTCTGACTTAAACCCTACATGAAAAGCATAGTATGGGACAATGCAAACTTGTTCCATATTTAATTTTAATTTAATTTTAATTTAATTCTGTGTAGATCTAGACCTAAAGGCTAAACCAAGCAAATGTTTTATAGCTGATCGAACTCACCTTTTCCCTCTTTATAGCTGCGTCAACTGCTTTATCCATGCTATCAGATAATCAAATTCAAAGTGAAAAGCTTGAGTTCACCAGCAGATTCCGTCAGTGTCACGATTCACAGCAGCCACGTGCATTATGCGCTGCATACAGTGAAGGCTTATATACCACGACAAATTACTCGGACTTACTTCAGTAGTACGTTGTTGTTTAGATGGCGCTCTTCAATCTTGTCAGATTATCTGCGCCACGCACGGCGTTCGAACTTTTGATCTTGGCTCACTTTTATGTTTTGGGGGTTCTGTCTTTACAGACCCCTGTTTTCGAGTTCACAGTTGGCTCATCTTTCTCAGTGAAGTGCTTCTGTGCATGTTTTAGTATAATTTAATTTAATTTAATTTCCCCTCACCATTAGTGCATTTTGATCATAGCCATGTCATGTAGGCCATATGTATCTCTATGATTTTAACGTTGATATTCAAACATTTAGAACCGAGTTTCGTATTATACATAGGATTCAAATCTGTTTGGTTCTAAGAGGACTCTAAAATCCGATAAATTCCGTAATAATTTTACTCAATCCAATGTATCGATCACATTTCAATCGTTTTTGTGCCCCTTCCTCTTATAACTGGAAATATTTCCAATTGGAACCAATTGGGTAACTGGAAATGAATTCTAACTGGAACCATTTGGGTAACTGGAACCAGTTGGGTAACTGGAAATTACTTCTAACTGGAAATGAATGCTAACTGGAACCAGTTGGGTAACTGGAAATTAATTCTAACTGGAACCAGTTGGGTAACTGGAAATGAATTCTAACTGGAACCAGTTGGGTAACTGGAAATAAATTCTAACTGGAACCAGTTGGGTAACTGGAAATGACTTCTAACTGGAACCAGTTGGGTAACTGGAAATAAATTCTAACTGGAACCAGTTGGGTAACTGGAAATGACTTCTAACTGGAAATTAATTCTAACTGGAACCAGTTGGGTAACTGGAAATGACTTCTAACTGGAACCAGTTGGGTAACTGGAAATAAATTCTAACTGGAATCAGTTGGGTAACTGGAAATGACTTCTAACTGGAACCAGTTGGGTAACTGGAAATAAATTCTAACTGGAACCAGTTGGGTAACTGGAAATGACTTCTAACTGGAAATGAATTCTAACTGGAACCAGTTGGGTAACTGGAAATGACTTCTAACTGGAAATGAATGCTAACTGGAACCAGTTGGGTAACTGGAAATGACTTCTAACTGCATGGAACCAATTGGGTAACTGGAAATGAATTCTAACTGGAACCAGTTATAGTTGCACTTATTATTGGTTTGAACTGGAAATGAGTACCCATAACAATATTTTCCAGTTCGGCAATTGGTTTCAACTGGAAATTTTCTATTCCAATTGAAACCCATTGAAACCAATTGAAACCAGTTGAAACCAATTGAAACCAGTTGGAGATTTCAACTGGTTTCAATTGGATTTTGGTCCTGGGTTTCAACTTCTGATAAGTGCCCCTTTTAATTTGACACTTGAACTTCTCGAGTCCTTCGACAAGTTCCTATTTTCCTTTGCAATAAGTGTCCATTTTCCATTATCATAAGTGCCCTTCTTAATCTCTATAGTTGGTGCCCTTTTTCAGGTACTTTTCATTTTTGATAAGTTCCCCCTTCACCTTTGATAATTTCCTTATTCAAATCTGAGAAGTACCCCTTTTATTTTGACAAGTGCCTCTTTTACTTTTTAGAGCTACCCCTTTTAAACTCGGATAAGCGCACCTTTTATTTAGATATGTGCCCATTTTCCTTTCTAATAAGGGTCATTTTTTCTTATGATAAATGCCATTTAAAAAAGAGCCCCTTTTCCTTCTGATAAAAAAAATGCCTCTATCAAAATCTGATCGGTGCCACTTTTCTTTCAACGAATGCTCATTTTCCTGTATTATATAAGGGCCTCTTTTGCATTCTCATAAGCTAATGCCTCTTTTAACAATGATACGTGCCCCTTTTCCTTTCTAATAAGGGACCTATCCCCTTTTCATAAATGCCCCTTTTCACCTCTGATAAATGCCTCTATCAAAATCTGATGGTTGCCCCTTTTCCGTCGACAAATTAATGCACACTTCCCATTCTCATAAGTGCCTTTTTTTAATCCCTGGTTAGTGCCTCATTTTTGTAGGCGTAAAAAGTGCCCCACTTTACCTCTACTAATGACCCTTTGTATTTTGACTCGTGCTCTTTTTATTTTCTAATAAGTGTCTCATTCTTTTCGAGAAGTGTCCCCTTTTCCTCTCATCATTTAAAACGCGCCCCTAATTTCAAGCGACTAAGAGCAATTTCCTTCAAATATTCATTTGCTGGATTCGTGCAATGTGGTTAACACTTTTAGGAACAATTTAATTGAAAGCATTTACAGTGAGCATTTTATCATAATTATGCATAACATTGGGGAAGGGGTGATTACAAAGGCCATCCCCCTTGGTCAAAGAAGGGGAACTAGGAGATATTTTCCCATATAGTTCCCCCCCCCCCGGCCCCCGGCCCCGTGACCTCCGCCTATATTATGCTCATTTGCCTCGAAATTATGCTCATTTGCCTCGATATTTCACATCTAATTATTTAATATCTTATTCCATATTCGAAAAATATTTTTGAACCTTTATTTTCAATAAATGCCACCATAAATCCCACGGACTGTGCATGTTTTTGACAGCTTCAGTAACTCCATGTTTTGACTGAGTCATCTGTCGTATAGCTGAAAACGAAGCTTCTCAATTCTCCCCTAGAATTTCCTCGGAATTTGTGAATTTTACTTAGGCCTACATGAAATTTGAGGATGTGGAAAAACATGAACTATGCCTCTTTTTTGCCTTTCAAAAATGCAAATGCCGTAGATATATTATTAACAATAATAGGGGAAACACAACAGGATTTAAAAATGTTTGAAATCATGTAGATATGCAACTTATATTAATAATAATAATAATAACAAAAAAGTTGCTTTTAAAGCGCTTACTACCGAAGTCTCTAAGCGCTAAAACAAACAAAATACAATGATAAACAATAACATATTAATTAATTTTGTTTAAACAAATATACCTACAAATTACAATACATAATGAAATATACATCAATGCGAACAGAGTAAGTTATTAATTCATCAAAAGCCAGTTTGAATTGGTCAACTGAGTTTGACAGATTTTGACATGTAAAAAGGTAATTGTTCCAAATGTTGAAAAGATCATCCATAATTCCATGGGACTATTATGCATCCTTTTGACAAAAAAGAGGCGGAAAAGGGGGCCAGATACCCGTCTGTGAGCCTGTACTATAATACCATAATATAAAGTGTACGTACGTCCGTACGTATGCGCGCTCTCTACGGGAGCCCGAGTTATGCATGCCCACATCGCCAATCTCCATACATGTAGGTTGTTTGACGACAAGGTTTCCGATCCGCACGCTAGTGCTTAAGATTTATCATGAATTTGATGGTGTTTCATTTGTTTCTGCTACTGATATTGCTACAGAATGGCTTGACATGCGGTAAAAATGTCCTTGTCCTCGTTGGTAAGTATCTGTATATCGCAATACTAGATAATAATCTAATATAAAAGAAAGACAGAACGTGTAACTGTAACAGTGAGTATGCCTCCGGTAGTGCGGTACGAATAGCCAGGGATTTCCCCGGAGCCCAGCTGGTTGAGGTTTTCATCTACTCTGACGTACCCGTACCCGCGCATCCAATTGTGTTTGCTTTTTTCAGCGCCTTTACAAAATTGCAATCAATAGCTGAGAAGTTAGAGGATTATATATATATATATATATATATATATATATATATATAGAGTCTATATATATATATATATATATATATATATAGTAGTTGAGATTTGTCTCTTATCTGTATGTGTTCCCCTCTTATTTTGTTTGTTGTTTAGATCAGTATACATGTAAATTTGTCAGTTTTTAATATATTCCCTTCTTCTTCTTCTTCTTCTTCCAGTATAGTACAGTCTTGATAACATACAACTATTGTAAATATGCTATATAGATTTCTGCTCTTGAAGTTGAAGCTGAGTCTGGAATACAGTCTGGAATGAATTGAATTGAATAGAGAGAGAGAGAGAGAGAAGAAGAGAGATGGGGGTTCTTCCAGTCACCTAGAACTGCTACAGATTAACTCCTTTTTTAGTATGAAAAAAAGTTTTAAAAAAGAAAAGAAAAAATAATTCACCTTTATCAACATTCAATAATAATTTTTACATAGAATTCTCTCTTTAGCCTTAGTCTTAGGTCGACAACCACTTTGTGAACATTGTTACCCTCTAAATAATGGATACACAGGGACACTTTGAATTCAAGACATTTTCATGTAACTCAATCATTGTTATTATCGATATAAATCAGTGAATAGATAGTTCCCAGATTAATCAATTACAGTGTTAGAGTTTTTTAAAGAGATATCCTTTAGCAAACTACTCTAGAGAAAAGCAGAAACATCAGAGAAGTAGACCGGTGAAAGTAAGAATGAAATCAGACAAAATTAAAAAGTTATGATTTGTTTAAGTTGTTATCACTATAGGTATGGCAGGGAGTTGGAATGCCAACTCGATCCTAGGGTATGGGCTCTTCATACTGGGTAAATCAGTAATGTCTCTGTGATGTACATGTAGTAGAAGACAACTTTCCCATTTGCTCCAACGCACAAAATGAATACAATTTTATTTTAAAAAGATAAATGTATGACTCGGAAGTGGCTTTTACATTTAGACTTACACTGTATAGGACACACAATAATATGCTATTTGTAATATATTTTGAGTAGTGCATGCCCCAAGGAAGAAGGGAATTGGGAGAAAAACAGAAATTTATGATATTTGTGTACATGACAAAAAGGAGAGTTATCCGCAATCATGCAGTAAACTTAAAACAGCATCACTTCTTCTATATTGCACTTCACAATCCACTGATCAAACTAACAATTTTAGATTTGCATCTAAACTTAGTTATCTCATATTTTAAACATTCATAACTTTCAATTTTTTTCAAATTTTCACCATTCAGTTTCTCTTATTTTTCTGCTTTTATTACAAGGGTTGCATTGCAATTTAAGTTTTAAGACAGTCAGCTTTTCCTCCTCACTGTGGCACCAATGATTTATGTTTTCCACACCTACATAGTTTTAAATTACAATATCAAATGAATATTCTTTGAATACCTTGCATACCAAAGCTTCTGGAAGAAAACCGTCTCCAGCTGCCAAGCTTCCAGGTCTAACTTCAAGGGGGGGGGGGGGGGTGGGGATGTCCCAGCTTCCGGGTCTTGCACCATAGTCATTTTACCTCTGTATCTTGCTTGCTGGGTCATATCAGGAATGTCATAATTGGAGTGTCTGCTGGGAGAAGGGTGAATTATATTGCTCCTTCTTACAGTGTTTGTCAAATCTGGCTTTAAAGCTGTTTACCGAGTTGCAAATACTACTAACCAATGAATGTGAATGGAAATTTATGATTTTAGCAAAACTTGCCAAATTGTACAGACTTTATTGATTACTTGTTATCAAATTGTTCTGGTTCATGAGTGGCATAATGTACTGCATCAGGGAATATTCTGTGATGGCTCTTTCTGCTCATTTAATACGTAGCATTCTAGATCAAAGGATAATCCGAAACCCTATCTAACAGGACACAATGAAGTGCCTTGGGTCAAAGGGATTGGCTATCTTTGTCTCAGATTCTGAAACAAAATCCTGGATTGAGCTAATGCTGCAATCATAATTATAAACCTTAAGGTCAGTCATCAGGAACCCCATGAATTTTACAAGCCGATCGCCTGTCTGATTATCATTTATCAAGATATTTATTATTGGAAATAGAAATTAAAAAAAATGTTTTCTTAACGGTTTTTATAACACTACAGTCTATTGAGAAAATGAGTATAGTAAAACCGGTCACTTAAAGGTTTTTTCTTTTTTGAGGCACTTCATCACCATTTTAAAGCGCAATTTTTGTTTAGGGCTTCAATATTACACCATATCGCATACACTGATAACACGTAGGGCCATGCATCTCTGATTTAACATTGTTAAACGATGCCTTTAAGGGATTCCACACCTTTCATGGGCAGAAGATTGAACATATACTCCATTTTCTGATGTGCTTTGTAACTTGTAAGCAGATTATAAGTAGGCTTTATCCTGGAGCCACTAAAAAGCCTCACTGTTAATACCCATTCTTTTCATCTTCAACAATAAGATACCTTTGTGTACCGGTAATGCTTTTCTTGAATCTAACTATACCACTCCCAGTATGGCTGAGTGCCCATGTCTGCACAAACATGTAACTGGGCAAGTCTGGTTAAAAAAAGTTGCCCCCCCCCCCCCCCCAAAAAAAAAAAGAGAGAGAAGAGAAAAAAGTAAGATGACCTAGGTAGAAAGCAGACATAGAAACATTTTTTTATATTCAGACAAGGATTTAGAGTAGAGAGCTTCCCCGCTTCGTGCAGGAGGGGGAAAACTGAATTTTAGAAATGGATTAAGAGTCAAGAACAGTACAACGAATCGTCTTCTTTCTCCGATAATTTAATGAAACGTCAAAGCTTCCATGCTTCGCGCAGGGGAGGGGCAAAACTGAATTCAGACAAGGATTAAGAGTCGAGAACGGTACAACGAATCGTCTTCTTTCTCTAATAATCTAATGAAACGGTAACGCTTCGCGCAGGAGGGGGGGAACTCTCCCCTCCCTGCACCCACCCCCCTAGGGAGCGCGCTTTGCGTGCTTACTACCACCTCCTAAAATAAAATCCTAGCTACGCACTTGCAACTTTCCCTTTTGTTCCGACACACTAACTAGCTAAAATTTTAATATCTTCAAAAATGTATGTCTCAGGAGGGTCTTTTATCTTTAGAGGACCTATAATACTACTATGCAATCCATAATATATTTTGAGTGGTGCTCCAAGAGAGAAGGCCCTTGGGAGAACAGAAAATAATAATATTTGTGTATACGACAAACGAGAGAGTTATCCGCAATTACGTCACAATCCACTGACCAGATTTCCAATCTGAGATAGAATAGTAATCTCATATTTCAAACATTCATAACTTTCCTATTATTGGTCCGATTTATCTCAAACTTTCACCATTCTGTTTCTCTAATTTTTCCGCTTTCATCCAAAACGAAATTATTACAAAAGTTGGATTGCATCTTAATATTTAAAGGTAAAGACCAGTATTGGAAACGCCCCAATTTCAAAAAATGAAATGGAAGCTCTTATTACCAATCATGTGAAAGAATATGTTTTGAATAATACAAATTTTGCCGGGAAACCGCCTACTTATTGGTGTAATTGGTAAATTAGTTTATCTATTGGTGTGTGAGAGATAAAAAGGCACGTGTTGCGCACGTGTGCGTAATCCCATGTACACCTTTCTGTGTACAGTGCTTGTAACTTTATGAAGATTGGGCCAAATTTTTTATCATTTTGATGATTCCATCTATGCTAGATGATCAACCTTTTCTGATCGATTTCACAACGTTTCTTTCACAATACAATCGCATGAACATAACTGGTCTTTATCTTTAATATGTTCTCCTTTTTAGCTGATGATGGTGGATTTGAGATGGGAGTGTACAACAATACAGTTATCAAGACTCCTCATCTGGATGCATTAGGCAAGCAAAGTCTGGTCTTCAAACATGCCTATACCTCCGTCAGCAGCTGTTCACCAAGCCGTTCGGTCATCATGACGGGACTACCTCAGCACCAGAATGGGATGTATGGACTACTCAATGGCTATCATCATTTCAACTCTTTTGATGAAGTCAGGAGCTTGCCTATGCTACTAGGTCAAGCAGGTGTGCGTACAGGTCAGTGTTTGGTGCTCCCATCATTGTAATCTAGAGGGATTTAGTACATGTGTGGAAAAATGGGCCAGACAAAATGGCTGAATAAATCATCTCTTTGAGATATACGGTCAAACCGGTCCATTGAGGCTACCTAAGAAAAATAGAGAAAGTGGCCGCTGTAGTCAGGTGGCCTGTTCTAGAAGGAGACCAATTATACATGGTTAATATAGACAGGTGGCCTGGAGGTGGAGTACTAAGGTAGGTTTGATGACATGTAGACAACACCAACAATTATCTATTTAAAAAAAAAAAATTTAATTGAATGGCAACTGCGTTGCAACAAAGGACTTTTTTTGTATTCACTTTAACTAGCACTATGTCATCAGATAGAGAAATGTGAAGTGTATCTTCACATGGTAGTGTGAGCGTGTCGTGGCCGAGTGGTTTAAGGCGCTTGACTGGAGATGCGAAGGTCGAGGGTTCGAATCCTGACACAGCACTAATATCCTTTGGCAAGATATTAACCTGCACTTGCTACTCTCCACCCAGGTGATAAATGGGGGCCCGGTAGGATGCGACCGTCATTGTTGGTCAAACAGTTTTTGAGTGTCAAGTAACGCCTGGCTGGAATGCTCCCCAGGGAGTGGAGATGGTGCACACAGTGTGTGCGGGCAAGTACTGAATCCAATGACCAGGGTTATAGTACATCTGTAAATCGCTTAGAGATATTTTAAGTACTTGTTTATGCCTATAAATGTAGAATTATACAGCATCATAGATTACAGATTATTTTAATTAGTAAAGAAATGGTTAATTCGTTATATTTTCTGAAAACTGTTTTAATTGACAGGAATCATTGGAAAGAAGCACGTTGGTCCAGAAGCTGTGTATCCGTTTGATTATTCTAAGACACCTGAAGATGGTTATCCGATCATGCAAGTTGGTCGAAACATCACATTGATCAAACAATATGCCAGAGAGTTCCTTCAGACCAATGATACCAGGTAAATGACTTACAGGATTTAAAGAGAAAGTTGAGTTCTGGGGAGAGGTGAAAAATAATTTGTGAGCATTTTCATCGTTATTATGCAAGTGTGGACGAACATCAGAGAAAAAACGTTCCCTGAAAAGCACGACTCTTCAAATGCCTTCATATTCTAAATATAACATGTAACAGCTAAAAAATGTGGGCCTCATTTTTACATGCCACATGTTTTTCTGATCGATTCCACACTGTTTCTTTCACAATGCAATTGCATGACCAGGGGGATGTTTCACAAAGATCCTAAGTTGAACTTATCTCTAAGTTGGACTTGACAATTATGGAAAGCCGTTAGCATCTTTGAAAATATTTTGTACAAGTTATTTTAAAAGGCATAAAACATTGATTCAAATGACTCACATTTTCTATTGTTATTTGTCAAGAAGATTTCTTGTTCTTGATGTGGAATTTAGTCTAATACTGGAGTTTTTGCTTTTGAATATATTTTATTCTAAGACTACGAATGGCTCTCTATAATTTTTAAGTCCAACTTAGAGTTAAGTTCGACTTAGAATCTTTGTGAAACATCCCCCAGGACTCAACTTTATCTTTAAGGTTCATTCACACATGATGCGGTAAACTGCCGCACAGAAAACAAACTATGCTGTGGTTCTTATACGTGTAAATGAATTCAATTGTGTTAAGCATCGTATACAAAAAGATAGTGGAGGAAACTATTGCATGATTACTAAATGAAAAGAAACATGGGATAGTCTCAATTAATGAATCATTTGTGACTGCATTTGACCTGTCATTTGATTAGGATTTAGGAGTGAGTTGTATAATCCAAGTTATGCAAAGTTATAGATAAGTTTATGAAGGATACAAATGACTATAGATGGTCTTAATTTAGCAATTTTACACCGTGCTAAAAAAACTGGTATATTTTCATAAATACCTGTATATCTTCTAATTTTCAGTTCTTAATATCTCTCTTCATTTATTTCAGACCTTTCTTCCTTTATATTGGCTTCCATGATGCACACCGTTGTGGCCACACCCACCCTGAATTTGGTCAGTTCTGTGAGAAGTTTGGTAACGGTCAGCCAAACATGGGTACCATAACTGACTGGACACCGGCCAAATATGATCCTAACGATGTGATAGTACCTTATCATGTTCAAGATACACCGGTAGCTAGAGACGATATATCGGCACAGTATACAACAGTTAGCAGACTTGATCAAGGTTTGTTATATTTTAGCTTTATTTCTTATAATTGCCTCTCTCTCATCTCGCATCCAAAGGCCTTGTTTTCACACATCCAAATGACATGTCATAGAAACGGCATTGATACGGCCAGTTTCCCACAGCTCTCGGGAGCAAAACTGCTGGTTTTCAATCGTAATATCCCATATAGTTTAATTTGATTATAATTCTCATTCACTCCATTTGTAGAAAGATTGTATTCCTGTGAAAATGAGGAAACAAAACCAAATCAACTGTTGCTTTTACAGTCCATGAAAATTTGACTGTGGCATATGTCAACATTCACATTAGTCCAAGTCATTTCTATGGTCTCCCAAAATTCAACTTGTGCAGAATTGACCATATTTGAAACATTTTTTGGGAGATGCTAATGTAATTAATCTTTTCTTCTTTTGACTTTCTTCTGTAGGTGTTGGTCTGATGATGAAAGAACTTGAAGCAGCAGGATACCTAAAGGATACTCTCATCATCTACACCTCAGATAATGGTATTCCATTTACCAGTGGACGTACTAACCTGTATGAATGTGGGTCTAGAGAGCCCTTCATGATCTCATCTCCATTTCATCAAGAGCGATGGGGTCAGACCAGTGATGCCTTTATCAGTCTGATGGATATCACTCCCACTGTCCTGGACTTCTTCGGCATCAAGTACCCAAAGTATAAGATCTTCAAGGGATCGGTGCAATTGACGGGGAAGTCCCTTCTGCCAGCGTTGACCTCTGAACCCTCAGGTTGGAATGTGAGTCTGTCCAGTCATGACTTGCATGAGATCACTATGTTCTACCCTCAGCGAGTCATCAGGACGCCACGTTACAGACTCATTCACAATCTTAACTTTGCTATGCCGTTTCCTATTGATCAAGACTTCTTCATCTCACACACATTCCAAGACATCTTGAACCGCACCAGGTATCACAAACCCTTGCACTGGTACAAGACACTCAAAGACTACTACTACCGACCCGAGTGGGAACTCTTTGACCTCACTGATGACCCCACAGAGGTCAATAACCTTGCCTATGTGGGCAAGTATAAAGGCCTTCTAGTCGATCTTCAGGAGCACTTGGTTGATTGGCAGAATGTCACTAATGATCCATTCCGATGTTATCCATGGGGTGTGTTGGAGGATGCAGGGGATTATAAGTACAGTCCTACATGCTTACCCCTTGATAATGGACTATGAACTTTTCATCAGTTCTAAAACTGTTTTATAACACCTAATCCGATTTTGTATGTTTATTAAGGAAATGGCTTATTAATGTTAACAATGTCATTTTGGTATAACACTTTCACTATATAAACACTTTGGTACCACATATTCCGCATACTCTAGCCAGAATTATCTTGGGCTTCATTTTCAGCTGGTTAAAACAAATATAAGGAGGGGATTTGGCCTGATGAAGCAAGTTGGTTTGAGGAGGCGAGTGTTCAGTTGGTAGTGTGCCTGCCTGTTGAACCACATATCATGAGTTTGAATCCAACTTGGGCAGAGGATTGAAGCCTGCATTTTGTGTCGTTATGCCCCTCCCTTGGTTTAAGACACACAAGCTACATGAACTGTAAGGTGGAAAACAAAGACCCCTGGATAGGATGTTAAATGGAGGCTCTGTGTGTGAGAGAGTCATGCATGTTAGAACCCACTTCAGTCATAAAAGAGTAGGAAACCCCTGTGAAGTGGTCCAATCAGTTATGCAGGTGGGGGGGGGGGGGGGGGGACCCGAAGGCTTGGTGATTTAATTCACTTTTCTCATCCTTGGCAAAGGGTGATATCAAATACATTAAACAGCAACAGTGATGTACAAGGTACATGCCTGCCACAAACAGTTGAGAATAAGGAAAAGGGTGAGCAAGGAGCCTGTACCAATAATATGATTTAATAGGCACAAAGAGATTGAGAAGTATTTTATGATAATTGTTGATTTCTGAATATTTATGATATTTTTGTGGTCAGTCGACTTTGCTTTGTCTCTTTAAATTTGAAAGACTTATATTAAATATTGTTAATTTACCTTTTATGTGACACAATTTTGTTTACTGGTTAAGTGTACCACAGTACTATTAACATATATTACACATCCAAAATGTTGTTCATGTAAGGGAAAGTCCCTTACTGCCAATTTGTAGATTTTTTAGTACATATTTATTTGAGGCCAACATAAATTTCATTAACTATTAAAAAGTACACAAATTCTTAAAATTCATGAACATTCACAAAATATTCTAACTGATTCTTTCTCTTTCTACACAAAAGACGAATGTTATTTGGTTGGCAAAGCATTTACAGGAATGTGGTGTATGTTCAATGTGGTTGAAATAAAAATGCTTATTCAGGGTTGGTATGATTCAAATTACCATGATTTAAATCATTGCCTTAGGTTGTAGAATCGTGTGTTATATAGAGAAATACTCTATTCCATTTACACTATGCAGGGATATTCATGTGCATACACTTGTTTATACCACTAACATGTTTTTTTTTTTAATGGATTTATTTTAAATGGAGGTGCACTAATGAGGGTTCAAATGCGTACTGATTTGTTTAAAAATTTGTTATAGCTGTTTTTGTCAACAGATGTTATATGTCAAACATCCATCCCTAAGGATACTAGTTAAACTAGTCATTGTTTTTATTGTTCCATTATGTACATATGTACAATGTTCATTGTTCATTAAGTGGTCCCGAATATAATGGCTTTTGCTAATTTAGTTTTATTCATTCACTTTGTTTCAAACTTTAGAGTAAGATTGAAAGTCATCATGAAATATGAATTTATTTTATATGGCTAGCTATATTTTAATGGCTTCACTTTAATGAAGCATGTATGAAAACTAAACACATTTTATTAATGAAATTACTAACATTTCAATATGTAATACTTATATCGGTAGGAACTATGAGCTCAAGATTTAAATGTTCAAAACTTTATTTTAATTGATTTTTGTTGTTGTGCACACTCTCGCTTGTTTTGGTCCCCCTTTTTCCATCATGTACTGTAATAGTTATTTAGGCTCTTTCCCTCTCTCTCCTTAACTTTGCAACAGATATTGAGATGTTCTCTCTCTCTCTCTTTCTCTCTCTTTTCCATCTATATCACTCTAAACTGAACGTTTAACTTTTGAAATATTAATTCATGTAGCTGAATGAGTAGAGTCTAGTGTCCAAAGAATGATCTAGTCTCCATTCATTTGACAATCATGTATGTTATGCCAATCCACCTTTTAAAACATTTAAAACATTTTTTATGTTACAGTAAAACCAATTCATACATGTAAACCTGCAACTATTTTTTTATATATTAACTTAAAATGAATAAACTTTGATTATTAACAAAACTGCTTATGGAGCTTTTTTGTGAAATATCTCATTTTATTGATCACAGTACAGTGACTATGGGAGTAGTAGACCAGTAAAATACATATGTACGATTGCAGATGTACACTTGTACAGTCACAAGATTATGTTTCATTCAGTTCAGACACCGTATTTGAATGGTCAAAAAGGAATTTTTATTTTCTGTGCCTGAAATGGTACACTTTTCTATCATAAACATGGTCAGGTCATATAATTGTCAAATTTCCTGAATGCACCAATACCTCGTTCATTTGAAATTCACAGTAGAACAGAAAATTATCTTCTTATGTCATTCAGTATTACAACATATAGCTATATTCAAAAGTTTTCACATGAAGATACACATATAAAAAGTGTATGGGCCCCAAAATGCACTGTAGTTTTATCATTGACAATTATATTCAAGACATCAACATGTGTAGATTTTTGAAAATTAAAGGGGAAGTCCACCCTTATATTAAGTTGGTTTAAATAAAAGCAGAAAAAATGAGAGAAACAAGTACTGTATATGAGAGTTTGAGCAATATCAGATTAAAGATAGAAAAGTTATGAATTTTGGATTGTCATTGAAACACAAATTGGTAATACTGTGACGTATCTAGCAAGCTCCTCTCCGATTTGCTCTGTACAGAAAATTTCATAAACTTTCATTTACTTAGTTATTGATGATGGAATAGATTTGTTTCATACAGGGGTTGTATAGAAACATATTTGCAACAATATATAGGGTGAATGAATTATTGAAAACATTAATTTTGAACTTTTGTTTAATAGTACAGGGCAAATGGGAGGGGAGCTTGCAAGATACGTCACAGAGATGCCAATTTGTGTTTGATGGATCGCACCTTCAAAAATTCATTACTTTCTTATTTTTTATCGCTTGATACTCAAACTTTCACTGACCTGTTTCTCTCATTTTTCTGCTTCCATTGAAACCAACTTAATATCAGGGTGGACTTGTCCATTAAAGGCATTGTTTAACCGTGTTTCCAGTTTTACAAATCTGAGATGCAGGGCCCTACGTGTTATCAATATATGGTGTAATATTGAAGCCCAAAAAAAATTGCACTTCAAAATGATCATGAAGTGCTTCAAAAAATTAAATATCTTTGAGTGACCGGTTTTACCATACTCCTTTTCCCCAATAGAATGTGTACAGTGTTATAACAGCTGTTCAAAACTGTTGGGGAAAAAGGTTTCTGAAATTTTGAATTCCAATCATAAATATCTTGATAATCAAACATGTGATTACAACATCTTAATCTGGCCGGAAAGACTGCAGTCTTGTATAACTTGAAATATTCTGCTGTCTTCTCTTTCATCCTGTCCTTGAATGCTCATGGATCTGTATTCCCAAAGACACACCTAGACTGCAGTCTCATGGAACTTGTAGTCCTCCAATGTCTTGTCCTTGGTCCTGTATTTAGCCCAAGGATGCTCTGGGACCTGGACTTTCATACGACTCAGCCACTGGTTGTAGAACCCCCTGAATAGGTTCAGCTCTTTCTTGTTGACAGGTCTACTTGATCTCATTGTCTGTCCAACCTGTGATAAAGAGCAACCAATGGAATGGTAGACTTTATTATATACCTCACTTAAGAAATCCAGCCATCTGATTGGTCGAATTGCATTCATAAACTTCAACTGTTCCTGTAAAATTCCCGGTAACCATGCATAAAACATTTCAATATTTTTAATAACCATGGTTATTAAAAAAATAGGTCAGTCTCCATGGTTACCCCATAGGTTTACATGTTAAAAAATGGTTTGAGCGATGGAGGATACCATACGTGTGCGAAAAATTGGTCGGCAATTTCAATACAATTGAATCTCGATCGATCTTACCGACAATTTTATCTTGCATTGTTGACATGAAGACGAAAATTAACTCTCAAAAACAAAAAAACAACATCTGCCGCTAGCTCTTGATCTAAGTTCGTGCCAATATGCATTGCAAAAGTAAAAGAAGGGTCCGTTTCATGGAGCTTTTGCGAAGCATCCCTCACGCGGAGCCGTTTTCAATCCATTTTAATGTATATATTGGAGAAAACTGCCAAGCATGTTAACGTCGCGCGATAGCCGAGTGGTCTAAGCGTTGGTTTTCGATACACCTCTTGTTGTACGCAAGAGTTCGAATCCCGTCTTCGACAAAAATGTAAATTATTTTTTATTTTTTATTTTTTAGTCTATTTTTTTTCGGCATATAAAAGTATTAATGACTGCTTTAATATTCGAGAAATAGTTGATTTCATACGCTCTCGGGAAGGTTACAATTGGGCTATTCCCCTCGGCAAGCCTCTGGGAATAGCACAATTCTAACCTTCCCTTGAGCGTAATAAAACAACTATTTCTCTCAAAGCAGTCATTAATACTATACTATATTCTAGGATGATCCTTAAAAGGCGTTTCCATGGTGGTGTATTTATGAACCTTTAAAATGCAAAAGACTCCTCCTTGTTTCTGACTGAGCAGTTTAAAAATGTTTCTTATGACATGTTTCTGTATGAAATTGCTTTGTTTTTAGCTGAGTTTGTTATGGTATGACTAGTCTATTCAAAGCCCTGGGGCCCGTTGCATAAAATCTACCATCGATGGTAACTTTGCCATTAATGGTAACTACCATGGCAAAATCACTCAGCAGCCAATCAAATCAAGGTTTCCATGGAAGTTACCATTGATGGCAAAGTTACCATCAATGGCAAGTTTTATGCAATGGGCCCCAAATCATTATGTAAGCTACAGCAATTAGAAGAACAAACCTTGTTTTGTCCAAAGGCGGCAATTTTCTCGAGCTGTGTGAGTACTCTCTCATTAGGAAGCACGCCTTGAGCTTCCATGTGCTTCAGAACATCAATCAGGTAGTGATAGTTCCTGTGTTTCTGAGTAGATCCAATCAGAGCCCCATAAAGATGGCATGTTGCCTCAATTCCAGCCTCCTACATGTATGTAGCAAGGGACGAAACAAGAGTGTCATAATAGGTATTCAGAGGTGTCGTGGTTGAGTGGATACGTCGCTGGACTATTGATCACAAGGTTCGAGTCCTGCCGCGGCACTAATGTCCTTTGGCAAGACATTGATCTATATTTGCCACACTCAAACCTGGTGATGTAAATGGGTACCTGGCAGGAATTAATTCCTTGAAATGTTGGAGTGCTGTAATGGCAGCTAGGCTAAAGCCAGGGTAATAATACATATGCCTCGAAATAGAATTTCTAGATAGACAGCGCTTTAGAAATGCCTATTATTATTATTATTCAATGAAACATGTACAGACATATACCTTTCATATTTCATATTAAATCTAGGTTCATGAACTAAGTTAAACTTCACAAGGATCAAAGGCTCATAGTACTTGGTTTGGGGAATTTGACACCATTTGGGTGTTTAACATGATAACAGGTATTGTCACTCACCAAGAGTAGACTTCACTTGCCCTCAACCTACTGCCTCGTAAGAAATTCTCATCAAAATAAAAATTACCCTCACCCTAATGCCTCAGTCACACCTTTGCGTATTGCTGCATATTTATGGCTAGCGGTTTTAACATTTATTCCTATTTCTTGACATCAAGAAATACTATTATTATTATTTTTAATATTATGATTATTTATTTTTGTTGATAAAAAAAAAAGAAGGAATAAATGTTATAACGGCTTGCCATAAATACGCAGCAATACGCAAGCCAAATACGCCAAGGTGTGACTGAGGCATTAAGCAATCAAGAAAAGCTGGAGTAATTTTCTGGTGGGTCAAAGAGTTTTGTTGCCTCTGAGACTTTGTGCACACATTGATTGATTATTCAGTCAAGTTTGTTGTGATTGAATTATAATGCAATTCATATCAAAACATGTGGGTTTAACAAAGTATAATTCTGTAAGACCTTCTAGATTGTCTGAAGCATGTAGGTGGATATGAACTTTTTGGTCTGCCCTTGGACCCGTTTCAAAAAGCCTTTTTTCTATGACAAATTACAAAAATCAGTGACAAATCTGCTGAGAGCCAATCAGAAGTAAGGATTTCAGTAGCTTATAACCAAAAGTGTCATTTGTCACTGATGACAAGTTTGTGAAACACCCCCTGGGGGGCATTTCACAAAGCCTTTTTTCAATGACAAATAACAAAAATCAGTGTCAAATCTGCTGATAACCAATCAGAAGCAAGGATTTCAGTAGCTTCTAACACAAATTGTCAATTGTCACTGATGACAAGTTCTGTGAAACGCCCCCCTGGTGGGACTTTCTTACCTCCATCTCTTTGAGCAGCTGAAAACCTTCTTCTGGTTGCCCACACCCTGTAGCTAGGTTGACATACGTCCGCAGGTTGGGATACACTTTATCCTCACTAATGTGCTTCAACACAGTCTGAAAGCACATAGATAACAAATACAAATATTAAATCATACAGTAGGCTTGCGGGTGCACCATGTGAGAGTCCATGTGAAAGTCATGCGTAACTTTACGAACCCCCAGGGTGGTGTTTCACAAAGACTAAGATCGACTTAAGTTGGACTTGAACTATGGCAGGTCGTTCATGCCACTAGTTCCTCTAACCATTCCTGGCATTGGTTTCTCAAGGGACGTACAAATCCTGGTCACAAATCTACAGAATTTACCTTTTTTGATAGCTCATTATTGAAGGAAAATATATTATCTAAAGATCGTTGAGAGACCAATGGTGAGAGCAAACAGTGGGACGAATGGACTGCCATAGTTCAAGTCCAACTTAAGTCGATCTTAGTCTTTGTGACACACTCCCCTGCAGAAAAAAAGTCCTTGGGCTGTCATAGGCACATGCTGAAGTAAAAAATGTAACTTTGTGTAAACTATAACATAAACATGTTTGGGTGAATATTTTGCAGCATGTAATTTTTGTGAATCTGGCAAAAGTAGCATGAACACAAAAGATTCAGATTTTAAAATACATTACACTCAGGGATTTTAAACTTGAACCATATATTCTCTGTCCTGTCAGTTATTTTAAAACTACCTGCATTGTAATTAAAATTTTCTGCATTTCTAATCTCTTGCCATTTGAGTCTGGCAAATTTGCAATGTTATCTTCCAATTGCTTTATGACCATGCTATTGATCTACATGGTGTTCCTCCTTCTTTTCCTCCTAATATATCTGTCAAGAAATACTGATATATGCTGATGTGACAAGGATAATATGCATTTCTTTCTTTGCCTAGTTCTATGACGACAGACTGTTGTTATCTTGCCATTTGCATTTACACTTCTTTCCACCATCTAGAGACTTCGGTGGTAAGCGCTTTATAAGTAACGTTTTTATTATTATTATTATTATTATCTATGATTGTGAAAATTGAATTGAAAATATAAGATTTAATTAGAAGAGTCAATCTTATCACTTTTTACATATTGTTAGACTTACCATTGCACTCTTCAGATCTCCTCTTCTTGTTCTTCGTCTTATGAAAACATTGTAGAAATCAATGTCCACCTTCAGCTTGTGTTCTTTGACATGGTCTAGAAGACGATTCTCTTCCTGCTTCTTTCCTGGAAGAATTTCTGCTAGAAGTGAAAGACTCTTAACATCAGGCTTCACATTTTTAGCTTCCATGTTCTCAAGAAATCCCTGAGCTCCTCCTAAGAGTGCAAGCCTTTGGTCAGGATAGCTGATCTTTGCAAGCGACTGGACATTGCTGAAATCGGAGGAGATATCGAGGAGATTAGGAATGTCTGCCAAAGTCAGACTTGTACTCGTCCTGTCCAAACTTGCCGACTTGGATGATGTCACTGAATGAAACCTTGTCATCAATGAGTCAGGAGTTTGTACAGACTCATCCATCACGGTAGCATCTGAGCGTTGTTCACTAGTATCCCACCAGTGTGAACTAGCACCTGCTTCAGGGGAGTGTCCAGTTCTTGATTCACCGGTTCTCTGACGACTCAAGTGACTATTCACATGATGTCTTTGATCTGGATCAACCGAGGGTTCTTTCAACACAGGTAGTTCCATCATCACGTCATCTTCTAATTCTTCCTGATATCCATCCTCAACCTGAAGTGGCTCAACTTCAATCATCTCTGCCTTCTTACCAGTCAACAGAGGTACAGCAACAGCTTTCTTCTGCTTCCTCTCCCCCTTCCTACGTCGATCCTTAGCCCTACCCTCGGTCAGCAATGCAGGAGTCTTCTGCGCTTTTGGTGTGATTGTCCGAAGTAGAACCCTGTTGGCCACCTCCATGTCTCCCAGGCTACAGTCTCTTGTGGTGCGTAGGAGCAGGTTGTAGGTGTAGATATTTGGTTGGATACCCTGAGCCGACATCTGTCTCCAAGCCTGTCAAAATGTAAATGACCACAGTCATGACATAAGAAAATATATTTTGATACATTAAGAAAGAAAGAAACACATCAAGAAATGAGAAACAGACTTCATTAATAGCGATAACAGGATTTTGCGCACACCACACTGTGGTATTTACTATAATCTTCAACCATAAAGGATCCATTCAACATGAAGAAGAAGAAGAAGTAGAAGAGGAAGGAGAGGAATACAAAAAAATATTTTCACAAACTATATGAAACAGTTATCAATTATGATTTTTGCACAAATTCAAAATGTTAGTGCAGAAAACATGGTACAAATAGACAGCTTTTTAATAGCATAATGTAGTAGGATCATCTCACCTCAATAGCATACAGAAACCCTGCTTCTTTGTCTTCAGCACAGGCAAAGAGAAGGAAAGAAAAACTCTTCGGCATCAACTGTATTCCAGACTCAACCAGGTGACGGAACAGTTTAAAGGTCATCTCAAGGTCACCACACTTTGCATAGGCTTTCATCATGGCATGGTGTGTTATCAGATTCACCTTAAAATGAGACAAAAGATACATTCCTTCCATAAAATGACTTTAAAACTGGCAAACAGTGCATAACATATACAAATTACATCTCCGTGGCTAATATGGCATTGCTAGGAAAATATGTTGAAATTCCAACAGGTAACTACACCAGGGTCACAGGTGGAAAATGGAGATTAATGTCTTGCCAAACGATTATAGCGCCATACTATGACTTGAACCTACGACCTACATCCTGTGTCTCTAGTCAAGTGTTCAAACCACTTTACAAGTCATTGCTACATGTTAACAAATTATTTCACATTTGACTAATGGTATGTTGATATGGATAACTATCAGACAGGAGTATACAACTTGTCTTCTCTTTTGATTGAACTGTAATGGAATTCCTGGGAATTTGATTGTGAAACTATGAAAATTCAATCTATGGAATTACTAGCAATCAGATGAACCTCCTCAAGGGTCTTCACTTTATGCTTAGCAAAGCAGGGATCATTACACATATTATTTCTACTGTTTTAGAAGTATAATATCTGTCATTTAGAACGGATTTCAAATCACCTTGACAGATTTTTCCAGGAGATGTTGGTGAAGTTTCTTGATTCTTGTCACACCATCCGTCTGTTTCCATGGTGATTCTGAGCAAGCATTAAAGAGTGCTGTGTATGTCACACTACTCGATTCCAAACCTCTCTCCTTCATCTGTAAAATAACAATAGATGAAAGAATAATAATCTTGTTAGAATCAGAGATATTCCATGCTCTGAGGGTTTTTTTACAAAAAATAAGCCGTTTCCAAACCTCTCTCCTTCATCTGTAAAATAACAATAGATGAAAGAATAATAATCTTGTTAGAATCAGAGATATTCCATGCTCTGAGGGTTTTTTTACAAAAAATAAGCCGTTCTCGTTTTGCAATATTTTGAACTACATAGAATTTGCCTTCAGAGGTACATCTTTTGATTAATTTAGAACTGATTAAAATATACAATAATTAATATACATATGACCAATGTAAATATACGGTCGATAGATCAGCAAGCAGTACAGCTAAAGGAACACATAGGCCTATTTATATCATCCATTTGCACTACATAGAACCCATTGGCCCATATTCTTCTACTCCCTTACACTTTTATTCAAAATCTGGTTTAACACAAGAGTCAGTTCTGAGGTCTGTCCAAGTTTTCCTTTGTTACACATGATCTCAGTCCCAGGGTTGGGTTTCATTGAATTAGTAGAATACAGACGATAGAATATGAGGCAGATACTGCATGAATGACTTCAAGATTCTGCAGGAATGACTATAAGCAACAGAGCAGTGTTTCCCAAATGATCAAGGATTTGGAGTGGACACACTGGAGAATAGAAGGAGGGTTGCTAGACTTCAACTCTTGTACAAGATCATGAATGGAGAAGTGGGAATCAAGGCTGACACATACATTCAAATCAACAACAGAGGGGAGAAGAACGACTAGAGGTAACAGCAAAAGAATCCAGAGGGTACTGATTAAGAAGGACGTGCACAAGTACTCATTCTTCCACAGGACAGCAGCAGAATGGAAACAGTTATGTCTACCTCCAGTGCAGTCTTCAAGCAGAAGCTTCAAATGTGAAACACCTCTCCTTCCATAGCACTTACACGACCATACTAATCAAAACGTTGGTGAAGTACATTTAACCCTAAGTATACCGACGCAACCGAAACAGAAATAGTATAAGTTTGATCCTACCTTGTTGTAGAGTTTGAAAGCCTTGTCAGTGTAGCCTGCCCTTCCACAAGCACCTATCAGGATATTAAAGTTGTACTCCGTAGGAAACACCTTGGCTTCCTTTAACATCGTCACCTCAAGCATCTCAATGGCTTCAGATAACTAAAATAAAGAAATAATGGATCTATTAAAATCATACTTTATGGAAAACATACATTCATCTGTTCAGAGCTACATGTAAAAGGGCATTTATTATGTATCACTTAATGTCCATCAGGCTCCACACTGATGATATATTGACAGATGAACGAATCAATCAAATGAGGGCTAGATAGATAAACAGATGAGTTGTTAATGACTGTATAGAAATGTAGAGACAGTAAGGAAGACAGACATCCATATAGATAGATAGATAGATAGATAGATAGATGGATTAATAAATAGACAGATAGACCATATGAAGAAGAACAAATATGTTGTTTCAGATTCAGAGGTTGATAGATGAAGACAGAAAGAAATGCAAATAGAAAGAAAGATATTTTTTTTTGTAAAAAACATGCTTCCAGCACCACCTTCAGTGGAGGAGGCATAAATATAGACGAATCGGAATACACTATCTAATGTGTTAGGATGATAGAACATACCTTATCTTGCTTGATAAGTTTTTTCATCTGATTGCCGTACCAGATGGGTGTATTCCTCTTAACACGAGGTTTGACCCATTCACTTCCTAGCTCAGCTTCTTCAATTTCATCTATTAGATCTGTTCCAAGCGGCTGATACTGAAAAGAAAGAAAGATTTCAGGATTGGCCAAATTATGTTTTTTTTTTTTATAGAACAGCATTCTGAAGAGTTCTGTTTGAAAGATAAGATGATGGATGATAGAAATACTATTGTAGTGTCTACAGTATCATTGAAGATATTACCTTTTTACCAAATCAATTCAGCATGTATCAAAGTGAAGTAGCCTCTTGTTTTTTAAGTATGTGTACTCTATCTTTATGACAGGTGAAAGCAAAACCTAAGAAGGCTATTAAACACATTTCTTCACCCTCCCTCAATAGGTCTGTATAAAATTCTTAAAAATGAGGCATCAGCCACATATTTTTCTTGCATTTCAAAAGACATGACTTCTGATACATCCGCCTTGAAGATTAATTCTCATTGACTGGTGTATTATTATTGAATGTTTGCAACAACAAAAAACTTCTTTACTGTATGCTTGAACTTGTCAGAGAGCCTTCCAAATGTTTGTTCTTCTTTCTCTCCAGTATCCGCTCCTTCTCTTTCTCCTTCATCTGCAGCTGACATTGGAGTAGAGGTGTATCTTTTGGTTGGAGAGTACTCATGTTTGGTTTGCTCCTCTTGAGATCTAGAGCTTCTCAAGGGATGGTGTGATGAAAGTGATCTAGCAGACGATTGGTAGAAGATTGTTGACCTCCGACACAGGGATTCCTGACAAAATCTTGGTATCAACCATAGATGTTGAGAGGTCTGCTTCAAAGCATGAGCCATACTGCTCCTCTTGATCCCGTTTGTATTCTAATCTTTAGCTGCAAATGTCATGTGACGCCTACATTGTTAGAAAATGAGGAAAATGAAGGAGGGAATATTATATGAAAAAAGAACAAGAAAAAGAATAAAACCTTGCCTTTTTTTTGGCAGTATGCAGTAGAGGTGCACACAACAAGAGGAGGGGGAAGTTATCCGGGCTTGGAAGGGGAGGGGTCACTTTTCAACAATTTGGCAGTGCCAGTGTCAAATTTCAGAAATGCCTTAAAACTAAATTAAATAATTTACAAATCATATTAATAATCAGTAGGAGCGATGGTTAAGAGAATAAGGATCGTCCGCACAGACGAGGATCGTCTTCGTTAACGTGGACAGATGCGTCTGAAAAAACAAGGATCGTCCGCATTTTCGCTGACGATTCTTAGACTCTATTTCTGATCTGCGCATTGGCGAAGCGAAAAAACAGATTCGACCCGCAACAATTTTCTTGATTGAGTTGATTCATTTTAGTTTTTTACATTGACTTTGTACAGAGACTTTCAGGGAACTGGGGGTATTTTATTACCCAGAATCCATTTTTTGCACTGTCGATCTGTGCGTGGATCAGATCAGGAACCCGAAACCAGAGTGAGAGCGCCATAGAAAAACAAATTCCTATTTTTTAGGACACATTTTGTCCGCGTAAACAAGGATATTCTAGTTTATGCGGACGATCCTCATATACCTCAATCTCGGATCAGCGCCCCTACGTTAAACAGTCAAGAATGACATTTTCACTTTTTCACTTCAGACTTCATCATCATGCCATTCACGTGCATGCGCGCATGGCCATGGCATGTGTCTCACATCACAAGTTTGTCCAACACAAAAGTAAGCGTTAGGGACTGTATTAATCAAATTACCCCAAAATGTGTAATATTTGCGGGTTTAAAATGGACATTATATTCAATAAAAATGAGCAATTATTGTGAAAATAATGAAAATATTATTATAAACTACAAAATATTCATTACATATCATCATAAAACGTTTACAGACTAGATTTATCGGTCAAAACAAGCTCATGCTCACCGTTTTGTTGGAAAAGGAACGATTGCACTGAATACGAACTAAATACAAACTTTTGTAAAAATGTCATCAAAGGTTACTCCTTTAAGCATAATATTGGTATCATCCGGTTCAAAGGGATACCGCTTGCTGTTTAGATATCCATTTCAGGCCGAGGAACAGCAGAAATTGGTTAAACGAGGTAAATGAAAAATACCCGTATCTTACATTTCAGTCCCATACGTTCATTTCGAAGTTTGTTCTAAAAAATGTGTGGAGCGTGTCTTAATTACACCAGCAAGCATGGCAAGGCCATTCAATGGGGGTAACACGATGAGTTCAAACTTAATGCACTTTGTGGTCTAGCCAGTCTACATGGTTTAGAACAATTTCTTTTGTTTATTTTGGTTGTACCATACCGCACTTTGTAGTTAACTTATTACAGTCTACACTACACCTACAGTACGTTTTCTGAAGTTGATTTGTGGAAAAATTAATAAATTATGGCAGAAAATAGACAAAAAAATATGTCAATAATTAAAACCCGGTGGGGTCACTCCCCTGCAAAGAGTGACACGTATGACCGTTACCACCAATGCATATAACCCCCTTTAACCCCCTTTTGCGGTCAATTTCAAGGACATTTTGTGAAATTTAACTAGGGTGTCTGATCGCGCACCCAATGTTGTGTCCTAAAACCCTTCCCATAGAGATTGTACGCTTCCCTATGTGGTCTACGTGCATTGCGCGACCATCCAAAATTGGTCAATGATTTTATGAAAAAATTTGAAATTCAAACCTTTATAACAAATGATCCTGAAGGTGAAACTCAATAAATGAGGTGTCATATGAAAGAGCAGGTTTTTCTCCATATTCCCCATCGGGGGCCACCCCCAGAATTCTAAAAATATCTTGGTCAAAATAGCGATTGAAATGTTGTTTGCATCCTAGCTCCAAAATTTGCCACTTTCCTGAGCTGCCGCCCCGGCCCCGCGGCTTAAGCAGGGCTAGACGTAAGGATAATATCCAGATGCTTTTTTTTTTGCTAGCCCCAAGGGATCATTTGTTATAACAGTTTGAAAATACCCTCCCACATTTTTGGAATCAGCTAATTAGGGAGGCGTGAGCTCCGCTCAGTCCAAACCATGGTTACATCGCGTAACATGTGCGCTTATAGTGAATGAAAGTATGGATGGCCGTTCCCACTATAAACCCCGGAAGTGAATACACGTTGTAGTCAATGGCAATATCGCGGAGACATCTCCGCGATATTGCCATTGACTATAACGTGCATTCACTTCCGGGTTTTTTGTGCGACGAACGCTAACCATACTAGTCAATGGCACGTGTCGCGGAGACAGCGTAGCTCAAGCTTGCAAGTCGCGCATTGGCTGAGCAACTTGCGTACGATATGCATACGCTTGCATATCGCGCGATACAGCTGTTTGGCTAAATTTAGCAAAACAACATAACTCTGCATGTACGTCTTTTTCGTCGATTCTGAGCAAAATGCTATGAATATTTCAGCGTTTTGAAGGGGCTGTATCTTTTGATAGAAACATCGGCGAGACTTGAAATTTGAAATGTATTATTCTGATTACATTTTTAATTCAAATATCAAACAAAAATGGTGAAAAACGATCCCAAATTGAAAATTGAAAAATCGTTCAGACACCCTAATTTAACCCCCTTTTTTACGTCAAAACAAGGACAAAATCCTACTTTGGAATAGGTCTTCTTCTTCTTCAAGATAATCTGCCTCCTTCAATACTGAAGATTCTTGCAGATGCCGTATACTCGGCCTGATTGGGGTGTGCAGGTGGACCATTACACCAAGGTTTCCCCCTACTCTTATACGAAAAGTGCAATGGGTTCTTAACGTGCAAGGGTGGTGACTCTCCTGTACACGGGGCCCCCATTTAACGTCCTATCCGAGGGACGGAGTGTTTTCCACTTGACATAACCTGCGTCTTTGAACAAGGGAAGGGGCACGTTAGCACACAACGCAGACTTCAGTCATCCGCCTCGGTGGGAGTCGAACCCGGGATCTTTGGTTCGACAGGCAGACGCTTTACCGACTGAGCCAACTCGTCTACCCCTATTTATAAGATTGTAAGGACACTTTCGCAAATTTACCCCTATTTTACCATATTTAAAGGACAAGACTCGGCTCTGAGAATTTTTCTTCCCGGTTTTCTCTTTTCCCTTCCCGGTTTTCTCTTTTCCCTTTTCCTGACCCCTATTTATCAATTTCGGGTACACCTGTGCACCCCTATTTTCTTTATTTCGAGGAATATTTTGTCCGCGGACATTGCTTGAAATTGACCCCTTTTTCCGCGATTTTGGTAATGGTCATGCGGTCCGGAAGTCACATTGAGTGACCCCACCAGGAATTTAAAAGGCTCAATTTATGAATAATCATGTATTGCATCATTTCTTTTGAGATTTGTTGTTGCCTGTGGCCGTGTTGTGTTGAGTAAAAGTATAATTTGTTCAAGTCAAGCATGAGCTACGCAGTACGCACATCATGTAATAAATGAATACAAATCTTAATTTTGCTGTTGACCAATGCACCCAAACCTTGTTTGATGTCCATGCACAGGTTATGTAGGTGCATGGAAAGTTGATTTAAAACAGCAATTTAAGCCCCACTGCACTACTTGTAGCTACTTGCTCCCTCTATATATAAGCCGTGCCCGTTGGTCCCCCCTATGATCCTCTCTTTCTTATGTTAATTGAGAGCTGAGTTGATGAGATAGCCACTTGTCAGTGACCAGCAGGGTGGTCTAATCTCTCCTGGCCTAACTAGTGCAGACGGGCTTTAAACAAGTTTACAAGCAATATTTCATAAATCTTGCAAGATTTATGTTCATGATGTATAGCTATTTGATGAATATTTTCTGTTAAATCCAAAAGGCAACAAAAGAGAAGTAATATGTATGTCAAGTGTCCAGACACACCCCCCCCCCCCCTTACAGTGTAGCTAGGTTCCAAAAAAGTATGGATTTAGAGTTTACTGACATTTGTCTGGAAATATTCATGTGAAGAGATTCATCAACATTTTCTAGACCCTTGTCAGGTTCTGGTTCAACTGAATTGGATGGACCATTATGTTCAAGACCCGGCTAAGGTCAGTATACTGTTGATATCTTCTGAAAATACCAGAGATGTCTTTTTCTTCCTTACACCAACAGATCAGTCAGATAATCCATTTGCACTTCAGACTCCTGAGGATGATGCTTATACCAGCTCAACTAGTCAGTCATCTACAAGGCAGTCTTGTATCATATCTGGGTAGGTCTCTTTGACACACTCAATTTTAGTCATCTACATGCAGTAGACAAGATTTAGACATTTATTGTCCATGTATCTCCATTGCCCACAGACTAGAGGTCTGATCCAAGTTTACTACCGATAACTTCCTTGAAAAGAAATTCATAGCCTTTTATATCTTTTTGGAAAAGGCATTCCCACATTATAGTTGCTGGTTCTGTTCAATAATCTTTAGCAAATTTCAGATAAAATGCCAAATTGCATACAAACATATTAGTGTTAGGGGACAAATAGTGCTCATTCTTGATTTTCACCCAAAGTTTGCCAAAAAGTTTGGAAGGTATATTGTAGTCCCTAAAAATGTGATAAAATAAAATAAAAACATACCAGTACTTACAGTTATAATAACCCTAACTGTTTAGAAATTATGAGGAATTCAATTACACTGAAACTGTTTTTTTTTCTTCCTTGTTTTTCCCAACATTCAGTGAGCTTGACAATGTACTAGCAAACATCTTAACACCCAGTAACACAGACCTGTGTGATCAGAGGTTTGAAGTCACTGTGGATGATGTAAAGTTTGTTGGTCATCCACTACTTGTACAGGATGTCAATGCAAAATGGGTAAGTGGGTATTGTGTGTTACTTTGTTTGTTAAAGGGATTGTGTAACTTTGTCTCAGATTCTGAAACAAAATCCTGGATTTAGCTCATGCTGCAATGATAATTATAAACCTTTAGGTCAGTCAGGGACCCCATGACTTTTACAAGCTAATCGCCTGTCTGATTACCAAGATATTTATGATTGGAAATCAAATTTTAAAATGTGTTTTACTAATGTTTTTCATAACTCTACAGTCTATTGGGGGAAATGAGTATGGTAAAACCAGTCACTCAAAGATTTTTACTTTTTTAAGGCACTTCATGATAATTTTGAAGCGAATTTTTTCAGGGCTTGAATATTACACTATATCACAGACACTGATAACACGTTGGGCCATGCATCTCAGATTTAACATCGTTAAACGATGCCTTTATGGCGGAAACAAAAATTTGGACGAATCAAGGATTGTTTCTTACTAATGACTTCAGTTATTAAATTCTGTCTGAGAAATGGTTTAAAGGCACACTGTCCTACTTGTAGCTACTTGCTCCCTCTATATAGAAAACTTCCCAAATTGGTGCCTGTTGGTCCCCCATGATCCTCTTTTTCTTATGTTAAAAATGAGAGCTGAGTTAATGAGATAGCCACCTGTCACAGTGACCTTGTTGGCTCGCTGTGTGGTCTAATCCCTTCTAGCTGCAGTAGTAACGCCTACCTTTAAGAAGATCAATTTCCTGAAGAGGCAAATGAAATGTTATTAAATTTCGTTATAAATATCACTATACAATAGAATTCAGATTAAAGATGAGTTTCATGGTTTCATCTATAGGTTTATCGCAGTGCAAAAATGACGCAGGAATGATGCAGACTATCTAGCTTAAAATGATTCATATTCATTCATATGTAAGCTGAAATAACACCTACTTTTTGTAGAAGTAATGTACCATTTCTCATCTATAAGTTTAATACTTATGTATGGCAATGTTGTTTCTTACAGAGAGCAAATTCATCTACAAGGGAAGGATCAACAATCAACATGTTCAATGTGGTCTTTGTCTTACAAGTAAGTAAAAAACTCCTCAAAAGTAAGCACAAACACTCTAGTGAAAACAGCCCTCTTCTGCCTTTCAATCCCTTTTCTCCTTCCCACACTTTTCATACATCAATCTTCAATTAGTCTGACAGACAGAACTGAAAGCTCCACTGGTTGCTCTTTGCTCTCTAAATTATCTTTATAATCCTTCTCTGTTATTATGCTGATGTTTTTCATTGTTAGGTAAAATCAGATTACTGATAAAGAGCGATATCCTAGAGGAAATTTGGATGACAGATTTTTTTCAAGTGTGGTTTTGAATATCACTTAACATTCATTTTGCATAGCTTATGGTCATATTGCTTATGGTACCTCATAGACCTTTGGCCTTTAATCTCTTTCACTCATTGGTTGAAGGCAAGTGCAGACTGGTCTCTGGTCCATTGTTATCAGGATCTCAGTAAGCGGTTAGCATTAGCATTGAAGCATGAAGAGAAGAGATGTGGTTACCTGTCTCATCAAGCGGTCATTATGGTGAGAGCGGAAGATGAGGTAGCTGGTCAACCTGAAGGTATATTATCTCCTACAGTTATTTACACCAATCTTTAGCATATCTTTCATAGGGCTCTAGAAAGAGACTGTAAATTAACATTGAAATAAGATCATATAATTTATGATAAATGCCTTAAGTCAGCCTTTCATGCATATCCCTTCCTCTGCATATCGTTCAGCTTTTATTCATTTATTTTTCTTTCTATGTTGTTGTTGTTGTTCAGATATGTTTTCAGTTTTTTTTACACTCTAAAGGTCAATGAACAAAGAAGTCAGAAATTCTTCACGTGATCTCTTTTTTGGGGGAGGGGGGACAGGCTCTCCTGACAAACGGTAAAAGCTTTGTTTTTATCTTTCACCACACCATCCTACATAATGCAGCCTTTTGTATTGTTATTTTTGTTTCAATCTTTCTTTTCACATATTTCTATCTTTGTAGGACTAGAAGTCTTTTAGAAGGTTTCTCATCTTTTAATCCAATCATTATTTTACTTCCTTTCAAACAGACTGCAAGGAATCGCCATTTCATCTGATGTTACATAGGAGCAAACTCACACAAGATCTCAGAGATGTATATGAAGGGTAAGAATACATTTAGCCAGCCTGGTCAGATCAGCCCGACCCCTAACATAAAAAAATCTTCTACGTGGGCATGCCTAGCATGGCCCTACAGAGGAATTTTTCCTTTTTGGGACTGGGGGAAAATGCAATGAATTATTGAAAATTTATTGCATTTCCTTTGTTTTTTTGTTTTTGTGGGGGCGTCGACGTACCCTAGCGCCCGCTGCATATAGTCATGATTTATTGGCTAAGCAATGGCCTCGTTACTGTGAGCCCCCAGGATCAAAACCGTGTTGATTAGCATAGTAGTACACACATGCTTTAGCAGTCACACAAAACATATACTCCCCAATTGTCATTCAATAAAATCTGAGAATGTATACTATTATCTAGATCTATTAGGAATAAATCTTGGGGTAAAAATAATTATTCCACCATTATGACCAACAGTGTAGATTGTATGCTCATTAATGAAATACCATGAGTGTTTGGAATGAGATATAAGGCACATGACTGATAACTGATACTTTCACATGATGGACATAACTTAATCTCCTGATAATTCATATATTTCCATTTCTTTCTCCTTCAGTTTGCATACAAATGGAATAGCCAGAGTGTACATCAATAACTGGATTGAAGTGAGCTTCTGTCTGCCACACAAAGTACACAATGTATCAGAGGTTATTACTATCAAGGTGAGTAAGATTCTGTCTGTGATAAAAATAACATTCTACAAGGTATATGTGTGCTGTGTTCAAATCCGAACATTTATAATATGTTTAAGGTATTTTAATAGTTAATGGATATGAAGTAGAATGAGTAACAATATATTCTATGAAGGTTGAAGACCAGGATACTCTCTACATTCATTTTGTATCTAAAGTCATTCCTTTCATTAGTAAATGTATGTATGTATGTATGAATATACAGACCCTCATTTTACTGTATTTTGTTGTTTACTTTTAGCAGTATTTCTCTTTGAACCCATTATTATCAGGCTATAAATACCAAGTGAATGCTGACAAGTAGCATGAAAATGCGACTAGATGACTGCAACACAAGACTCTTGAGAGTCATCCGTCTATAAACAAATTGTAAATATACAACTTTTCTTGCCTTCCTTGAGAGGTAGTGATGTATAGGTTTGACTGTACCAGGGGGTCGTTTCACAAAGATCCCAAGTCGAACTTAACTCTAAGTTGGACTTATTTATGGAGAGCCGTTTGTAGCCTTAAAAAAAGATATATTCAAAAGCAAAAAATCAAGTATTGTAGACTTTTTATAAATTCCACATCAAGAACTTACAATCTCCTTGATAATAGAAAATATGAATGATTTGAATGAACATTTTATGCCTTTTAAAATAACTTTTGAAAATATTTTTATAGATGCTACTGGCTTTCCATAATTGTTAAGTCCAACGTAGAGATAAGTTCAACTTAAGATCTTTGTGAAACACCCCCCTGGTATTTTATTTATTGATTTTGTATACATAGCACAATGGGATTGAGAAGAGTCTTGGAGCCATCAGACCGTACCATGCCATGCTCTTACTGGAGGATCCAAACACATTGAGGGCATCCTTGCCGAGGGATTGTTCTCCAGCTCTTCATAGAATCATTCATATAGCCACGCCCCTGAAGCGACTTCAACAGCTCTCACAGGACGCTGATCTAGCACTCTCACAGGTGAGCATTAAAGACCATCTGTACTACTTGTCAGCTACTTGTGCCCTCTATATAGCAAAAAATGCATAATTGGTGACCATTGGTCCCCCATGATCCTCTTTTTCTGATGTTAATTGAGAGCTGAGTTGATGAGAAAGCCACCTGTCAGTGACCCTCCTGGGTGGTCTAATCCCTCCTAGCCAAACTAGTACAGATGGCCGTTAAGGTCATGGAGAATAGGAAATAAGATGGATCTGAAGGAGGACTGCAGGGTGAGAAGATAGAAGAGGAAGTGATAAGGAGATGAGAAGGTAAAGGATGGGAGAGGAGTGAGGGGGAAGGGGGAATGCAGTGGGAGAAGTGAGGAGGAAGCAAGAGAAGGTAAAGAGAAGGTTTAGTAGCCAGCATAATTAAATAGAGAGGAGCAGATGGGTGAAGAAGAGACAAGATCAAAGAGGGGAATGAAGTGAGAGAAGGAGTATATGTCAGAGACGAGGAGGTGGATAAAGCAGAGAAGAAGAAAGGAAGAATAAGAGGTAGAAGGAGGGGAGAGAGAGGGGGAGGGGGATACATGAATTGAGGGGAAAAGATTACATGAACAGAGGAGAGGAGAGGTGAGTACAGTTGGATAAAAGTGAGAAGAGATAGCAGAGAAACTAGAATCAGGAGGAGAGGAGGAAGAAGAGGAAGAGCTACTGACTGAAAGGAAGAAAGGAAAAGGGAAGAATAAAAAAGAAGGAGAATTGGAAGAAAATCTTATAAATTATGATACGACTATAAACCAAAATGATTAAAGTAGTCTAAACCTTGTTCTTCCTTTTCTAGGTGTTCCAGCTTGTTGGTCATCTAGTATACTGGGGTAAAGCTACTGTTATCTATCCTATTTGTGGAAGTAATGTCTACATCTTATCCCCAAATGCACCGACATCTCCGTAAGTTACAATCGATCATTCTCTGAATCGCGGTATCATTTCTGTTTAACAGGTGCAACATAGCCCTTCATGATTTTTGTCAACAACAATGGCAGTGAATTACAATTGTACTATGTAACAAATCATAACTGACATAATTTCTTTGGAACATATCATCCCCAAGGTAACTCTATCCTCATCTAAACCTCACCCTAACCCTGACTCATCCCTCGACCCTAAACTCTGATCCTAAACCCATCCTACACTTAACCATATTCCTATCCTTTCCATAATACAGATGTATTGTACTCTGCGTGATTGGGTATTTTACAGTTAAGCCATTTCTTTTGTATTTTCCATGGGTTCTTCAATTATTTTGTTAATATAGTTAGCTAACTGGTTCAAGTTCCTGTAATAATGCATATGAATTACTATTCTCCACTTTCAAGTTAAGATATTCAATTCAAAAGAGATAGCAACTCATAAGACTTAATTCCTCAGAGCCCTGTTGACATTTCACTTTCAGACATGTTTATATTGATTGTATTGTTTTGATCCTTATTTTATAGTGGAACACCTCTAGATTTTGAGTTCCGAATGAAGTTTGGTGAATCCCTGATCAAGGTCCTTTCAGATTTCTCTCTTCCGTTACCGCTCAGCGATCACAGGAACAGATTAGCAGAGAGAGAGGTATCAAGTACATGAATTATGTCTCAATTGTAATTATGAAATTACATTATTATTTTCAATTTTCAATGATCAAATCATTTAGTTTTGCTTTGTTTGTTTATAATTTTTATTTATTCTTCTACTACATACCTAACAAGTTTGTATTTTTTATATTATGAAACAAAATAAAGTAAAATAGTCAGTACGTGTCAGGACCCCAAACTTGCATGTGTTTTTATTAAACGTACTACAGGTATGCATGTAGAACTTATATCATATGAATTTGTATAATTACACGGTTACATTGGCTGATAAGTATTCATGTTCATGTCGGGAGGGGGGGGGGGGGCATATGCTAACGGCGTACCTGTATTTATCTTGGATTGACTTTTGATTCATAACCTATAGAGACCTGAAGGGGAGCTAATAAGAATCGTCATGTGGCTGCTCCAGAAGAGGTTATTGATTCAGGTAAATTAGTCTTTAAATATCAATGTTTTAGAACTCATGTTGAAATCCTAGGTGCTATTATCTGTTAATGTTGCTACTTGTATATTACCCTTTGGCTGTGAAGATGTCAAAGTCAATGAATGGTTCAATACATTAGATGTCATGTATTGTTACAGCTACTATAAGTGCTTCAAGTCTAACAAATCTTGTATCTATAACGATGTAATGTCAAAGTCAGATAAACAAACTCCGCTTACAAATTATAAAAAAAATCTAAACTCAATGTCAGAAAATATACGAGCTTCTGTTTTGTGTCCAAGTCAGATTCTTTTTGAAATTTACACTACACAGTAATGCCTTCTTTACACAAATGCTTTTAAAAAAAAACTTCTTTGGCAATATAAGAATCATTTTATGTGTAATGGAAATTAATTGCTTTGTAAAACCAAGGTCTCTATTAACCCATTACCGGTACCTACTGAGTTCCCTCACTGCCATAGGCTTAATACATGTACAATGGTTCCAGTAGGCAATGGGTTAAGTATACTAAATAAAATTTGTTTGTTATGAGATACAGGAATGTGAAACACACTTCATTAATGTTATTTTACTTTGTAATGGTGGTCTTTTTGAGTCCGTTTTCTATGTCACTTGTGGTATGAATAAGGATTGAGAAATGGTACTCATCCATGTTTTCTCTATGATTGAATGATTTTCAGCTTCACACGTATGTATTCATCATAACCAATCCAACCTTAGCCAAGAAGTCTTCAAGCGATGATCTAGAGAGGGAGGTGTCTACTCCACCGTCGGAATCTTCACCGGTCACTAGAGGGCGTGCCACACCTCAAGGGTCAGGCAGTGGTCAGGGTAGCGGACTCGGGGAAAACCTCTCATGTATGTATTCATGTCGGCGATCTATCTAACTGATTCATTGTGAATTAATTGTACTCTAAGAATGATAGCAGTTCGAAGCATTCTAGTTCTCTTTTGCATCATTTTATATTTCTCACATGGGCAGAATAATTTTGTAGACTTTTTAAGTATAAGTCAGTTTCATGTATGTATTAACAATTAGCTTACCAGTATTTCAAAGGAGAGTGGATTTAAGAAAATGAACCTTACTAGGTGCAAGGTAAAATGACTAGATCAGTGTAGAGGTGTTGTGGTCAAGTGGATACGTCACCGGACTGTCAATCACAAGGTCTGCAGCACTGATGTCCTTTGGCAAGACATTGATCTACATTTGCCACACTCAACCCAGGTGAGGTAAATGGGTACCTGGTAGGATTATTCCTTGAAATGCACTGTGTGCTGATAACGGCTGCCGGAGCTAAAGTTAGGTTAATAATTTCCAAAGCTCTTTGGAAGCGCATAGAGATTTTCATAACGTACAGTACATGTATTATGCGCTATACAAGAACAGAATATTATCACTATCATTATTATTCCTTTTATCACACTAACCAACGCAGTTGACTCTGATGAATACAGCGTGAGTACAGGGTTTACTAGCTTTGATTCCTACTCCATGGAGGAAGGGCGTGGCCATCCTAGACGTAAGGTACTAGACATGTTGACTGAGCATCTAACCAAGGAAGAGAAGTCCAGTGTGCTGGCCATACCTCATGCAAACAACCCAGAAGATATCAAGCTATTTGCGAGGTAATCTGACACTCAGAATATACAGTTCTTAAAGTGTGCCAATAACCAAAACATGCTGCTTGTAAGTATCCGCTTTCATGGTGATGTAGATATACAGTAGGCTTGCGGATGCACCATGTGAGAGAGAGGGAGGCGCTATAGTTCTCCTTAGAACTATAAACTAAGAAACATAACCAACAGTCTTTTTCAAGACTACACCAACAGTCCCTTTTAGGACTACACACCCTCAAGAAAGATTACCGAGAGTCCTTTTCAGGACTCCTCAATCCTCCCTCTCTCTCACATGGTGCATCCGCAAGCCTACTGTATAACCAAAACATGTTGTCCTATGACTGAAAGGGGTTTCATGTTGCTACACTATACTATACTATGTTGCTAAAGTTTTCTACATAGAGACATTACGAATCAAAGGCCCACTGCACTACTTATAGCTACTTGCGCCCTCTATATAAAAAGCAAAGCCTAATGAGATAACCACCTGTCTAGTGGCCTTGCAGAGTGGTCTAATCCCCCTGTACACTAGTAAAGATGGGCTTAAATACATTCTCAATTAACAGAAGAATAAGATGAACAGAATAGGAAAAGATTGAAATAAATTGGACAAATAAGAAGAAAGTTATGAATTTTTGGAATATGAGATCACAAAGTCTATACGAATCTCAAATTGGCAATATGGTCAGTGGATTCTCCCTCAAATTCTTACTCTAAGCATATTACAGATACAATATTATCACAGTTCCTCTAAAGAGAAAATACCCTCCTGAGTCATACATGGGTGAGAATGTATTCATTTTGTTTGCTGGAACAAATGAAAAGTTGTCCGCCACTACATCACAGAGACATTACCGATTCAGCCAATTTGAAGAGCCCATACCTTAAGTAATTGCAACTGCTCTAACTTTTATGCTTCCCTTTAGAGTAGTTGGCTATCAAGGTTTGATTTCCCTTTAATACATTTGATCCATCCAAAGTAAATCTTTAAATCTTTTGATTGGTCAATTTCCTGCAGGATCTGTCCATACTTGAGAGGGATGCACCACCTTGAGGAGATCATGTACTACGAGAACGTCAACCGCTCCCAGCTCTATGCTTTACTGGAGAAGTTTAGAGATGTCCTGGTAACGTGTTCACACCAAGACGCAGCCAGCGTCCAGTACAAGGAATTCTTATGATCAGAACAGCTCTATGCCTTACTGGAGAAGTTTAGAGATGTCCTGGTAACGTGTTCACATCAAGACGCAGCCAGCGTTCAGTACAAGGAATTCTTATGATCAGAACAGCTCTTTGCCTTACTGGAGAAGTTTAGAGATGTCCTGGTAACTTGTTCACACCAAGACGCAGCCAGCGTTCGGTACAAGGAATTCTTATGATCAGAACAGCTCTATGCCTTACTAGAGAAGTTAAGAGATGTCTTGGTAATGTGTTCACACCAAGATGCAGCCAGTGTCTAGTACAAGGAATTCTTATGATCAGAACAGCTCTATGCCTTACTGGAGAAGTTTAGAGATATCTTGGTAACGTGTTTTCACCAAGACGCAGCCAGCATAAAGTACAAATAATTCCTTGCTGTCTTTTGCCCGATAGTGAAGGGTGACGTACAGTGCATACCAATAATCTCTCTTTGAAGATTGATCTGAAGGCAGCAGAAAGTGAGGAACTTTATGAAGAAAAAATGGGCTTGAGAAAGTCCACAGTAGTGGGTGAAAGCTTGCCTGGTAAATTTAAGGTTGGTAGAAACCAAACACGTTATGATTACCTAACCACTCAAAGTTCTCTGCAACTTGAAAATGAATTTAATGTTCATTTTAATGTGTAATACTACATGTTTGTACATTTATACATCTACAAATTTAAGTAATTATGACCTTTACAAAAGATTCTTCCAAAGATTATTTTGAAATTACTATACACCTGTATCTCTTGTAAACAAGGAATAAATAATCCTCAATTTTCAGAATTATGTTTGAAGATTTGTAATATCTACATATTTAAAATATGACACAGGTTGCACTTTTTGTATATATTGTATATAAAATTGTATTGATTTATTGTATATATCACATTAAAGAGGCTTTACAAATGAGTTGATACAAGTACTGTGTTCATTCTATTTGATAGCTATACTCATGAGCAAGTCCAAGATATTTTATCCATATATTAACTATATCATAAACATATTAAAGGTAAAGATCAGTTCTGGTCGTGTGATTGCATCATTGCACTGTGAAAGAAACGTTGTGGAATCGAGCAGAAAAGGTTGATCATCTAGCATATAAGTATTGGTGGGTACTGCAAGGTTCTGGAATCATCAAAAATTAAAAATGATAAGACATTTGGACTACGCGACACGTGCGCGATATCTATCAGGTCCAAATATTTCAATTAGTAGGCGGTTTCTGGGCAAAATTTGTATCATCACGTATTAGTAAAAACATATTCTTTCACATGATTAGTAATAAGAGCTTCTATTTCATTTTTTGAGAGGAGGGCGTTTCCAAAACTGGTCTTTACCTTTAAAGAACCTGATTATTATATCAAGATTACATCCCTACTTCTTAGATCAGACTAATAGCAAGCAAAATAAATGTACATTGTTTTCTTTAATCTTTTGAATATATGGGTTATTCAGTATTAACTAAATAACTTGGCCTTGCTCTGATACAAGTAACTAATAAACATAGACTAGTCTGTTGGATAAAGCCTTCACTTCATAGTGAATGCAATAATGTAGACAATTTGCATGATTGAAAGACAAGAACAGATTGTAAGACATGCACAGAAGAGATTGATTGAAGAGATATGAGAGGAAGAAAAAATTGATTGAAAAGGGGAAATACAAGCGAGGTTAAAATGTCTGAGTGAATTTTTTTTTGAGGAAAAAAAGATGAAGGTAGACAATTACAATGAACAAAGAGAGGGAGAGAGACAGAAAGAAAAGGCTGGAGAGAAGAGGAGTGGATGAAATGGATGAAAGACATGGTCCAGTCTTGGTAAGGAGAACATTTGGTAAATGAACAGGATGAACATCATTCACAATTTTTTTCATTTCATGAAAGGAGTTCTCATTCGACAAGTGCAGTATGTTATGTTTGCCTATATTTGAGTTACGAAAAATGTGGTCCAAATCAATCCGATAAAAAAACAAGTGTTTTCTTAAATAGTATCCCACTCGTGCGTATACAGCTTTATGCTGGGGTGTGTGTATCCTAATACATAGTGATGGCCATTCAATAATGCAATGGGCTCAGCTAGGCAGACGTTACAAATGAAGTTTTTTGCCCTTGCACGATTCAAACTAGCACTTGTATTCTAAATGTAGAAGCAATTCTGGTTCCAATGATAATTTATCTGCAGTATAAATGCCTTCATCTCTAAGATGAGATGAGAGAGAGAGAGAGAGAGAGAGAGAGAGAGAGAGAGAGAGAGGGGGGAGAGAGAGAGAGAGAGAATACAATAACTGGAAAGGAGGTAGATGATGTGGAAAAGATTCAAAGCACGAACAAATGTGACAGAATTTTTTTTGGAAGATTAAAGAGTACATGCAACAAACCTGAGGAAATACAAAGCTCAGGTAAAGTTTTCATCCATTCCACTTGAAATTACCAACTTTACAAAAAAATGAGGCAGTCTGTGACCTATATACATCTGAAGATAATGGCAGTGTCAATGTCAGTAAGAATTAAAATGACCATACAAATTTAACCATACATTTGTAACTTGATCTCAACTGAACCACATTACATCACAACAAAAACACATCACACAATACCAATTTTACAACACAAAAGTCATTTCAACAAAGTTATTTTGCTCATCCCACTTCTTTTGATTTTTAAACCCTTATATTACAAATATTCAATACAAGGTCCCACAGTCCTGTAATGAGGCTCCACCTGACTATATTGTCCCTGAAATAGAATTATATATATATATATATATATATCTTTATTCTTTCTTTTTACTTGCAAAACTACCATTGTTATTTTGATTGTCTTCCTGAAGGTGTTGCATCTCTGCAATATAACTGAACTCTTTGTATTTTTTTTTATATACATGCATCATGTTAAATTCAATTTTGTAACCTTTATTGTCTTATATGTCATTTTGATTTTTAAGCAAAGTAAACATTGTCAGAGTGGAGGGAACATGACCCTATAAAATTCACAATACCGGTACCCCTCAAATTTGAGCAAGTTTTCCAGAGATAGATATATACAATTGTAGCTGTAGTAGCATCGCATGTTCATTCCATGTTATTTGGTACTGGGTCTGTATTTTAAATCAAAATTTGGATTTTACTTACTATTTAGTGAGTATTTACTATTTAGTCTAGCTGAGTAAAATGGATTATTCATTTTCAGAAACAACTATTTACAAAAGTATGAACTTGAACTACATGTACAATACAAATAATCATGTGTTACATCCTGTTGCCAAGCCAAATTAACCAGTCCTATAAACCATCAACAAATTATGTACATGCATGTCTGTTATAACATTGATTTGTTTCCACAATTGTCTTTCTTTAATGGGTTGCCTGAATCTTTTGCTGCTATTGATAGAAAGTTATTCTTAGCCTTTATTTAACTGAATACCGGTCAAAATATCTTATGTATATAAAAATAGTACATTATTTACAATCATACCAAGTGAGGATTGATATGACAGAATATGCAGTATATCACTCACATCTTTGTTATTCTTAATTTTTTTTAAATGAAAGCACTACAAGATTATTTCAGTATAATGTATAATGTGGGTGATCTATTTCAATGATTATGTAGAGTAGTTCATCTCTGCTTCTCTCGCTTTATTCCTCTTACTAACACAAGAATTACCCTTCACATAAAACCTGAGTGGTTTCTGAACCCATTCCTTTGTAGCTGAGTCTATACCTATCCTTGGACAGCTTACAATATCACCATCAGAGATATGGTCACCACTCTCTACCCACATGCTAGAATCACTCTGTGTGAGATCAATACCATCCAGCTGTCTGTCAATGTCCAATGAGAGACAGAGCTTGCCAGGACCGTTACAAAGATCCTTTGTCTTGAATGTTCGGTTGGATTTTTTACTTGCTTTCTGTCTCAGGGTTGCCATAGTATACTTGCCTTCCAGAGGGAACAAACCTCGTATGAGCACCGCCTGACCTTCTCCTTTAAACAGACAAAGAAAAATGTTTAGAGTTCAGTTCTCTAGCATTTGTTCCATATCTGCTGTGCATAACAGTAATACAGAAAAATAATAAAGAGCACATTTAATATCCAACATCAATCAGAATTCAATATTTAAAAATTTAAATCAACATGGTATCAAGAAAATTAAAGCTGTACTTTCTCTTTAAATACCTTTTGAAGGTGTGTTTGCCACTTACTAATTCTCAAGAGCTAGAAAAGGAAATCCAGTAATGAATATAAAATATAGTACATTATTACCCGTATCAGACATCTGAGCTGGTCATTTACAAAACCGTATTGCCCTAGTTTTCACTAGCAGTGGGAACGGAGGGGTATATTCTTTGTATTTTCCTTGGTCTCCCTGCGCGTATTGACTTTGCGTGTAGAGACGAGTGAAAATATACCTTGGTATTTTCCACGGTCTCGCATTTTCATTGCGCATCTATTAATATTATGCGTACGAGAACCTGCGCACTTTGCGCGCACTCTATTGTGACGTAATAATCACACCAAATACACACTGTTTGTAGTGTATTGAAAATTTTGTCAAGCACTGGATGCACAGTGTTGGTTTGACAAAGTTTGTTCAGTTCTTGAGATTGTCATGGTGGATGTCTGTATTTGCTCTAGATGTCTGATTTGGATAACAATAAAAATATTGACTGGCTTTACTTTTGGGGGATATCAGAAATATTGACCGCGCTAAGACCATATTGCCCTCGTCTTTCGACTCGGGGCAATATGATCTGAGCTTGGTCAATATTTCTGATATACCCCTCAAGGCCAGTCAATATTATATAAAGAATCAACCCACACTGAAATACTCCAATTAAGGGTTTTTTTTAATCCATTTTCGAAATGTTACAGATAAAGACCAATTATGGTCATGCCACTGCATTGTGAAAGAAACGTGAAATCGATCAGAAAAGGTTGATCATCTAGCAGAGATGTACTGCAAGGTTCTGGAATCATCAAAATGATAAGAAATTTGTCCCATCAAGATACAAGCACTGTACACAGAAAGATGTACACAGAAAGATGTATACGGGACTACGCACACATGCGCGACACGTGCGTTTTTATCTCTCACACACCAATAGATAAACTAATTTACCAAATATATCAATTAGTAGGCGGTTTCCCAGCAAAATTTGTATCATGTATTATTCAAAACACATTCTTTCAAATGATTGGTAATAAGAGCTTCAATTTCATTTTTTGAAATTGGGGCGTTTCCAATACTGGTCTTTACCTTTAATATGAACCAATCAACAACAATGGTCATCACCTTGACTTTAGAATAACAATTTAAAGGCTGATGTTTAAGATGTTCCAGCTACATACAGCCCTACAATTCAAAAGATTCTTAAATAGCCGATAGTTACCTTGACTGGTGATGTTGATACAATGATACATGCCATAAGTCATGTAGACATAGGCATGGCCTGGACTAAGGAACATGCTCTTATTAGCCACTGACTTCCTTCCCATGTAAGTATGACATGCTGAATCCTCGACTCCTAGATAAGCTTCCGTCTCCACGATCCTGCCAATCAACCTCTGGTCCCCAATCACCCTCACTAGGACCTGGCCTAAGAGCTGCCTGGCTAGCTGGGTGCAGGGCTGCTGGAAGAAACTAGGACCTAGTCTAGGACCAGCTGATGGCATCTTGTCAGCTAGCTGGCTTTGAGCTGCTGGGATCTGTACTGCATCAGGCACATCAGTTTCACTCGGTTCTGATTGCGACAAGTCTTTGAAATATGGGCTCTTCACTGGTATGTCATCCCCATCCCCTGAGGCATTCCTTTTCAACGCTGCTCTTTTCGTTCTAGATATCAAAACAAAAGAATCAAAGGGTTTAATGATGAAACCATACATCACATATAAACTCTAAATTAATACCTATCTTTTAAAGAAGGTTTTTTTTTTGTAAGGATTTCTACATAAGCTTGCCTGACTTGATTTTGTAGCTATACTCAAATAGATATTAAGCATGTTAACAAATATCTGTATAGTCACCGAATATTGTATATAATTACTACCGAGTTAATTTTGTATCTATGTATGGCAGTAGCTATATAGCCCTATTCAAATTATCAGACTAAATTAGGGTGAATTTTGTACCTGTTGGCCACATTTTTTTGCTGTGTTGAAGTCTCCATACCAAACAAAATGGAGCTTTATTAGTCCTTGAGTCACTGTGATGCCAAATGCCAATGTTGGTCAATATTATCTGAAAACAAAATATATAAAAATATATAATCATTTCATTAACAATGGGGTGAAGAACAGTTTTCAATACATTATTTTGTCAGTTGTCACCATTTGACATTTTGTTAATGTCACTGCTTGAGAAACAATAAGACTATTAGAGACTTATGCTTCAACTATTCTACTAGTCTCTATTTAGTCAGATCACCATTGATAATTAATGAATTATGCTCATTGAAGTAAAAAAAAAATAATATATATATAGACCTCTATATATATATATATATATATATAGATCTATAGACTAGGGTCTAGAGCCATAGAGGTCTAGATCTAGATCACACAAAATCTTATTTTAAAGTTTAAACCTGAAAGAAATTCACATTAGCTATAGCTATCGCCAGTTAGCTGTCAAAAGCTGTAATTAAGCTATTCATGTCAAATCTGTTCTTCTCTATTAAATAAAATCATATTTTATAATCTATGTTATCGAATATAGACTTCTAAAGTTCTAGAATTAGAATAAGAAACAATTCAATAATGTCGTTCTGAACTTCTGCCCGCCAAGTTCTGGCAGTTCTGCATGCAAACTCAAGTCAAGCATTTCAATTTATAGGCATAAATAGAGTCTATAGCTACCTAAAATAAAATTACATTTGATGCACCACTGTACGTGCATGACCAGGGTCTAAATCAATATTTCAGTCATCGACGATCATTCTACATAAAAATCGTAAATATGAATTCCCAACAATACACAATTTTTAACATATGGGACCTACATTTGACATTCGTGCACAAAAATAACCTCCACATCAATTAAAATATCTGACATTTTAATACCTACTGCATGGAACTTAGTGATCACTTGTGAACATCCCATTGCTATAACTGGTACTTTTAAAAACGTTAAAAATCTGAACTCACCAGCTAAAAGAACAGGCGCCGCGGTGCTGTGCAGTGGTTTGTTTTTACATCGACACATTAAGTGGGCGTGGTCAAGTCATACGTGGGCGCGGTATTTACGGATCGGAGTCCTCGATGCATCCTCCGGCTTCCATTCAATTTTCCACAGCCATCAAGTTTATTTCAGGTCGTCAAATAATGTGGGGGTGTGGGGAAGGAGTATTTAGGAGGAAAAGAATCCAAGATCCAAGGTCCAAGATGAGGACCGGGATGAGAGCGGGGATGAGGGACTAGGGGATACATCCTCCTGGAATAAACAGGGGATCATCTCCATGCAGGATAAAAAAATAAAAAAAATTCTCTCTCTCTCTCTCTCTCTTTTTTTTTTGGGGGGGGGGCACAATTTTATGACATGACAATTACAATCTGGTCATATAAGAAATGATTATGTAGTTTATAATTTCAGAGGAATATATATATAGGCCTATGGGATGATTTTCATCTTCATCGCGATCATCAACGATAAGCAGCAGCATCATTACATCCTCGACCACCTTCCTTGTTATAATCTTTCTCATCAGAAGTCACTCTTAACCCTCACACTCTTCATCACAATCATATATTACTGCTAATAATCAGAAGCATTTCTAGAGAGGGATGGGGGGGGGGGCTGGGTTATAAATCCCCCACATCCAAAAAAATGTGGGGCACATGTGAACAATTTAATTCCCCCAAGTTTCCCCATCCTCATACCCGCTCCAGCCTTTTATCAATAACACCACAATCATCACTATATCATCGCATCATCACCATTAAAATACATGTGTCACAAAGTATCATCATAAGTATTATAATCGTCATCACACCACCGTCATAATCATCATCGCCACTACTGTCATCATCACATCACAACCAATGCTTCTCCATAATATCAAGATATTCATTTCCATCATACTATCATATCCAATATAACACATCTTATTCCTATGAATACAATGAAGACAATCATTCAAATAGACATCTTTGTTTGTTTTGCATGTTAGATTAAGTTACATCATAATATTCATATGGTTGTTACACACTCACAACTTTTCTAGCACAAGAGTATTATGAGGTTACAATACTCAATATAATTTCACACATGATACATGTAGCATTTTATAAACTGGACACTTATTTACAAATTCTTGTAATGTACAATAACTTCTGAAGATATTGTTAAAAACATATGGTACTTGAAAATGAAATAAACATATGTAACTCCATACAAAACTGAACATTTCACGGGTACATTTACCATAATAAAAAATATATACCACACTAGTATATAGAAAAAAAAGAGTTAATTTCATATTGTCCTATATAATTTAGAATGATGTATCAAATGCAAATGCCTAATCTATCAGAGATATTGAGAATAGACAACCGTCTTTAGTACCATCTGCAAGCTTTCAAAACAAAGCACAGTCAATGGTATGTGGTATATACTAAGGGAATTGATAGATAAATCAAACATCTTAAAGGTGTTTCATCAGATAACAGTTCCAGGATTACATTTCTGTATAAAATAAAATATAAACCAAAAGAAAAATCACATAATAGATCATAGCAGATAATGCAGAGTTTTTTTTTACTGGGACAGTGATGTGCGTATTCATTTATCATTACAACTAATAAGATTTGATATTACTTAAAGCATTCAATGAATTTCTTCCTATCCCGTTACCCATTTTCTTCACCTGGGTGGAGAGTGGCAAATGTAGATTCTTGTCTTGCCAAAGGACATAAATGCCGCGGCGGTACTTGAACCGCGAACCATGTGAACCACAGTCTGGTGACATATCCACTAGACCACGACACCTCTACATCTTGTTATTATTATCAAATACCTGATTTCATGTTTTATAAACTCAAGCATGTAAGACCTTCTTTTATAATTCTAATCTGAACATTCTTGAATCATTATTTAAGTCAAGTGACATTCTTACATTCAAATCTTAGCAGTAACTTAATCATAATCATTTCCACCAAAGTGATTCATCTGTGTTTCATGATTTCTTTCTTACAAAAAGAGCAAGTCAATTTTAAATCCTCGGTCATAGATACTAAAGTACTGGTATATACTTAGTATTTGCAAGTGATGCTTCCTTAAGTAGTATTGTCACTTTTTCTTAAACAATAATTAAACAATTCATTCATCATCTTTAAAGATAAAGTTGAGTTCTGGTCATGTGATTGCATTGTGAAATAAAAGGTGTGGAATGGATCAGAAAAGGTTGATCATGTAGCATGTAAGTATTGGTGTGTACTGCAGGGTTCTGGAGTCATCAAAATGATAAGAAAATTGGCCCAATCTTGGTAAAGTAACAAGCACTGTACACCAAAATGTTTACTCTGATGTTCTTCCACACTTGCATAATAACAAAGATAACACTCACAAATTATTGTTCCCCTCTCCCCAGAACTCAACCTTCTCTTTAAATCCCTAAACATATAACTGACCATCGAGAAGGGATTTTTTTTATTTTTTATTTATTTATGCACTACACACTGGCATTGCACTGCACCCAAGCTAAGTTAACATATTGTCCATGGTTGCTATCATTATTCAATACTGCCATTATAATTGATTCCATTAATGCACCGTTTATCAAAATCAACCAAATATAAAAGATATCTCATATTTTGTTGTGCATGTAAGTATACTGGTGCCTGTGAAACATTATCATCACTACAAGCCCTTTTCTCTTTTAATAAATTATTTTTTAAAACCAAATAATTGATAATCATGTATGTGATAAATACCACATAAAATGTATGGACTGCATTTGTCTATCCAACTGGATAAGAAATCTCGTACAGAAATCTTTTAGCAATTACACATGGTTAAGAAAAAAATAAACCCTGATCTAACAGTTGTTTTTAAATTTATTAAAATTACTTCTTAATAATAAATAGCCATATCTATTGTATACACACTCTAAATCTGTATGTCTAATGCATCAATAACCACTTTGAGGCGGTTCTGTGTACTATTTCCAAGATGATCTATAGCTGGATAATTTCTTTTGAAATAAGTTATGTAGGCAAGGCAACTGCAGCATTTTCGGGGTGCCAAAAGCTTGTATATCGCTTCTTGCATAGAAAGCAAATAAAATATTCCCTATTTGCAACATATACAAACAGATAAATCAATGTGATATATCATTATACATTTACTGGTAGATAGAAACATTTTATCATCTTCCCAATTTTGGAAGTAAAATTGATGTTGGAAAAATACATAATATGCTGACAAGTTCAAGTTTTTCAGAATAGAAGCTGTGTGTGTTATAATTTGGTTTACTGATTAAGCTAACAAACATAATGGTTACTCCACGAAGCAAAAGACTGATACAAAATCAGTCACAGTATGAATTCATCAAAGCATGTCATGATTTACATCACCCCTCCTAAACCCTACACATCCAGTGAATCAAACTTGGGCAAGCACTGCATGTCCATCGTGCATGATGAAAGGTAATAAAGCACCTATCAAATAGCTTTGCAAAAATAAGGGAACAATGACCAAAGAATCAAGTAAATGAATTGGAAACAAAAAAATCTTAATAAATTGAAATCTGTAGCAAATATATATGCATTTTTCTTTAAAATCAAATAGCTATGAAGAACAAAGCGACTACCTACATGCACTAAACAGAAATGTAAAATGATTGATAAAACTCAATCTTACATCACAGAGTTTAGTTCTAGAAGATTCACAAGAAAGTTTAGTTAAAAGAATCATGAATTATAGATACATGTACCACTTGATGCATAATTAACATTACAAGATTGCTAAGTTATCTAACTTGGTCACATGATTTTGAATACTGCATGGATCTTGTTATCTTTCAAAGTCACATTGAAGACCAACACACATGATTTCTTACATCTTTTGTCCTCTTCTCCTTGTTTTACATGGAAGCAAAATAAGAGTTTACAATGTTTCATCACAATTGCTTCTTATATCGGACAGCAATGAAATCATTCCAGCTCAGTACTTTAAATAAAAATCAACACATCATAATTAAAACCTGTAAATTTCAGCCCTACAAGTGTTAATTATAAAAATTGTCCTTTCGCCTGATAGAGCTTCATGAATTATCTCTAAGTAAAGGTTTAGCTGAAGATTAGTAACCCAATATAACCTTCCTTCATTCCTTTCATATTTCCCCTTTATTTAATTTAATCTCGTCCTTGCCCCACTCTCCATCAAAATCCAAACCCCCTCTCCACCGGTATATTGTAACATCCAAATCTCTCACCCTCTGTTCCATTTTGAAATGGTCTTCTTCAGCAGAAATTACATCATGCCCGGTATAAAATTAATACCTGAATTTGTTTTTCTCCTTGTTTGATCCATCCTTTCAGCTACCATCAACGAATACATGTCTGATCATTCTTTGGCTACATCATCTTGTATCTACCACCACCCTTGACTACCAACATCCTTGACTGTAACTTCCTACCAACCATTAGTCTTGGTTTGTTACCCCCACTGCCTTTACTCCGCACCCTAGAGTCCCTCATATCTGGGTGTCTCATTACCCCTCCTACCGGCCATCAGTCTTGGTTTGTTACCCCCACTGTCTTTACTCTGCACCCTAGAGTCCTTCATAGCTGGGTGTATCATTACCCCTCCTACCAGCCATCAGTCTTGGTTTGTTACCCCAACTGCCTTAGCTCAGCTCCCTAGAGTCCCTCATAGCTGGGTGTCTCATTACCCCTCCTACCAGCTATCAGTCTTGGTTTGTTACCCCCACTGCCTTAGCTCGGCTACCTAGTGTCCCTCATAGCTGGGTGTCTCATTACCCCTCCTACCAGCCATCAGTCTTGGTTTGTTACCCCCTCTGCCTTTACTCTGCACCCTAGAGTCCCTCATAGCTGGGTGTCTCATTACCCCTCCTACCAGCCATCAGTCTTGGTTTGTTACCCCCACTGCCTTTACTCTGTTTCCTCACCATAGTATCCCTGCAATGCAACAAGAGAATGCATGAATAGTAACAAGGACCCTACTCATCAAAATCATTCAATAATTTTCTTCCTACAAGTTTAGAAAAAAACAGCACATTCAGATCCTTCTACACTGAAGAAATCACTGATGTGTGTTGACACTCATCTAAAAAGCAATTCAAAGGAAAGACTAATCACTAAAGCCCTGACATATGTTGAGTTGCCAAATTGCGCTCAAAGCTTACAAGGACTTTCTTAATAACTGGTGTCCCATTTTCTGCACCTGAGTCAAGAGTTTATTGACTCAAAGCTAATAAGCAAAGGGCAAGGATGTAACCTCGCCATGTCAAGACTGAAAGTCAGGGGATAGAGTCATTCTTTACAATAACCATATTTTCATACGGAAAAGCTACTATAAAGTAGAATAAGATGATGGAGAGTTGCAAAAGTGTGTAAAGAATCTTTCTGTTGGATTTCCTTATCAATTCATATCATAGAGACTGGTATTGTATTGCTCTGTACATCTGTTGACTACTGACAATTCTGAACACAAGTCTATACTCACCCAAAGAATGGTATCAATGATATGAGGGTTTCTTTGCTAGGTGTCTCTGTAAGCTCAAGGGAGTTCTGAACGCAGAAATTGATAACCAGTCTCAGATAGTGCTGTAACCTTTTCCGCCTTTCTTCAACAAACTTTGTATCCTATTGAATCAAACAACAAAAACTTGACTAAAGCTCACGACATGAACAATTGGTGATCCTTTTCTTGATATTTACTCAGGCAACATTACCTCTGAGCTATGTTTTGTTATAGAAATAGAATTGGGCCTTGCAAATGGGGTTTGGGTAAGGGTTAACTTAAGGGGTTGGGGTAGGAATAGTTTGGGTTCGGGAGTTATTGACTGCAACGTAGTTGCCACAAGCCACCAAAGCATATTTCATACAATCTCATCATGTTGGTTAAAATAGAACATTTAGACGAACCCTGAAACAGTGGTGTACCAGATTAATGTTTAAAGATAAAGTTGAGTTCTGGTCATGTGATTGCATTGTGAAAGAAACGGTGTGGAATCTATCAGAAAAGGTTGATCATCTAGTATATAAGTATTCGTGTGTATTGCAAGGTTCTGGAATCATCAAAATGATCAGAAATTTGGCCAAATCTTGGCAAAGTTGCAAGCACTGTACACAGAATGCTGTATATGGGACCACACAAACACATGGCAAAAAAATCCTATCCAGATTTTTACGATGTTTCATGTCATATTTAGAATATGAAGGCATTTGAAGAGCCATGCTTTTCAGGGAACATGTTTAATCTGATGTTCTTCCACCCTTGCGTAATAACAGTGATAACTCTCACAAATTATTTTTTACCTCTTTCCAGAACTCAACCTTCTCTTTAAATGAGCCACATTTGTAATATTAGTTCCTTTAAGAGTACAGACCAACAAAATATAAATCCTCAATTCTCTCATTAATCACAAATGATAGAAAACGAGCATCATGGAAAGGTTCTACAACCACATGGAGAGCCCATTACTAGTTTTCTATTTCTTGTAATTAAAGCTTTGGTGTTTATGACAAATTGAGGAGGATGACATTTATGTTGCTTCTATCTTTTTATGGTGATGATGATGATGGCTTCTTGTATGTTATTCATATAACTCTATAAATGCCTAGATTAACCCTTACCCTTTGACATGGTATATGGCAGCAAACATAATGGGTATTGAGCCAAGGCCTATCTCGCACTATTTCTACAATCAAATCTATAGTGAAAATAGTGCTTTATTGTGGAATCAGTTAATATGGTTTCAGTCTATACGAAACCATCCTACAAGTATGAATGACCTGTTTCTTCAAGTTACTTTTAAAATAGCTTCAATGTGAGATTTATACTTGCACTATTCATTTGGGCACTCGACAAGCACAAGTACAATAATAAGCCAACGGCGGTCTGTACTTAACTGGAAGAAGAAGAGGAAATGGAAGATGAGCCTACCTTGTTACCGACGGCCTTCTTTGGAGGGAATTCAAACGTGTTGATGACAGCATTAGATTTCTTCATCTTGATATGGAGCTCTCTGAACTGAGAGTACCGACGATAAACATTCCATTCATCATCTCGGATACGTATGTAGATCTGTCAAGGAGAAGAGTTAAACGGTAATGGAAGTAAAAAGACAACTGAAATAAAATTTTCTATTTGTATCAAGATATTTTGCTGTGCTATCCAGCATTTTTTCATAAATTTAAGAGTAGATAACTGAAAGGAACACAGATCAAGAAAAATTTAAGGTCTTAGGTATGAATTCTTCTTACTCCAACAGCTCCCCTTACAACCACCTCAGAGGTTCACATAGAAATCACAGACCCACAAAATAGAGCTAAGCTAACAAGGCTTTACAGAGGGAGGGGTGTGCTTGAGGGGTGAAGAAAGAGGGATGAGAGGTGAGCAGGAAGGAGGGAGGAGGGAGGAGGGAGGAGGGATAGATGGAGACCTACCTGGTATACGTGGAACGCATCTTTACCCTTCCCTCTCAAGAAAGCTGATGGTATCCATAGATTGATAAGAGCTCTGGTTGCTGGAGCTAACGACGCTCTACAGAATGAGAGGGAGAGCACAATAAGGGGCTAATCAATGAAGTTCAACATTTATATACACCACAGTCCATTACACATGTTTGATGGAAATATATTTAGGGATTCAATGATAATGAAAACATCAGCTAAGTAACACATGCGGGTAAAATGAAAATAACTCTTGTACTTTAAATAATACTGACAAATGCATTATTCACAGCACAACCCGCATGCCATTTATTATTTTTGTCATCACAATTATTATCAAAAATGATATCGCTTGTGACATTCCTTTGACTCGCAATGTATGGTCAACAAGGGATAAAAGATCACAACGTTTCGTGTGCCACTGCAACACTTTGTCAGGTGATAAAATTTTTTGTAAGCAAGCGTTTTTTGACACAATTTTTGATAGAAGAGATAAGACTTACGTTTCTGAATCTGGCGAGTTAAGCTCGGAGTCTGATCTATCTTCTGGTAGAGGTCCTCTAAGGTCAACCAATTCATCTCTTAACGTCTTGATAAGATAATCTTTAGCCTTGAGCTGTCTGGTTAGATAGTCATTGAATTCCATCAGCTCACCGTGCATCTCAGCAACCTGTATTAACTTGTGTTCATACTGCTGTGCTTGCTCGCTAGATGGATGGAATACAGAAAACAGGGGAATGTAAACATATTAATAATAATAATAATAGGCATTTGTATAGCGCCATCTATCTAGTTAATTCTATTCCGAGGCACGCTATTTGATTATTACCCTGGCTTTAGCTTAGCTACCATTACAGTGCTCTAGCATTTCAAGGAATCAATTCCTGCCAGTTACTCATTTACCTCACCTGGATTGAGTGTGGCAAATGTAGATTAATGCCTTGCCAAAGGACATTAGTGCCATGCCAGGGATCGAACCATGACCTTTGTATTTCAAGTCAAGTGCTTAAACCACTAGACTACGACACTTCTACAAATAATGACGTAATAATGACCAGGGCTGATAATGACCGATTCAAATATCTAAATATTAAGTACAATAGCTAGCTCAACAATAGATGACTTGGAACCACACGGTCACGTAGTTGAGACTGATTCAAGGGACGGTACAAAGGAACAGGACATCAATCCTCATTTACCAAGTCCTATATTTCTTCAGAATTTGCATTTGAGTTGATATAATTTCACATGTTTATGTACATATTTAGATCTGTGTAGTCGTGTTGGCAGATTGAGCATGGACTCTTAAAATTTACTATCAAATGTAATGTCTTATCATGCATAACGTCATAACTTTTCCAAGACGCAGCTTCCAACTTCTGTCACTTTACTCTCAACATTGACTTAAATCAGCGCATAACCTGCTCAACTTAATCATATTGACAGGAAGAAAATGAATCATATGCTGTGGTTCACAACAGTATGTTGTTATCACTCAAGACATGCTTCATACACAGTACTTTGTTGTTATAATAATTCACAAATAGCAGCGTTTAAAATCATTTATCTTTTGATGAGATAATAAGTTACCACTTTAATAGCCTCTATTACAAAAGTAAGTGTCATACCTGTAATCTATAAGACCTTCCTTAGGTTCCGGTATCGCTGGTTGAATATCTTCCGGTCTGATGCCAGGTAAACCTGAAAGGAATCAAGATGAGGTAAACAGGAAATAGTTCTCAATCCTATTCAAGGTTACATCAAACAAACTCACACACTGGCTGTAGCAGGACGAAGCAAGCATCAACATGTATGACAAATATGGTCTTTGGAATGCATGCAAACAGCTGTTGTTCCCTCATACTTGAAGAAATTCTACTTAAAGCAATAGAAGCTTGGAGTGAAACTGAGATATAAAGCCAAATTAAAGTACCGTACATACAGCCCTATTTTTGCTCAATTCATATCTTCAATCCTGCAAATGAGAATGGAATTATTCACTCGGGATTTATACATGTAGCATAGAAGTCTTTGCAGGCACTGAAAACATATCCATAATACTCAAATATTTTATTTCAAATTTTCAGTTTTACAAACCCTCTATTTGACTTGCAAGCATTTTTACATGAACCAGTACCGGATCATACATGCTCTGTGTGTGTGTGTACAAAAGTCACGGAGGGGTTAAGCGTACTATCACAGGGTTTTGGCATTCTCTCATTTGACCCTCAGACGCAATGATAGATCGAGATGCTCCTTGTCATGTGATATAGTTTTGACCAATCAGTGAATAAAAATCTACCTTCTATAGCTCCCATAGATCCTTCTCTTCTCAGCATCTGAACTGCAGCTACATACTTCTTCAATTGATTCTTCAGTAATTCATTTTCCCTGTTAGATCAAATCATCAAAAGAATCGGATTAAAAATTGCCATCATCATTTTGCTAACAGATTATCATGCAGTAGCATTAAGGCATTTCCACTTAGGCATTACAGAATTATATAGATTATTCACAATACATTATCAAGGCATGGATTGACAAGATATTACATTCCACAGTATACCATAGAACCGGCAATCAATGTCAACATGGAAAAACAAGCCTTAGGATTAAATCATTTCTCTAAAATCTAACTTACCATACTGTTAATTAACATAAAAAAATATCAACCTTTTTAAAAGACAAGTTCTTTCATTATAATTAACTGTACTTGATCTTAAAGATTACAAAGCTTACATTCATCTTTCATACTTCCTTATGTAAAGATATAATGTGTTGTATCTGAAATACCTTGTAAGAGCCTGTACTTGTGAGTCTAACTTATCCTGCGAGTCATGACTTTTGACCCTTAGTTCCTCTAGTTGACCTCTAAGAGATGCTGAGTGTTCCATCTCACTGTCTAACAGAGCACGCAGTGATCTGTAACATGACCATAAGTTTATTTTATACATGAATTCTTTCTACAAGATTTAACAGATGCAAGTAATTTGAGGTATCAGCAACCTGTAAATAGGGTTTCACATTATACACAGAATATGTCCTACAAATAAATACATATATATAATATTATATGTAAAGAACAATTTCATATTTCTGCATGTGTTTGTGATGCAGATTATCAAGTAAATAAATGTACATACATGTACGATTATGAATTGAACAACTAATTACCTTTCAAAACTATATTACAGAGCAGACTATATATGCAGCTCCCTTTTACAGAGACTTTAAGTCTTTGAAGCTTTAAAGCCCCACTGCACTACTTATAGTTACTTGCGCTCTCTATATAGCAAACAATGCCTAATCGGTGCCTGTTAGTCCCCTATGACCCTCTTTTTATTATGCTGATTGAGAGCTGATTTGATGAGATAACCATCTGTCAGTGAACTTGCAGGGTGGTCTAATCCCCCCTGGCAAAACTACTACAGATGGCCTTTAAATAACAGTCAACTTACCTGTTTTTCTCTTGTAGATCATCATTACGATTCATAGTAGCAAGAAGTGCTTGCCTCAGGTCATCTGTTTGGAAGCAAGCAATCATATCAATACATCTGTTGATGTTTTTATTTTACTGATGTTTTAAAAAAGAAAATGTACAAGATCATCAATACACTTGTCTTTCCCTTTATGAGCATGCTACATAGATTATTTGTATAGCGATATATATCAATAATGTAAGTCAGTCATTCGTGCAAGATTTTGATCTTTACAGAACAAAATAAACGACCTGTCATATATTAGATGTACATTGTACAAGGCTTTGTTCATTTCAAATGTTTTAATTGCGCCAAAAAAGAAAAAGCCTACGTATAACTTGTGATGAATACCATATGTAAGAACAGCAAATTAACATTGATTGAGGCAGACAGACATACAGACAGACAGAGAAAGAGAGAGAGGGAAAGAGGGGGGGGGGGGGGGGGGAGAGATATAGAAAGAAGGGGGAGAAGGATTCAATTACCTGTAGACATGTCAGATGCAAGTCTCTCTGTCTCTTCTGTTCTACCAAGTTCTCCCAAAGAGCTTCAATATAAAAAAAAAATTAACATTGTAAATAACAAAAATAATCAGTGCCGCTCTGAAAAAGTAAAACAGAAATAAATCTTGAATGTAATATATTTAAGCAACAAAACAATACATATAACTACATTTAACGCTCCAAAACATTCATGTTTGTAGCTGAATATCTACTATTGATATAGCAAGTGTTGAATATACATATACATGTACACATACAGGTGTAGGTGCAGATGAACATATATAAATCTGATTATATTGTCTGCTTTATTAAAGCAAGAAAGGTATTAATTCTGCAGACAATATTCACAATTGTGTTTTAAAATTTAAAGGTTTTATACATGACATGTTAGAAGATTGTCTAGCTTGCTATTCAATGGTCACAGGATATATACAATTCCTACCTGTCTGTGAGACCTTTCTGTGCCATAGCTAGACCCAACGCAGCATTCTCTGTCTCAGCACCGAACGTTAACACACTGGAATCATTAGACTGCATCTCATCTAGACAACGATAATAACAACAAATAAAATACTTGTTCTTTACCTTGATATACAGTAAACCAAAATAACCTAAACTAAGCCACTCACCCCTCTCAGCTAAATAGCAATAAAAACAAATAGATGGATCTCTTATCACAAAATTTCATTAAAGCCCTACTGTACTACTTGTAGCTACTTGCGCCCTCTATACAGAAAACAATGCCAAATCGGTGCCTGTTGGTCCCACATGATCCCCTTTTTCTTATGTTAATTGAGAGCTGATTTGATGAGATAACCACCTGTCAGTGACCTTGCAGGGAGGTCTAATCCCCCTGGACAAACTAGTGCAGACGGGCTTTAATACATGGTAATGCATGGGACAGTGTACCTTTCCCTTGCCATATGATAACCTAAACTTAACATTGAAGAACCAATCAATCAACCTGCAGGAGAACATACCTTGTGCGACAGGAAACATGGCCTCATCAGACTCCTCACCAAGTAGATGGAAGCTTCCTTTACTCAACGCAGGACTCATCCTATCCATTGATTCTACACTAGCTCTCTTGGTAGATGTTGAAGACTCCTCATCAGCATTCGCATGATCAACATCACCATCTCCGTTTGACAGTCTCTCTCCAGCTCCAAATGTATCATATATACTCCTGGTTGTTGTACCTTCCGGAGTGGAGATGGTGATATCCTGACGCAACTGATCGCTGACTTCCGTCGCATCAACAGAGTTCCGTAACTTCTCGTACTGTGCTAGCGTGGATGTTTCTAGTGGGGTCGAGGGTGGGGTTTTGGCCGGGAATGAGGAGTAGAGCTCCCGTGAATGGAGTGCTGGATCCCCGCCCCCTCCATTGGATGTGACGCTACCATTGACAAGCGCCCTCTGTTGACGAGTGATCTCCATCTCATGATTCTTCATTGAGTTGCGTATTCTCTGGTATTGATCAAGATGAGACACATCTTGAGGAGTGGAAGGGGGCGTGGTCGCAGGAAAGGACACCGGGAAGTCTTCAGATGTTGACGAATGGTCCCTGGATATATCTACTTCATTATCATTAACATCACTCCTAACTACCGGTGTCTGCCCTCCAGCGGGTTGTACGGCTAACGAGTCAGTTAATCTTCCACCACTACTACGAGCAGATTCTGTCTCTTTATCAGATCTCAGTGAAGATGAACTACTTTCAATAGCACCGGACATAGATGAGCTTCCACTACTGAGACTAGAGCTTCCTACTCCTAGCGCTGAGAACCGTCCTAGATCACTACTTGGGGCAAAATCTTGTGAACTATCGTGTGATTCTACTGAATCATTGCGTCCTGTATCAACCAGGTTGACTTTAAATGATGGAGATCCTACTAGTACTGATGATGATGATGATGATGATGTTCCTTGATTGTCATTGAATGATACGATAGAGACGGAGCCTTTCTTCTTGCCTTTCTTCTTCTTCTTCTCCTTATGACCTGAAAACAACAGAGAGAAAACAATCACTTCTAATATCAGGCATGTATCTTAAAACAATGACTGAGAACTTATGTGAAAGTAGATACAAGTAGGAGAAGAAGGAAATACATGATCATGTATCAGCGCTTATTCAAATGACTAACTATTATATTTTTGTTCAATCATATGTTATTCCCAATTCCTTTACATTCGTTTTCAGATTCAGATTCAGAAAAAAAGTCCCTTGAGATGAATTCACAATAATAGCCATTGTATGCATGACATAAGACAAAATGGCGGTCAAAAGTCATACTTTAGTGTTCAGTCACACGCAAATGATAATAATAATAGTAATACAAAACCTATCTCTTCAAATCACAATCTCCATGTACATTACAGGAACAACAGTTATATCAGCTACCTTCTGCTGTTTTGTTGTCTCACAATCACTTTACATGTTTATCTTATGGTAACATATTCAATTATTTATATATATTCGCTCCATGTCTTCTAAGAGTGATTGCTTAGTCTAGTCCTACAGACCTTGTGTTGCAGCACTTGCTACTATGACAGGTTCTGGATCCTGGTCCCGTATGTTCTGGGCCTGGACCGTCTCAGGAGCTTGGATGAACGATGAGAGAGACTCAAACGCTGAAGGCTAATAAACCACAGATAGGAGAATCAAGTATTAAAGAATAGGATGACTTGCAAATTAAGAAATGCTGCTTTGATATGCCTTATGACAATTTCATTATATCAATTGATTTCTATTCTAATTTTACAAGATAATAATGGCTTAATCAAATAACAAGATAACAATATTAAGAACTATATTATCTGCTAAGAGCTAGCAGGGCATTACATGTAACTCCTATTTTATCTGAGTTAACGATCCTCTTGCTCTCAGCAGACGATATATAATTACTGGATAATTAGTCACACAAATAGTTAAATAACCCCCACCCAACCCCCCCCCAAAAAAAAAAATTTAAAAAAATAAAATAAAAAAATAAAAAAATTCTTCATTGACCCTTAAGTGTCTTTTTATTCTTCTCCTCTCTCTATTTCTCTCTTTCATCTCTTTCAATTACGATGCCCCAACCTTATGAATTCCCAAATAATTCATGGGTGAATTTGATTTCAATATGTCATACGATGTATCTTGACCTCTACACTATTGTGGGCAATTATGTACAAAGTGTCTATTCCTACCACACACATCCTTTTTCTCACTTGTACATGTATATTTCCTCTATAAGCGAAGAATCTCTTGATATGACTATTGACTAATGGAGATTCATATATCGAGAGATTTCTCATGCAAGCATGAGATAAATTGATTTCATGTCCTATACGATAAATTAAATCGCCCTATGTAATATTTACATGAATGGCTTGCAAACCATTCACAGACAGGAACAGATAATTTGCAATGTAACTGTAATATCATTAGGGGGTGTGTATATATACACTGTTTACTCTACAATTCACAATATTTGCTTTAAAACTGTGCCAAAGGTTATAAAGAGGTTCAAACTGCACAGTGTATTGTATGTGTTTCATACATGTATACAAACAATAGTATAATCTGTGGACAGGCATAAACTATATGAAGCTTGGACTCGGAGTGAGGAGGAAAGAGGGGTCTCAGAGATGAAGATATGGGACATGCACAAAACAACTATCATATTAGAGAGGGAGGAGTTACTGGGACAGCATGGGTGATACAAAAGAAAGAAAACATAAGATGTTGGAGAAAGAGTGACAGAAAGAAAACACAAAAGAGATTTGTTTAAGTCAGAGTAACTGATAGATGAAGTTCATGTACATGTGTACAGTAATGTTTCTAGATGTATGTAGGTACGAGAGAGAAAGAAAGGGAGAGAGAAAGAAATAGAGAGAGATAGAAAGGGAGAGAAAGAAACAAACTGGATTTAAAAAAAAAACAATATATATGTACATTGAACTGAGTGAGAAAAGAGAGATCAGTTGGGAGAAAGAAAAACAGACAGAGACAGATGAACCATCAGACAGAGACAGATGAACCATCAGACACAGAAAGAGAAAGAGAAAGAGAAAGAGAAAGAGAGAGGGAGAGAGAGAGGGGGAGAGAGAGAGAGAGAGAGATAGAGAGAGAGAGAGAGAGAGAGAGAGAGAGAGTGAGAGAGAGAGAGAAAGGGGGAGGGGTAGTAAGATGATGTCTGAATGGGAAATAACACAGTATGGATGGGAAGGAAGCCAAATGTCTAGAGGTCATGCCAAAACACAAGGACATACATAACTTGGCAAACATTACAGAGAAAGAAATCATAACAAACCAAAGTTCCTTTCATTCTATATAGTCAAGTCAGTCATTGTGTCAACACATGTACCGGTACTCAATTTCGTTCCCAGAATCAGAGGGGAGTAAAACTTCATAAAAAATTGAGATACTTCAGCCTAAGCATAAGAAAGTTATGTCATTTTGAAAGTTGAGATCAAAAATAATATGGAGATCCTCCCACAAGAATAGCAATTAGGTCACTCTGCCACATTAATACAAACAATGACTGTTCTTGTCTCCTACAACTAGTAGACAAAGTTTTACATGTCTTTTGATAAATTTTCACAAAATATACATATTGCATTGGCATCACGCATTTTGTTTTTTACTTTTCAATAGATCTGTTATTAAATTTGTTAATGAAATTACATTGCATGACAGCATCGAAGCCAAGTTTCTGATTATTATTTGGCAGGAGATAGATGCACTTGTAAGGGGATACTTCCAAATTGCCTAATGTACATGATTAAAGGTACAATGTACATGCACATGTTTTTCATGAAGTATTCTACAACCTACACTTAAAATCAAAGCGGTATCTGGATGTACCTACATGTAGATGAGAGAGAGAGAGAGAGAGAGATAGAGAGAGAGAGAGCTAAGGGAAGGGTAGAGGGCTCCACGCTGTGAATACAAAATTAAATTAAACTCCTAAGAGTACTTTTTTACAGACACACAACCCATAACTATTAAAAAGCTCCTGAAAACAAGCGCGTCTTCAACAATATATTGAAGACAGGGGTATTTGATGTCGAGGGGATGAGTTATTCCAAAGCTTTGGAGAGGCACAACTGAAAGCAAATCTCCAAAAATTACTTTTTTTTGTGTGTGAGGTAGCTTTAGAAGTAGCTAGTCCTGTGTACTTTGTAAAGTAAAGTGTTCATGTGATGGGCAATCAATTGACACTTGGCAAATATCATTAAGAATGAAGAGACAGCTTTCAGTATGGCTTGAAGAGGTTGAAGTCTAATCTAACCACCACTTACTGTAGCTGTGATATTGATCCTAATACCCTGTCTTTCTAGTAATACGTGTGAGCAAGGTTCATTACATGACAAGAGATACAGACAGTTCTACCAGGGTTACCTAAGCATCCTTCTTTAATTCTCAATATTTCCTTTTTACCACTTTTCGTATCCTCCTTTTGTGGTATTTTTTTCTAATGAATAAAACAACAGTTTCTACACAAGAATTGTAAGCATGAGATAGGCATGATTACACAAATTTGGTTAAACTTGAAAAACTAACTGAGTTGCTTTTCAAAAATGACTTATATATACATTCTTGTATGTAGATACATGTATCCAAATACAAGCATGAACTTGTCCTACATGTATCTTAATAATAATAATAATAAACCATTCTTATATAGCGCATATCACAAAAATAATTTTAAGTCCCTATGCGCTCAGAAAAAAGAAAAGAAGGGATAATAGCAGACATGAGGGAAGAGAAGAGAAAGAATAACTGCTTTGCCATAACATTGTACTAATTTAACAAATGAACAAACGTGTCTTTAAGAGCCTCTTGAAATTTTCTACTGTATCAACCTGCTGTAAGATGACTAGGTAATGTATTCCATAACTCTGCAGCTGCCAGTTGAAAGGATCTTGCACCATAGTAATTTGCTGATATTAAGGGAGGAACTAACAAGGATTTTGACTGAGAGCGAACTTGCCGGGAGATATTTTGTTATCAATCTTAAAGGTATTACTAATGAGACCTCTATGGACAATGAGGTATACTTTAGATCTGAGTCAGCTAAAAAAAGACTGCTGCAATCATCTCAGATGCTCCTGAAACTAAATCTCTACTGAGTCAATTAAAATGTAGTCTTCATTAAACTACATAAACATCTACAGTACATGCTGCAGGTTTCAACAGACTCTTGAGACAATACTAGCATCAATCATTGGTTGTCTATGATAAACAAAGCTAAGTTGCTATCAAATTAAAATATGATTGCTGAACACTGTATGAAAACAAACAGGGAATGTACTTGTATAAATGTAACGAATGGCTAAGGAATAGGACAGCCTTTTAAAAATTTCAATTAATGGCTTGGTAAGGTCAAGATTGTTCAAAATGTTACTTTGCTTCACACTTTGCAATGTGAACTCCTACTATGCTAAACTTAGAGAGCGTTGTATTTAAAACCAAACTTGAGGTATCAAACATTTTGGGGATAAGAAGATCAGTGTTAAAGGAGTTGAGAATGTAATTATTTTTAGTGTACATATTCCCCCAAATAGTAATAATAATGATAATAAAAAATATATGACGACGGATAGTCAACCTGTTTGAAACGTCGAGCCACTCATCCTCTCCAAGCGCTATAATTCTCCTGAGAACTATATGCTAAGAAAGATAACAAACAGTCCTTTTCAGGACTACACTCCTCCATGAAAGATTACAGAGTCAGAGTCCTTTTCAGGACTCCTCAAACCTCTCTCTCTCTCTCTCACACATGGTGCAACCGCAAACCTACTGTATAATAATATTACATTTATTAAGCGCCTTTTCGTTAGATACAAATCACATCAACAAGAAATACATGTACTTACAAACAAAGAAAGAGAACATTATCATACAAAGCTTACATTAATTACAAACAGAGAGGAATATTACAACAAATTAGAAAATATGTGTTTTCATACACCTCTTGAAAACTGTGAGAGTATGGCAATTCTTCAGTACAGGGTGTAAGTACATGCTAATGTTTGTCTGGGCTGATAATACAAAGTGTATACCAGTAACGCAAGTATCTTGTGGCATGTATACAGAGATACTCATCTAGCTAGAAGAAACCTGAGGGTGTTTCACAAAGATCCTAAGTCAAAATTAACTCTGGACTTAAACACTATGGAGAGCCATTTGTAGCCTTAAAATAAAATATATTCAAAGGTGAAAAGTATTTTAGGCTTTTTTTTATAAATTCCACATCAAGAACATGAAACCTCTTTAATAATAGAAAATATGAATGATTCAAATCAACATTCTATGCCTTTTAAAATAACTTTTACAAAATATTTTCCTAGATGCTAACGGCTTTCCATAATCAAGTCCAACATTAATAGAGATAAGTTCAACTTAGCATCTTTGTGAAACACCCCCCTGATGAAGTTAAAAAGTTAATCTCTCTTACCTGCTTAGTACCGTTTAGCTCTGGATTGTCAATGTTAATAGCAAAGAGAATAGATCCTAGACCTCTAGCCATGGTAGGCAGCATTGTAGATCTCTCCTCATCTAGTAAGAAAGCCCACGGCTCATAGTACTGTCTGGATAATCAAAGATAGAGATAAAGTTATGAATGATACTTATCAAGGAAGAGAGAATATTTCCAGACCTATGGTTGGTGCATGTAACATTACAAATGTTGATCTCTTTTAATTTTAAGGCTCTTGAAGGAAATAATGAAGTACTGTCTAGATGGTATTGTAATCAGAGATAGAGATGAAGTTTACACCAAGGTTCATAGTACTGTCTGAATAATTAGAGAATGAGATAAAGTTATGAATGATACTTAGCAAAGAAGAGAGAATAGTTCCAGACCTATGGTTGGTGCATGTAACATTACACATGTTGATCTCTCTAACTTTAAGGCTATGTAAAGCAAACAATGAAGGACTGTCTAGATGATAATCAGAGATAGAGATGAAGTTCACACCAAGGTTCATAGTACTGTCTGAATAATTAGAGACTGAGATAAAGTTATGAATGATACTTAGCAAAGAAGAGAGAATAGTTCCAGACCTATGGTTGGTACAATGTACATGTAACATTACAAATGTAGATCTCTCCTCATTTTTGAAAGCTCTGTATGGATAATACATGCAGAACTGCCTAGATGACATTTTAATCAGGGACAGAAATAAAGTTAAAAAAAGGTTGATCCCACATCAATTAGTGATTCTGCATACACAATGTCACCTTTCCTCATTTTACCTATTCACAAGTCAAGCAGACAGAAAGAAACTGTTTGATTTATAATTTATTAGTACATTTTTGCATTGATTAGCGCTAGTCTGGTTTGAAATTACATTTTGAACCCTGCTAGCTGACAATAATACAGCAGTGGAAAGTAAGCTCTACTTTAAAACAAAACATAATTTGAAGAAAAAAAAATCTTTTTGGCATATGGTTCAAGAATTACTGGATGACATTTAAACTCTGTCAGATTCATCCCCAAGATTTGAGTTCACTAACGTGCATTTTCTTTTTCTTTTTTAAAATTTATCTTGATAAGTTTTATTCGTCAGAAAACACAATGATTTACAAAATATGCGTTTCATCGTTTTGCAGAAAAATAATGAATAATCATATTGTTTCACACTTACAATCTTGTGGTTTTACATTTTAGTGTAACATTAAAAAACATAGCTTGATACTTCTGTATACCGGCCCAGCCGCACACACGATACGACCATCAGACCGACACTAAATGGAAAGAGAGAGGCCAAGAAGTACATTCTCTTAGCAGATGATATGCTTTTATCATCTCAAAGAAAAATACTTACTTGATGATAGCTGTAGCACTGAGTATCATATGCATGTATCTCTCCAGAGAGTGTTCATTGAGAGTGCTTCGGAGCCATGCACGACCACGCCCTGCATCGGTGGTTATATGCTTGAGGGCACTATACCGCTGGATCTCATGGGGCGTCAGCTGATCTCTTACTATGGGCCAGTAAACTGAATTATAGTGAATTGAAATAGAAGAGTTATTTGCTGGAACAATTTTCAGGGCACCTGTTTAAATGACATGGAGTGGTTAAATTTGCAAATAAAACAAACAACAAGGAAATATGTATTTACATATCAGTTTCAAGTGTTTAGGCTACACATATAATATACACTGTAGGCGCCTTTCATAAGATTTGTATCAGACCAGATTCAGACTTGAAATATATTTAGTTTATAACATGAATCTAGCATTCATGACATATATGTACTTACCTTATCGTAAATTCAAATATGTGAACTCACAAAAGGGTGCATTTTGAAACATGGTTTAACCAAAATCAGCCTTTCTAAAATTCATAAATTCAACCCACTTCCAAGGGTGTTTTGTTTCACATTTAAAGTGTGTGGATGCAAGGTGTATGGATAGTCTCCTGCGCCATGACACAAAGGTTCACAATTCGCAGATACATGCCCTATATCTAATTTACATGTGTAGTGTGTAGGGTCTGAAGTTATTTTCCCTGTAGACCACCATCTAGAACTGCTTGATGCTTACATGTATTTGCACACAAGCATTATATTATGTAACTTATTAAACTAATTTAACCAAAGCTGAAGTCAAAATGTTCCATTTACATACATGTATAACCATGTAACAGTACATTTGTATTTATTCAGGTCTGTGCCACACATTATCACAGAGAGCAATTTAAAAGAAAAGATGATGAAAATGTTTGTACATTATGTATCTACACATGTATCTAATGATACTCCCTTTAATTCATGCACAAAGCTCGGAAATGGTATTGTGGAATTGATACCATAAGCACAAGAATAGTGAAATAGAGAATACCTATTGAAGATTTACAATAGGCTATACAGTAATTACATTATTACAGTTAAAGCAATAATAAAACAAAGTAAAAATTAATTTGATACTCATTACGCCTACATGTACGTGAAAACACTCAACTGGGATTTAATTCCCACCATTTACTTTCTCTTTCTCTCTCTCTCTCCCTCTCTTTCTCTTTCTCTCTCTCTCCCTCCCCCTCTCTCTCTCTCTCTCTCTCTCTCTCTCTCTCCTTCCCTCTTTAAAGCATCCAATCTTCAATAGCTCATCAAAACCACTTCATGCCAATGAAACATGCCTTTAAGCACATACACTGTGCATGTACGGTATGACATAAGAGTAAATGTACAGAAACTGAAAGTCTTTATTAAAAAACAATTTTAAATAATTACCTGAAGAATTACTTGTACTCCTCAAGTTACATTGTCTTTCTAAACAAGGAAATGGACATAATTGTCTACATGTGTACAATTCATGCATTTTAAATTGTACATTGCACTAGTAGAATTTACAAGTAGTATGATGTATCCAAAAGAAAACGGTGCATTGATAGTTTTTCTTTGTTCTTATTATTTAACATGTACATTCTACACTTCTATCTTATCATTTTCATCATCATCATTTATTTAAGTCAGCATTTTTGCTCTTACGAGGGATTACCAGGTAATGACTTTCGCATCATGATGACACTCCCTCCCACGTACACTTCTTCTTATCTCTTTCTTCATCATATCTTTTCATGAAATCTTCAGTCTTCCTTTCCCTCTTATACCATCCACTACCAGATCCCACACTCTTTTCACTGGTCCATCATCATCTTCCCCTCTCAACACACAACCCATCCATCTCAATCCACTTCTCTTTACCACTTCCACCACAGTATCTTCCAGATCAAACCAAAGCTCACTTGTGTTCTTTCTATCGGACAGTTTGACACCACACATCTCCTAGCTGTACCGTGGCTCTTTACATGTAATTAGGGACTTTTAGATTTACACGACGAGAACGTGGACCGCCATGTGTGACACTCTTTTAAGGTAATGTGATATCCTTTTAAGGCACTGCCGGGCACGGCCCAGTGCCTTAACACAATGTCACACGTGGCAGTCCACGCTCTCGTTGTGTAAATCTAAAAGTCCCTATTATTAACCAGTAGACTACTGAATTATGTAGTTCCCATAGGCTTAATACAGGGACCACTCGGTTCCAGTAGGCAATGGATTAAGAATGAAGATGATGGTATCTAGCTCTTACCAGGTTCTGCATCTGTTTTGATGAGAGGTAGATTGGGCATAGTCAATCCAGTCATCTGCCTGTATGTAGTCAAAGATAAATAGTGGTAATAAGTAACAGCATTAATCATAAAGTAAAAAATAAATTGCCCATAGCCTTATATGTACATGCTGACATAAGATTTCTGTTGCATGCACATATTCACACAAAATTAGATATCACTGGACAGAATGTTGAAAAAAAATTGGCATTAACATACTGTAGATCTATTGAAAGAGTACAACATAATTCATGTTGTATGAGATCATAGTTTAACTCAACAACAAAAATGTAATTTCAAAAAAAAATTGGCTAGATCTTATATTATCCTAGGTTAGATTAATCTATTATATGTCTGTGATGGAAGAAAATAAATGCATATTGAAGTGGTATTATTAATTATTTTCATCTTTAGCTCAAACTATGTCACAACTGAAACAATTGTTGAAATATATCTATTTCTAATATACAGCTGCCTGACCTGTGTGCTCTGTACATTCAAATCATAACTGAATGGTGGAACTATGTTGATAACATGAAATAGTGATGATTAATCTTAACTGCCAAACGACAAGCATTAACCATGGCCTGGTGTCAAAATAGACTTCATGGAGTCTGAAGTAAATAGACTAACAATTAGATTGTCTGTGAATCACGCTAGATGGTTCTCAGAATTCAGGGTTTGTTCCAATTAAATCTATGCAACTCAACAGTAAATGCTTAATACACACAGCTCCCTTTACAGAAGCAATAAACAGTGGCAGCTCCAAACCTTGAGCCAACTTTTTATCTCTGTAACAGTTGTTTGTTTGAATACTCCCACAAATATCTAGCATTGTGTAAGTAGGCAAACATAAAAATGAAAAAAAAATAATGCTAATGATTGTACTATCTGCCATGTAAACATGTACCAGTAGGTTCTTCCGAACAAACAAAAAATTACTTGAGGAAAAAGTCACAAAATAGTATACATGTACATGCGTACGGCTGGAGTGTTTTAGCACTTACGGTATTTGCCGGCGTATAGGCCGCAGTATTTTTGGAAGAGAAAATATCAAAAAGTCGGGGTGCGGCCTATTTTTTTTTTTTTTTTTTTTTTTTTTTTTTTTTTTTTTTTTTAGTTTCGATTTATGGCGCTATGCCTGGCAATGTCTCCCAGCTCAGTAATCAGTGTGTTGACTCACCACTCAGAAACTTAAACAACACTATAATTTGACTGTCATCTTGGTTTGAAAGTAATCATTCTAATAGATCTCAATATGTAGTTTATAATAATAGTTCCTCAAATTTTTTTCTATAACAAATGGTGTACCACAAGGTACACCACTGGTACCATAGGTACTTTATTGTTTTTAATTCACATTAATGATCTTACACATTCTTCTAAAAACAACATTGTTACTATTATTTGTGACAAGTTTACAAGCACAAATCAGCGCCTTTAACTGCACCTCGATGTTAAATGAAGGTCCTTCCACGCGTGGGTTTTTGGCAGCAAAACAACAACAAAACCGGGGGTGCGGCCTATGCGGGGGTGCGGCCTTTACGCCGGCAAATACGGTATATAATATCCAAATAGGCGTTTTACCGGGTAGGTGAAAATATTTCCTATTAGTATTTAACTAATGAATTCATCGGCCTGCTGGCAGAAGGGCGTTAGCAACTCCAAAACTACTTTTCAAATTATTCGCATTTAAAAACTTGTTTTATATTTAAACTGCTTTCTGTCCGGAAAATTGGTTTAAAACTTAAAAGACTAATATAAATGTTATAGTAGAACACGGCCACAATTTTTTTCTTCAGAAATAAGTCAGTTTTATAAAAGTTTGTGGTAATTTTGTGCTAACGCCCTTTTGCTAAATGTTTCATTTTTGACCTGAAATTCGAGCTAACGCCCTTCTGCCACCCAGGCGACGAATTGTCTTTATTGAAAATTTCTCTTTAGTTGATTTTGATGAAGAATGCTGTCACAAGGAAATAGAAGTTGCATGATTTGCATCGTTATTAATTACCTCGCATAGTATAGAGATCATACAGTACATGTAGAGTATGGGAACATGATTTTCATGTCTTTCTCTCAGTTTACAGAAGTATGGATTACGTTATATACAAGGAACTAAGTGTTTATTCATGATCTGTTAATGTCATACTGATTAAAAGAAATGTAAGCAATGAAATGCTGTATAAACAATGATAAAAGTATGGAATTTAAAAAAAATTGTAGTTCAACTGCAGAGAAATATTATATGTTTTGGTAAAGCCAAACAATTATGAATTTAAAAAGTTCTCAGTATAAAGGTTGGAGTACCTACCAAAAATGGGAGTTAAACCTGCTTAACTCAATTGTCTTAATAATGTGACAGAATAGATTTATATTAATTTATTCATTCCTTTTGTGAACTAGTTATACAAAAAAAAACAAATCTTTAAACACATAAATCTTTAAATAGATAAATCTTGTGGTCACATTAAATAAATTGATTCTACTTTCCTTTGTGATTTGCTTATAAAAAGTTATGGCCTCAAGAGTATACTGTATTCAACTTTTTACATGATTTTTAGCTAATTCTGTAATGACATCGTTCACTGATGGGTGATGATCTCTCCTATCTCTTCAAATTTTGGAATATACATGTACCTGTAAGAGCCTTGTCTACATTGTTAACACTCATCTGAAACCAAACATGAAGATCACATACATCTTCAATTGGCAAACCTTTTACTAGTAGAAATTTATGTACACAGATTCTTCTTCTTCTTCTTTACGTGCCATATCCTGAGACTTTGGTGACAATGGAATGCAACAACTCTCTGTCCCATATTCTATGAAGTAATTCATTCTCCCTAAGATCAATTCCACTTTCAGAAATCCCACTCCTTAAGCTACTCATCCACAGAATCCTCCTTCTACCCCTACCCCTCCTCCCCTTGACTCTTCCAGTCAGTGCAAGATTTTCCAAACCATTCTTTTGAATAACATGATTAGCAGTCACTAACAAAGACCAGGTACTTACTGGAGAGCACTGAGCGGGTTGATAGAAGGCTTCTTGAGTCCATGGTGTAGCACCGCCTCATACTGAGCACAAAGACAAGAAACCCGACTGTCTGCATCCGTGGCAAGCTCTGAACGTCCACCAAACCTCACCTGACATTGCTTGACCGCATCAAGAAGACGATCTAGGAGGTGCTGTCTATCAGTAGAGGCTGGCTGAGCCATGGTCAAACTAAAATACATGTAGACAGAGTGCAAATACAGAAAGAAAGTTCATGTACATGTTCTAGATATAGACCCTCTAGGGTGACTGAAATTCATATTAGTATACATGCCGAATGGCACATAGCCTTGGTACCAATTAACAACAATAGGAATATAGGATTGACTGAGTAGATTCAAGAAGGAAACCTCTTAAGGTATATTTAACATGTATTCTTTTTTAGAGCCTAAACTTTTGTTAGATCACTTTCATTGCCCACGAAATTAAAAAAAAACAATTGAAATTTCTTTTTCGAACAGTTCTTTCAAAAAGATGTAGTATCAAATAAAAAGTTAAGGACCCTGTCATTCTATCGCACAAATACATGGTCATCAAAAATGTTTTTAAATTCTGCTTTCTTAACATAGAACTAATGAAAGATCAACAAAAGAAGAAACTTTCCTAGATTTCCTCAGATCTAGTACAGGACTTTTACTAGCCTTTGACGAGTTTAAAAAAAAAATTTTGTGTACCTGGTAGCTTAATTACTAAGGTCCCCATCCAACCCCCCCCCCCCCCCCCCCCATGGCCATGCCCTAACCTCATTTCATACACCTAGCTACCATGCCTACCACGCCTACTGACCAAGTTAAATCACTGAAAGTGAAATTTGCTTAGTAGTTCAATCAGCTACATTGTATATCATGGTTTTGGTGAACAATAGTTTGTTTGCATGCATGCAAGGAGGCCAATCGGCAATGGCGTGTGACGCTATGAAGCGCTACTGTGTGAAGTAAATGGTGGTTTCCTATGGCTATGTCATGATAATGGCATAAGTCTATAATCAATAGTACTCATACTAATAATAATAATAATACATAACATACTAGTCATACAACATGTCAGAAAGCATTGAAGTTCAATTTCATTTTCAAAAATTCTAATTTATATATCCTAGAATAGTCTAAATCTAAAAAAATTGACTAGACTCTAGATCTAGATTTAGATCTAGACCTCGGCTCTAACTGTTAGACTCTGGGCATTGCTATTCATCACTTTCAATTGACTTTCTAAATTCTCAATCTCATGTTCTTCTTCTTCCTTATTTGAGTACAGACCTCTTTACAGAGTATTATCAGAAGAAGACACAGACACATCAAATGGGTACAAGTCACATTAAACAAGCAAATAGAGTCTAGAATATACATATAACTGTGAGTGTGAGTTACATCAAAAACAAGTCTGTGTGTGCAAGACACACCGTCCCGCACAATTGCACAACATGTAAACAAAAGAAAAGACCAGTCACAGGCAATAAGGTGCAGCCACAGCCCAGGCACCGGCACAACATAGCGCACGACATGACACACTCCGACTCGCACAGTGCACAGTCACTCATCACCATCATGTTTGTTGCTTTATTCAAAGGTATTTCTCTCAAAAGAATGTTCACATATCCATTTTCTCGTAGATTAAGAATGTTTGAACCATACTTACGAATCTGTATATTACAAATGTTCCTCAAAACCCGATATTTATTCAGCAGAATTCCATCAAATGATGATCAACCAACACCTTCACTGAACACAGAACGGCCCCTTTTTGTATGGTATCTTCTAAGCGTCCAAATTTCGCACAGTATTACAAATCTATTTATTATATTCGGGGGCATGCATGCCAGGGGGAGGGGGTGGGTCGCCGCTATACTCCAAAGTACTATGACACTAGGATGATACATTGTTGTGTCGTTTCCTCCTCTATCTTTGCAGTTAATGAATTATTAAATCGATATTCATGCTGGAAATGTGAGGGAAAATAAATGCAGATATCCTAATGGATAATTAAAGACGTTTTTAGGTGATCAGGATTTAGGAAAACGAAGAGGATTATTAATCCTCAGAAAGGTACTATATAACTTGAGCTTTGAAAATGAAATACAATTTGATGGTTATAACTAATAATTAATGGTCAGGTTGAAACTTATTTTACCCCAGACAGTTAAAATACAGATTAATCGAATTTGGTATGATACAAATCGAATTTCCATAAATATTAGGTAGAAACACGGATAGCATGAATTCATTATCAAAGTCTATTTTAGCATAAAGCACTATGAATAAAATTACTACGAACACGTCAAACCCGTCACAAATCTGAGAATTCAAATATTAGCTACATTAATCGCCCAAATAGGGCCCAAATAGGCCTACCGATGTCACAGTGCAGCCAATTTGTGGAACAGTTTATTTGAATGAAGATTTGATTTGAAATAATTTAGGAAACAAAAATATAATGGAACTTTCAATAGACTTTATTTTCCTGCTCTAATTTTATTAAGTCTTACAATCGTTATACCATATTCATTGCTATACTTTGTTTTCACTCAGGAGCATCGGGTACATTAAATTAACTCCAAAAACTCTCGGTCAAAAAACAAAAACATATCACAAACAAAAAAACAACCCGCATACAACAAGGAAAGATAACGAAAATGGGTTTATACTAGGTAAAACTATATATCTGCTGCCAAATTTATCCTTGAAATGTGATGATAAAAGGAACGAGAGAAACCAGACAAATTTCGAGAAACCCGATGCAGTAATGAATATATACAAAACAAACCAAAAAACAAAACATTAAATTATCATATTTTTTTTCTTCCGTGAGGGTTACCCACCATTTCTGTTTTCTGCACTATTTGTCTTGAACACTGGCTTGAACGTAGCACATAATGAATACGAGAGCTCTCTCACGAAGAAATATCTACATCTGCAAACTCCCTCTTTAGTTTCCTTCATTGGATGTTTTTTTGGCGGGTAGAATGATTAGGCTCTTGTTTTCAATATGATGTCACTTTGGGAATAACCTAAATTCCGAACAGATATCTACCTCTCCCTGCGGGTAAGATTTAGTTCACAGTATATGAGCCTATTACCCCGTCATTGAATAATCCCGATCGTGGTATATAACATCACGCAAGTACCATATTCAGTGGGGTATCCAGCATATGGCGTAGCCAACAGACGCCCTTCCCCAGTTTACCGTTCAAATGCCGTAAAAATAAATAAATTAATAAAACTTTGTAAATTGTTACTGATTGTAAGAAAATTCATCAACCATACAAAAGGATGGAAGAAAACTTTTTTTTAAATCTCATGTTATCTAGGAAGCAGACTAACTGATTAAAATATTTAAGCCCGAATGTTTGACATAATACTGTACCTTTCTTTTTAATCGTCGATATGAAATCGGACTGAACTTCATTCAACTCGGTAAGCTTTCAGACTCTGATGTATCATAAAGCTCTAGGCATTTACAATTTCTCGCGTTCCTTTCGAGTCTATGATGAGATACAGTGAGAATGTCTTGTTAAAGAAATATATATATATATATTTTTTTTTAAATATAGGATTTCCCGGCCAAATTCGCGTGTTTGTCATTCGAATTCATTTACTTTGCATTTAAGTTAGCGCAGATCGGCTTTGCCATGCCAATTATCGTTCAATTTTTCAGTTTTTGCATTTAATTTAGGATTTTAGTCGAAGGGTTTCATAGATCTGTCATTCAATTTAGAAACTGCTCAACTAGCATTCAAATTAATATTCAATTGTCGAAGCGTAATTTTTATCATTCAAATTAACACCTGTCATTCGTATTCGTAATATTTTTTTCAAGTTAGGAATGTATAGGGGGAAGAAGTGCAACAAACGTGTACAGTTTTTAAATAATGCAGTTAAAATGCATGATTTGCCATTGGGGTCTAAGGTGTTATTCCATTTATTTATTTTCAGGACAATGTAGATGGGTGTAGTCAGACATAAAGTAAAGAAGGGGCGAAATCAAGAGATATGGCATTTCAGCACGGACATGTTCATATACCTGGGAAAGGTGGGGGTACCCTCAATCGCCCATTTTTACTACAGATTCGGAATTTTACAAAAGTAATTCACATCGTCTCTTATACCCAGCACACCCCTCTGTTCATAGTTTACTTGCCCGCCAGCAGATCGATGGCTAAAGACATGGCTAAATAATGAATCATGTTCAAATTGTTGACTCTAGTCCCTACCCCAGTCACAATATTGTACCCTTCTTCCATAATGAAATTATGATGAAATTATGATAAATTTATGATGAAACATAAGACAAACAACTTCCTTACATGAACAATTACAAATAGGTCCGTAGATGCAAGTCGTTTTTTTTCTTCTTAACAATCAAACTTAAATGCTGATGAATATCAGATAAGCGTATAAGTGCAAGAAAATGAAATATGATGAAATACACATGAAAAAACAATCTTGAAAGAAAAAGAATGAGCTATAAAAAGTGTGTAATAAACGAGAAATGTATTTTGACCATCAATTTAAGTGCACACAGTGCTAATTTTGAATGCTACAAATTAATTAAAATGCTAGAAGTACACCGTCGCGTTGTCAGAAATACGTGTTGCGCCAAATCGAATGACCAAATAGCGAAAGAAGCACATTGTTCATTAATTTGAATGAAACATACGTGGATTCTAACGAAAATTCCATAGATTTGAAAACTAGAAAAGGGAATATAAACCCGAGATATACCTCACTGCACTAAAACCGTCGAATTTGAACGCAAGACAAATAATTTGAATGACAAACTCGCGAATTTGGCCGGGAAATCCTATAATAACAATAATATTAAAAATTGCTATAGCGTTCATATCCACCACGCGAGGTGTTCAAAGAATTCTAATTCTAATAATTCATTACCCCGAATCTTTGAAGGGTAAACCTTCTGCTCACTATAATGGTAGACATTGAACACCTGGATGGAGAGTGGCAGGTAGATTAATGTCGTCTTGCCAAAGGACGCTCGGGCCCTGCCGGGGCTCGAACCCGTACATGTATAATCAATTCAAAAAAGAATCATACTGCTTTAGGGGGCAAAGGAAGGTTTTGAGACATAATGTTGTAAAAGGTCGTTGCATGGTCACATAACTTTCAGTAGAACATTCGTGTTTGAAGACTCTTATTCATTACGATCACGTCTCGATAGAAGGTCCTTAATAATGCAGAGTAATCCCATTCTATTCAACTTGAGAACTTGAGTGAACTTGAGCCTAGACAGTATCTGTGTGGCATATTGATCATTAGTCAATCACGCACTGAGTTCAGTCTACCTCAAACAAAAAATTTTTCTCATTGCGGGGGGGGGGGGGGGGGGCAGACCCGGGGATCATCAAACCAAAGTTAACATGTTGAGTATCGATTGTTCCTATTCTCATTAACTTAATACAGGAACTACCCGGTTGGGGTAGGCGATAGGTTAATGCTCAAGTTTGAAAGTCTATCCACTTTATAATGTGCAAAGTAACATACAAATCTACTATGGTGGAAGTATTCCGTTGGGAGGGAAGATAGTGCACAATTCGTGGACTTTAATATCAAAATGTATTTAAAAGGTTTCGTGTATAGAATATCTGATTTGATGGGAACACGTGCCCCTGTACCACACCCTCCCGATCTGTCACTGGTATAAGAAAAGCAATCCTGAGTTTCATTGTTCGATGTTTGCAATTCTACAATTCATCGGTCATATTGGTCACAAATAACGGATGAGGCATTTTTGTTATAAATGGTACAAATAACTTTTTATTGGTATTAGTTTTATAAATAAATCTACTCTAAAACATTGACGCAGACGAATGGTTTGCAATCAATGCTGGTATCAAATTTAATTCAGTATTCCGCCTCAAAGACGTATCACCCGGTCCGAATAGCAATATTCTTTTGACAAGCAATATTGAAGCAATTGTTAATACCCTAACCCAAATCTAAATGAAACAAAATCCATGCCGCAGTCCTGGTTGTTAATAAAACTCCTCTCCCCTGCCCTCCGGGAGTTCCCTTCCAGGGGTCGGGCAGCAAATGCTGACCATGTATGCCGGTCACATTCTTTGAGGTACTGTTTTATAACTCACCCCAGGACCAATCGCCATCGCAGTGAACGTTTATTAGACAAATAAATATTTTGATGAATTAACTTGCCACGTGAGATGGACATTCGTATAGCACCTGACGTGCTCATCATGATTTACCAATTTGAAGATTCTGGCAGGGTCCGGTCCCCAATGCCGATATGATCCACGTTACTGATCGAGGTTCAGGCTGCAACATATCAGATTCATCGGGATTATCATGAAGAGGAGCTACTCTTATGTCTTTATTTCAAATTATTAGAGAATTTTGTATCTCTTTCTTCGATGTGGTAAAATATATATTTCATCTCTTTTCGTTTTGTTGTTGTTGGACAAGATGACCTGTGGCCAAGCGCGTAGCCAGGATTTCATTTTAGGGGGGGGGCGGTAGTGAGCACGCAAAGCGTGCGAATCACTTAAAGAGCGCGCGAAGCGCGCTCCCTAGGGGGTGGGTGCAGGGAGGGGGAGTTTCCCCCCCCCCCCCCTCCCGCGCGAAGCGCGGAAGCTTTGAAAGAAGACGATTCGTTGTACCTTTCTCGACTCATAATCCTTGTCTGAATTCATTCCGCCCCTCCTGCGCATAGCGCGGAAGCTTTGACGTATTATTAAACAAAGAAGACGATTCGTTGTATCTTTCTCGACCCTTAATCCTTATCTGTATTCAGT